GACACAACGCGATAAAATAGACATGTTAACACTCTTTTTATTAATCTTCAATAAGACCTAAGCCAAGAATATGAAATTTGCTTGTTTTCTTATTTTATTTTAAGAAAATCTAAAATCTAATTATAAACTTATGAGAGTTTGGGAAAAAAATATTTACACCTAAATTGCCTTTAGAACGACGATTTAAAATTGTATATTTTCCAATAGATTTTAGGAATTTTTTATTTTATTTACTTTAAAAACAATTCAACATGTATATTAAATGATAGGATTTTTTTAAAAAGAGTTCCAGCCATATTTATTTCCAAAACATATATAAGTAAACTAAATGCTTCATGAACCTAGATTTTGAATATGATTTTTATGTTCTCACTTTTAGTTCTCAATAATTAGAGATTTATTTCCTTGGTTATGTCTAAACTCAATTTGAAAAATTAAAAGTTTGAATGGTTTTAACAGACGGAACGAACTAATCGATTTACAAACAAAACTTTTTTTATTATTCCTCATCATAAAAATTTTAGTATGCAGTATTAGAGAAAAAATTCAATCACATAAATTTTGGTCAATTTTTTCAATTGTAATCGTTCAGTGGAATATGATTGGGAAATAGGAATCCATGTTATCAAATGAGGTCTTCCAAATATTTAAAATTTTCATTAATAAATTTTAAGATTTTAATTGGTTGATGTTTGGACATAATGTATTTTCTCCATAGCTAGACGCCATGAAACCTTTTGTAAACACGTTAATTAATTAATTTGTTTTTTGAGATATTTTTATACTGTTTGAAATGATCAATTTTTCAAAACATTAGTATGGTTATAGTTTTATGTTTTATTGAAAATAAAAGGACTTTACAAATTTTGTGGGTATTACCATTGATTAAACACTTTAATAAGAAAATTAGAGGGTGTTTTGGTCATTATGACATTTGGATCTCAAAAGAGGAAGGGTATTAAAGTAAAATCAAGACACAGCTCGAAAGCTACAAACCCACTCGCCCCTTTACCTCACGCGCCCCTCTCATTTCGATTTCATCTCTCACTCTGCTCGAGAGAGAGAGAGAGAGAGAAAGAAAAAGCGAAGAATACGCAGAATCCATCCAATTTAGGGTTAGGGCTGCCCCTAATCTGGTAACCTGTTCCTCGTTTCTGATCTGTTTTCCGGATCCGACTAGAAGGAAAGAAGACGACGTCGCAGTACCAAAAAGATGGGCGCGAATTCGCTTCCGACGGATGCAACCCTCGATCTAGATGAGCAGATCTCGCAGCTCATGCAGTGCAAGCCTCTCTCCGAGCAACAGGTGCCTGAGATTGTGTTATAACTATAGCTTTTCGTTTTCGTCATTTAAAATTGGATCTGTAATTTAGTTTTCCGGGTGAAGTTTGGCTATATCGATGATTGGATCTCAGATTTTGTTTCAAATCGAAGGGTTGGTTATTTCTGTAATTTATGTGATGATCTGATTTGTCGACAAGGATCTTCTAGTATAGGTGTAGAGCTCACCGGTGCTCATTTCATGTCAGTTTTATGGATTGTTAAAAAAAATGGATTTCTTTTTCTTTTTCAAAATGATTTCTGGCTGTATTGGCTTCTGAATAGGCGATTAGCTCTCATTTCAATGTTTGTCTCACCCACAGCCAAAATTATCATTTTGATTAGGTGATTGACTAGTTAAAATCTCATCTGTTAGATGCATTACTGGATTCTCAATTTGGGATACACATCTTAAATGATAGTTTTGGTTGCAATTCGATAAAAGACGTTCTGAGCTAATACCTAGGGAAACAATTGATCAATAGCTGTAAAAAAAAGTCTTATTGGCTGTAGATGATCTTTCTGTTTCCTGCTTGTCTCAAATTGCTGTATTTAATTTGACATTTTAATGTTATGGTTTTGATACTGGATAATACTGTTAGTACTGTATCTCACTAGGAAGTAAAAGAGGGGAAAGATGAATTTATTATGTGCAGTGTTTTTTTTTATTTGCTTTAGGTCAGAGCATTATGTGAGAAAGCTAAGGAGATCTTGATGGATGAAAGCAACGTTCAGGTCAGTTCTTGATCTTGCATCTCGTGTTAATTCCCATGTGGTAGATTGTGTAACTACCCTGAATTCATTTAAGGACGCAGTCATTGGTTTTGCTTGAGTTAATATTTATATTCTTACTGTATGCAGCCTGTTAAAAGCCCTGTGACAATCTGCGGTGATATTCATGGACAGTTTCATGATCTTGCAGAGCTTTTCCGTATAGGGGGAAAGGTAACATCTATAACTCTTGCACGATGGACATAAAGATGTATGTTTTGTTTTTTAGTCTGCATCAATCCTTTCTAGCAATTATTAGTTGTGGCTGGGGAATACAAAGTCTAAGTGGATGCTCACTGAATAATCAGAACTATTTGGAGCCTATTCTTAGGGGTTATATTTGAATGTGGGTCCTAATTTTTGTTGTCCATCTATCTACCCTCAGGCTTGTACAAAACCTGATGAATGTTAATCTTACACTCTTTTGCAGTGCCCTGATACCAACTATCTGTTTATGGGAGACTATGTCGACCGTGGATATTATTCTGTCGAAACTGTTACGGTACCAAGTCTATACCATTTACATACTTCTTTTTTGCTCAATAGTCTGATTTCCAAGTGGAAATACATCTTTTTATCATGTTATTTTGTTAAATAAAATATATTGTGTCCATACTGGATGTTTTCTTTTCTTAACGTTTATATTTTTTGTTAGATTTACCATGCTGATACTCTTTCTTCCTTACATTTCTAGCTGTTGGTTGGCTTGAAAGTACGGTATCCACAGCGAATCACTATTCTTAGAGGAAACCATGAAAGTCGTCAGGTAAACCAACTTTTTTCTAAGTTATCACTGTCTTTAATTGTACTTTTACCTTCTCAAGTATACAGTATTGTGTCTACAGACATAGTTTTCTGTTTTCTGTCATTAAAATCTTAGATGAGACCCTTTTATAATTACAATTTATTTTTTCCATGTCTATGATATATACATTTACAAGTCAATTAAGGAATTTCTATATTTTTTCTGCTGCAACTTTCTGTCCTCCCAAGTTTTAATCTGACTCATGGTTCAATACCCTTTTTTTGTTCTGGCAGATTACTCAGGTTTATGGATTTTATGATGAATGTCTGCGAAAGTGAGTCTCCTTGCGAACATTCTTATGTTGTATATGCTGCTGACTCGCTTTGTTCATGTCATGATAATCTTCTTTAACTAATACTATGCTTGTCCTCATGGTTTCTGTTGTTGCTGCTAATTTGGTTTCTTTCTTTATTCTAGTCCTGGCTAGTTTATATTGATCTTTCAGATTAATATTGATTTGCTCATGTGACTGTTCTCATGGCATTTTTTCATACCTTAGTTGTTGTTAGTTAGTTCCATTCAAAAATGAATTTGATAAGATATGTCTTCTTCTATGCCTGTAGGAAATTGTTTTTTGGTTATCTCGTTTGTAATTTGCTTAACAAAGCTTGCTTGTACTTGCAGGTATGGTAATGCAAATGTTTGGAAGATATTTACAGACCTCTTTGACTATTTTCCACTGACAGCCTTGGTTAGTACTAATACATGTATTGCATCTTTATTTCCTTATTCCTATAAGATAGATAATCCATTTTCTGTTGTGCATTCTTGTGCGTGTGTTAGCGTATTTGGTTGGCAAGTTTCACTTCAATTTGAGATGGTTTGTATTCTGAAATGTTGTGTATGTCATATAAATTGCATTTACGTACTACTTATACTTTCTAGAGAGAAAAGTGGACAATCTCTTAGATATAACTCGTCTGATTTCTTAAGAGTTTTAATTCCAAAAAATAGTGAGCCTGTTCATCTCATATCGTATATCCTTGTTTACAGGTGGAGTCAGAAATATTCTGCCTTCACGGTGGATTATCACCATCAATCGAGACCCTTGACAACATTAGGAACTTTGATCGAGTTCAAGAAGTTCCGCATGAAGGGCCTATGTGTGACTTATTATGGTCTGATCCTGATGACAGATGTGGTTGGGGAATCTCTCCTCGTGGTGCCGGATATACATTTGGTCAGGTATTGAATTATGAAGCCTCAGTTTCAGAAGCTGTCCTGAATCCCCCTTTTTTTTTTTGTTCCAGTAAGTGTGTAAATTAACTTTCTTTTTTCATTTTTGTTTCCATAGGACATTTCCGAACAATTCAATCACACTAACAACTTAAAGCTGATCGCCCGAGCGCATCAGCTTGTTATGGATGGATTCAACTGGGCCCACGTAATACAATCAAACTCCTCTTCCCTGCCTAGATTAGCCAAACCTTAGATTCTTAGCTCACTATGTATACATTCCCGTTGACAGGAGCAAAAGGTGGTTACTATATTCAGTGCACCAAACTATTGCTATCGCTGTGGAAACATGGCCTCAATTCTTGAGGTCGATGACTGCAGGAACCACACGTTCATTCAGGTCTTTGCCCAAACTATGTCCTGAAATCGTCATTTTAACTTATTTTCTGGGGAAAGGTAACTAACTGAGTATAACTCATGAAACAGTTTGAACCAGCACCAAGGAGAGGAGAGCCAGATGTAACCCGAAGGACACCTGACTATTTCCTATGAAGACACTCAGCTCATCCTGAAGCTGTAAAGTCCGGTTGTTGGTTTTTGAAGATCTCTGCTTATTCCATTTGGTTCAACGCATTTGTGTTCCAGGTTGCTTCTCTTTAAAATCAATTTAGCCCTCTCCCTTGGAATAGTGTAATATAGGCAAAGAGGTCAATGAACTTTAAACCTCTCATGAACATGTGTTTGGCTGAACTTATTAGCTCTCTTCTGCATCAGAATCTGTTTATTGTGAGATATTATTTCGATTTATTTCACGTAATTTTTCCCGTTTGTTCCATATATCTGTTTTTTGCACCTTCTATTTGAAACCTAATAATATAAATCGAAATGATGTTCTTTAAAGCCAAAACAATGGACTGTGGTCTGTGGATATGGTCAAGTGAATACGAGTTGATGAACAAATGTCATGTACATGCATTGATTTTATAAAATCACACAATGGAACTGTCACTACAAGTTAGCATAAGAGAATAGCGAAGGAACAAGATCAACAACAGACCAGGCAAGGCCTGCATATTGGAAGAACCTAATACCAGTATCAATATCAAACGAGTCCTGGCTCAAGAGCTCACATAGTTTCTGCAAATATCCAACTGAGTTCTTGGGTTCGTCTGTCTTCTTCCCACTTGCATACACCTTATCGACCTTGAGCTTGGGAATGTACATGCTGGATCTTATTGGAATCCCAAGTGCGTTGGATACTGTTGGTAAAGTCCATTTTGCAAGAGATTTACTGCAGAACTTCACTAAGAGTATTGTCGGTATCCCCACCATGACTCTACCAAGGTAGGATAAAATAGGGAGCTCTGGTGAGAAGATTCGTGGAGCAGCTTCGTGGTGGAATTGAGTGTACGTTTGCTGCACTCCGGTAACCTAAGACAAATAAAATCATCGATTGAGACCATTGTCTAAATAAACCATAACACTAATGCATATAATATTGTCTGAAAATCTTTCAATGCTTACAATCCCTAAGGTAACCCCGTTGAAGGCAGTGTGGTACTCGTAGCTAGGAGTTGGGTGCTCAGGGGTTGGATAAGCAAAGAGCAATAAGAAACTCAACGCGGTCCAGAAGGAGCTAACTGCACAATCCAGAGAGTCATGGCTTTTCTGTTATTCAATGTTTGCAAGTAAGGAGCATTGTCAAAAAATGAGCAAGGTGCTTACCATTCTGTTTTGATGTAATGAAATCGTCAATTTTTTCGTTGACGATAAGCCAAAGACCTAGAATCAGAACTCCTATGGCAAGACCACTGATGATATCGACGACACTGTGCATACCCAAGTAAATCCTTCCTAGGAAGAAAACAATGTTGTCAATTGAGGAATCAATTTCTTCCAAGGAATGTGTGTTTATCGGGTATGTGGGTCTTACCGAAGGCGATTAGGACTACCAGCAAACAAGCAAGGGCAAATCCATAGTATTGGATAGACACAGTTTCGTGTTCCAAGGAGGATAACACATAATGGAGAAGATAGCTGAAACACCAAACAATAAGGAGAAAAGTGTTATAACCTCTATACCCACAGCAACATGTGCTTTACGAAAGAATGATCACAACAAAGAAAACAGATAACAGTAAATGCTTCACACTACATGTATCCGAATAAACAACTATCAGTAAGTATCAGTAGATCCACTGTCAACTATGGGATTCTATAGCATTCCAATTCCAACATTAAATCGATTCTCTTCTCACAGTACTGAATACGGAGAGCAGACATTACTAGCTAGGTAAAGAGTTAGTGGACAACATACCCGGATAAACAAACAGTGTTAAGAGTATGTGAAGAAGGCAAGCCATATTCCATTGCATTGTCTTCCTCATCTTTTGTGGCAGTAATCCTTCTAACCGGTGGGCAGCTTGGCCTAGGAGCAGATACCACATCCTGAATACAGAAGAGAGTATAAAACCAACAGTTCCTTGTTTGAAACTTGTAAGCTAAGAGAATGTGTTATAGAAAGCCAAATACCTTAATGCAATTTCCCAAGTAATCACAGAAGGCAATCAAGAGAGTCATCTGCCTAGCCAATCTACCATGTCCACTCTAGATTCATCATATCCACATTAAAATTCATATATAAGACGAAAGATTTCAACTTTTATGTTGAAGAAGAAGTTAGGAATGATACCCAGAAGAGCAAAGGCAAGAAAGCAGTGTAAAAGGGCACAGAGACAACACATGATAGTCCTGAGAAGAAAGCATCCAACACTCCATTCTGACATTTCTGCAAAACACAAATACCCAAAATAGAAAATTCAAAGCCAAGGCAAAATTCAGCATCAATTTCTAATTTTAGAAAGATGATAGCTTTAGCTAATAATAATAAGGCACCTGGATTCTGAGAATGAGAGGAACACCACCGACGACTTGACGAGTGACCCATGGTTGTAAGAGAGATCTAAATTTATGGGTAAATTTGAGATAAGAAGAAGCACAGATCCATGTGACAATACCAACGAGGATCAAGCCTTGCCATGTCCCTGAACCTTCCATTGATCTTTCTAGAATCTTCTTCCCTCCCTCTTTCCCGGTTTCAAGAAAGAGGAGAGAGAATTTGAGGCAGTTGTTGGTAGATTTTCTGGCTAGGTTTCACAAAGTCAAAAACCACAGAATATGATCCCCAAAGTCTTTTGTATGGAAAATTAGGAGATGGTCTCTCTCTCTCTCTCTCTCTCTCTTCAGCCGTATAGTGAGGAGCTCCAATGGATGTTTGCTGGCAGAGAGAAAGAGAAAGACAGAGATTGATTTAAACCAATATATTAGTAGTATTAGTTAATAAATTTTGAGACCAAAGTTATATGAAAGATTTTGAGAGATGGGAAAAATTCATAGCCACCAGTTTTGATCCACCACTTTTTGAAAGTGAAGTCTACGTGTGATTTGCGTGACTTTAGTCAACGCACAATTTTAGTCAAATTCCTTTTTTTAAAAAAAAATTGTGATTGCCATTTGATTGATTTTGTGCTACCAAGAGTCCCTTTTCAAAAAAGGAAACGTAGAAAACACATACTATTAACCAAACAATTCGTGTGTTAACAAAAAAGAAAGAAACTAACGTTTAGTTTAAAGTGTAAACGATAACTAAACGATTGTTCCTTTTTAAAACTAGCAAGCTAACTATTAGTATTGCAAGAACCATGTAACATTGACCCCCAAAGTACGAGATTAACTTCTGTATTTCAGGAGTATCATAATAAAATACAAAGGGTCAAAAAGACGCAGACCTCGAAAGAATGAGAGTCAACAACAACGATGAAAATTAATCCGGAAAAGTAAAACAGAACAAAACAACGGTTTCCTTGTTCTTAGAGCAGTCAGAAACAGAGAACAACAAAGTCTTACAATATCTCCTCCTCCTTTGGGTTTAAGTTTTGAATTGTACCCTAGTCAGTCTATGCACGAACACCTCGGTTAAGACTTACCATACGGCTCATACCATCCATCTGCATTCCTCTGTTCCCTGTTCCACCTCTTCCTGCATACCCATCACTCCCTCGGTTTTGACCTGACCAGTCTCTTGCATGTCCAGATGATCTGTTACCAACATAACCAGACCTAGCACCCCCATTGTAACCTTGTCTTCCTTGATTGTACGACATATTGTCTTGCCACTTTCCACCACCTGCTCCTCCTGCATATTCTTGATTGTTGTCTCTTCTCCTTGAGCTTAGATCCACACCACCACCACCGGTCCTAGCCTCCATTGCTCTTTCGTTGCTCTCCGCAAGAACAGCAAGCTTCTCGGTTAACTGGAACGCCAAGGTTTGCAACCTGGTGTGCTGGACATCGTGAAAGATTATGCAACGTGTAGGTTGGTCCCAGCTTGCATGGAGTTCTTCATTGATCATCATCTTGCTCATGATGCTGTGGACTTGGTTCTCAGAGAGATCAAACATCTTGGCAAGCTGATCTAGACTTAGGGACTCGTAGGAGGCCGAGTATGTGAAGAAGTAAGTCCTCAAAGCCTCTTCTTTGATCCTATCCTTCACCATATCAAGGATGGTTTCCCGATTCTTGAACAGTTTCCAGACATTTAGAGACTTCACAACTTCAAAAGCCTTTTGGAAGTCTCCTTTAGTCAGAGCTCGGGTTGCTGCCATGGCATGGTCACGAACGTTCTCAGGAGGAGCAGTGAATGCTTGCCTCTCACTGATCTCGAGCAGGCGACGGAAATTCTTGCTAATCACCTTGCGTTTGACATCGTGAGAATTGGCTGCCATGTTAGGGACCTCTAGCAGCATGGCACAGATGAGCTGAACAGCTTCGAGAAGCTCAAGGTTTATGTGCATGTGATATGGCATCTGTCGTCTCCTCTCCAATCTTTCCTGGTGGGAACAGAAGGTTACAAAGAGTTAGCTTCATTTTCAATAGAAATAGACTGACGAAACAACATGAGCGTCAAGAACCCAAATACACAAGATGGAAAGAAGTTATTACACAAGATAGAAACAATTTATATGAACTGACATGCAAAAAAAGATACTATGTAATACAAACAAAAGTATGTACCTGCTCGGGAGTCTTCTCATGGTAGCGGCTTTGCGAGACACCTTGAGCAAGTAACTCCCGCACCCTTTGACCAGAGTACAACTCAGAGAGGCAGCTGTGAGCCTCTGTAATCATTCCAACCCGGAATGCGCAGAGACCAAGCTGTGCCATGGATCTATTAAAGAGGATCTGGGTTGAGATGTCCATGTGTTGAATATTGTCCTGCAGATGACTCATCAGCAATAAATCCCTAGCAGTCACAAAGTTGTCTACTAAAGCATGGTGATAGATATCACATAACATCGCACGGGCTTTAGTTCGTTCATCTCCATATTTGTATATAAGAGAGACAAGAACATCCATCATAGCTCGACTACTCTCTGGGAAGGTAGGCTTACGAGGAACAACCTCTGGAACAACAATGAATGAAGGAGGTCCAGTTTCCTCTTTGGGCTCCTCACTATCTTCTTCTTCATCTTCTTCCACCACCAGCTCAGCCAGTTTCCTCATGGCATCATAAACTTCCTGAGGCTTGTAGTAAATTAACTCAACTTGTCTTAAGGCCACCTTTGCAGCAGCTTTATAGTCACCAGACCGCTCAAAGTAGTCCTGGATGTTTTGAGCAAAAGCTAAGAACATCGGCTCATCTCTCAATCTCTCCACATACTCACGTGTATGAGGATCTATGCACTGCAAACTCTTGAAAAATTCAGTGTCTATCCTCTCCACGAATGCAACAAGATTTCCCCAGACCCGGATTTTTCCATCAAAATCTTCTGGTTTTGAAGTTTCATTCTCATCAGGCTCAACCGTGTCATCAACAACGATGTTATCATATTTGACAAGAATGTCCAGTATTGTAAGCATGTTATTCACACACTTCTTCCAGACATTGATAGGCATGTGTCCGCTGAGACCAGGATTCACATCAAACTGTGCAGAAATAACACTAAACAAGATTTCAAGTTTCTGTGCTGGAGTTTTGGCAATCCTTGTCAGGTGTGTAAGCTGATCAACCAGTTCAAATCGTGCAGTTCCCTTCCTGCCACGGGCAGCCACAACTTCTTTGAACTTTTGGTTGACCCAGTCCCATGTGATCTCTTTAGGGTCTTTACTATACAACTTCTCCATAAGCTTATCTTTCTTGCTTAGCATCTTCTCCCAAGAGGGATCACCTTTATCGTTGGTTATCTCCTCTTCAGACTCAGTAACCTCAACGTAATCATCAATGTCATCATCTTCCGTATCTGCATCCTCTGATTCCTTCACTTCCTCGGTTTCTGGAGACTCCCTATATTTATTAATTTCTTCTTCATAGAGCTTGTTGTTCTTCTTCAATCTCTGTTTCATTGAATTCAAGGCCTTGGAGTTGCTAGTACTCATCTTTTTCTTTGCTTCCTTGTTTGCCAGAGTTTCATTTAGAAAATCTTCCAACATCACAAGGGTTTTGATATACAAGATTGGAGCCTTCACAGCCTCTGTAACCCTCATAACTTTTTCCAACTGCTTGTTAATCTTATCAAAGTTTTCTTGTAGACTAACCCAGTCATTGATATTCATGGCTTTCTTCATCTGATCTGCGGTACTAACCATCTCTTCAAAACGCTTGTCTTTGGCTGGCTGAACAACACGTTTACGGAGATCCTCGTTTTCACTATCACTGCCACCTGCTAGGTAACGCGAGGCACCACCAACATTGGTATCTTGAACATCGTCCAACTCTTCCTCGACGTCACTCTCATATTCACTATCACTTCCACTCTGGTGATCAGAAATTACAACGAGTAAGTAAAGTCAGTAAAGCCAATAGACCATACTAAAGAAGTTATCGATATAGAAGGTTCGAGGGAAACCTGAGCAGCAAAGAACTTAGACATCTTTCTTAGCGGGAATGGTAATCGTTAGGCAATGAAAGCAATGAGAACCTGCATTCCACAAAACGGTAACATAAGCTAGCTGAAAAGATAACATAACTCGAAAAAAACCCAATATGCTAATCTAATGACTTGGAAACAAGACGGTACCGTATTAAACCTATCAAACATATAAACAATCATAAAAACCAAACTTTTATAATCTTCTATACCTAAGAGGACAAGTAGTTGACACATGACACATTGACACATGTACCAAACGAAACAGATCCGATAGTGTTATAACTTCCACATACTAACATGTTAATACGAATCCAGAGGAATATAACCTAAAACCAATATCCGAATTAACTGTAGTTAACCCTAATACAGAAAATCAAAGAGTTTATAAAAAGCTTCAAAGAAACAGAGTACAACAAAATTTCGAATTTTTTTCAATCAAGCAAAGATTTTGATAATCATAGAATTACGATAAGCTCAGAAATCAAACCTTTTTCTCTAGGAAAATCCAGTAATAACAAAGATCCGACGCCAAACCTTTTTCTCTAGGAAAAATAAATTAAGCTACTGCTTGCAAAATCTAATCTCAATCAACACAAAACACACAAGATTAGATAGAAATCGAGGCTTGAATCTACCAAATTGGAATCTGTACCGTGAGAAGAGAGCGAGAAGCCGAGACCGTAAGAGAAAGCCAGACGACGGAACTCTGCTAAGAATTTGTAGGGCTTTTGCTTTTGCAATTTAGAAACCACTTCTTGTTAAATTCCTTTTATACCCCTGTTTACTGTAACTTATTTACGGTTTTACTTTTGGAATTTTTGGATATTACCGACTTTATACACGATTCAGATCAATTACTTAATCAAACCATTTAAACCGGACTAAAGATTTGGTTAGCTTCAAAGTAATTACAGTAGTTAATAGCTTCAGATTTGATGAATATTTTTTATGGAAAATTAAATTAGTGAAGATTATATGATTCAGTGGATTACAAATTAATTACGCGACAAAATGAACAAAAAAAATTGATTTTTCTGTTTTTCCAAATATGTAGAGTTGCATTGCAGACATTACTACAACAACGAATGAATAATGAATAGGTGACTTGAAGAACAAGGAACGCACATAAGAAGATCATTCTTCAATTAAGCGCAAGTTTTTCATCTTGCGTAACAAAAATATTCAAGGACATGAGCATTTGCTTCATATATATAAATCGATCTAAAGCTTCTCAAGTTCTTCAGCCAATGGACTTCTCCCAAGACTTGTTCCTCGTGTTCTAACCGGGGCAAAAGGAGATATCTTAGAAGAATTTGAAGAAGCTCTTGGAGATAAATGAGCTTGCTCAAGAACCCTAAATTGTAGCTCTGAAGGGTAATCTCTCATACAACTGATTCTAGGCCCTGCACCTGTACTCCATCTCGAATGTAGCCGCTCAGCTAACTGGTAAGATTTAATTCCTTTGTGTGAATCTATCCGTTTCATTATCTTCTCCTTCAGGACAGGCTTCTCGTATTCTTCAATGTCTTCATCGAACAGGTTTGATTTTGGATGTGTGAACTCTTCCTCAGCTATGAATGTCTCCTCTGCTGTCTCATACCCTTGTTCTGAAGGGGTTTCAGGTTCTTCTTCATCATCCTGTTCCTCCTCGATCATGTTGTCGTCTTCGTTTGGAATCTCATCCAGTCTTGAAAGTTTTGAATGGAACCTTGTTAATGTTTGTAGCTCTGAATGATTGTTGGGCTTAGTGTTCGGACTAAAACCGGTCTCAGCATCCACAAAGTCACAATGTTCTTCTTCAGTCTCTTTGATTCTTGAAGGCATCCTCTTGACCTTAGCAGGAGCTTCTCCATCTTCTTCATCTGGATTCTTCTACAGAATATGAAAAAGAAAGTCTGTAATTGCGTAAATCATAGCCTAAAAACAAACCAGAGCCAAACCTATGAGATCTTGGTGACTTAAAACTCAGACCAGAATGGACTTACCTTTACATTGGCGAGGTCTACATTGTTCTCCCTAAGAAACGACATGAACGCCTGAAAATTCTCTTCTGTTGGAAGATAATGTCCACTGTGAGGCCAAACTGCCTGAAAAGATCATCCAAATAACTCAAACTCAACACAAAAAGTTTTAGCAAAGTCTTACTTCTCTTCTTTCGCATAAGTATAAACAACGAAATTTCTTTCTTTCACCTTAAGAACACCATCGTCAACCACAATCCTTCCAGCAGATAATGTAGCTCCCCCGGCTAGAAAACTCGAGTGTTGAAAGTTACCCTTTTTCTTCATTCCAACATACAATATCTTAGATACGCTTAGGACAAAGATCCACTTTGCATCAGGAGGACCTTCTTTTGTGTCGAGAACTATCCCACTTTGCTTATACATTAGTTTCCCATTCTCAATTACAACTTCATATGCCTCTCTTTCGATCTGTTCGTAAGAAAGAATAAAGCATTAGAAAAAGGTATCTAACAAGCATGTCAATAATATTGGTCTACCAAGTTTTGCTGAGAATAAATCTAAGGTTCATCAGAACTGGTCAACCAAGCACAGAAACTAGAGGGTAAAACTCACCGGACCAAGATACTTGATGCTTTGTTGGTAAAGTTTTGATCTTGGACATCTTTCGTGGTTCAATTCTTTTCCTTGTCCTATGTCAAGCCTACATGTCCAAAGTTGAACGTTAGCTCGTAAATCATATGTACTCTTGATACTGTCATACTTTTGACTGTGTAATAGCAAGCTTACCAGTAGAAGAATGGTTGTTTACTGTCACAGTGGAGCCAAGCATGATAATAGAATTGCAGATTGTGGCCATACCGATGTCGAGGATCAATCTGTTAAGCTAGAAAATTAAGATCACGTAGCTTTACACAAAACTTATAGCCACAGAGATAAACAACTTGTACAAGAATATTCTTACTGCCTCAAGCCAGTGCTGCAAAGCCAGCTTCCTAGCTTTCTCGTCTTTTGATAAGCCTTTACCCACCTAAGCGATGAAAATGGTCAAATCATTACATAAAGACCGGAGCAAGGGAAGTATAACGGGTGCATCAAAGGAACATATTTGATGGACTTAATGTTACCTTAGCAGCTCTTGTTCTTGCTCTAGACCAGCGTGAAACTGCAGTCTCTTGCTTCTCAATTTCAAAAAACGAAATAGAGCTTCTTTTAAGTTCAGCAAAGTCAAGTACCTTCCACCTGCAAATTCCATTTAGTTACCAAACCAATAATTTTGTCTCTCTATATATACAATGCCAAACAGTTATAAAACCACGAACCATCTTTGCTCAACGACTACAGCACAATCAGCTAGCCGTCTTCTGGTTCGAAAACTTCTATAAACCTTCTGTAACTTCAATGCAGCTTGATATGTTCCATCACCTAATAACAAGGCCAAAAATTCTCTTGCATGATCGTTTTCGGAAACAGGTTTCCATCTCCGCATTTTATATCTGTCATCTTCTTTCATAAAAGTTAAAGGTTTAACAGAGAAATTGTTCTCCACATCTCCTGGAGAAATTCTTGATCTTTGTGTCCCTTTACCGCTAAGGGATCTGTTGTACAGCGTCTTTCTAGTTTCAGGTGATTCAGTGATGGTTGATTCCGAGTCAATGTCATTAAAACTGATTGATCGAAGAATGGTCTTTGTTTCTGCAGAACCAATACAAATGTATCTCAGATCAAATGTCTTCAAAATTTAGTCTATATCAGAAAATCTACCAAATCAAATGTTCATAGAAGTTGTCATAAATACTAACCCATTTTCACTTGAAACCAGATTCAAGCAGTTCCTTATTTTGTCCTGAAAATGTCAAACATGGAAATTTTATCATTGAGACATTACACCGAACACATTACGATCTGGTTTTCAGGAGAAAGAAAGAAAGAAACAAAGCGTGAAGAAGAAGAAGCAGACCTGGAAGTCAAACAAAACCCATGAGACGAAATGAAACAGAGAAGAGATTCTTTAATGGAAGAAAACAACAGAGCCAAAAAGGAAATGAGGAGGCTTTGAATGGGGTCTTTGGTGTCTAGGATTAGATGGGAACGTGAGAGAGAACGCTAATGGCGGCCATTTCTGATCAAAGAGATTCTCATGAAATCTCAATCTATCGATGCAAATGTGTTCCATTGGCGGGGAGAAAAATAGAATCCTCTGTTTTTCTTCTTCTTTCTAACTAAACATAGAGAGAGCTTTCACGATCGCACTGTAATTTTTCCTAATTTTGGCGTCAATGTTTCGCTTTTAAAACTAGGTCCCTATACAACTTCAAATTTAGTATTTTAACCCGGAAAAAATATCATAAGAAAATCTTCAACTTTTTTACAATTTCCATTTTATGAATAGTTTACCTATCAAATACTCCAAAAAAAAATCATGTCTTAAACAGAAAACTTTCAAAAGTTGAAGACTTTTTATGAAATTTCGCTATAAGCCCTAATCCCTAATTGGCCGTGTCCGTTAAGTCCTTTCTTTTCCGAAGGATCTAACTTTCTCCCGGAACTCCGACGCCGAAGCTCAAATGGAAAAAGAACATGAGCTCCAGAAGCTAAACAGTCAAGTTTCTGCTCCACGAGACGGAGATGTAGAAGATGACGATCCACTAGTGTTGAGCTCTCAAGCTTTGGCGGCGCTCCAGGAATTTCTAGCCGACCAGGACAAGGCTGTTGCGAGCACGCCACTTGCGTCTTCCGTCGCCGGAGAAGAGGCTTCCGATAAAGTGGAGCTGGTTACGGAGGATTGGAGACTCAGCCAGTTCTGGTACGAACCTGAAACCGCAGAGACTGTAGCAGAGGAAGTGGTCACTCTCTCTAGTAGATTCTCAGGCTGCAGAGTCGCTTGCATTGCTTGCCCTACTCTCTACGTTCATCTCAAGGTACTATTTGATCACTTTTGTTTGATTTGTATCGAATCCGTTTTGCTAAAAATCGATACTTTTGTTGTTGTTGGTGCTAAATTTCTGCTGTGTGACGGGTTTTGATTTGTGTTGATGCAGAAAAGGGATCCGAGTCTTCAGGTGCAATTGCTTGAGTACGATATGAGATTCGAGAGATATGGAAATGAGTTCACTTTCTATGATTACAACGAACCAGAAGATCTGCCGCTTCAGCTGAAACATTGCTTCCATGTAATCGTTGCAGATCCTCCCTACTTGGTAATGTTTCTTCAAGTTCTTAACTTTTCCGATGCTGTTCTTTCATGGGAATTTTGGAAAATCTTTTAGCTGCCACTTGATAGATAGGTTTAGAGGCTGATGTGTAAAATCTGCTCTGAACTTCTGACATTCAAGAAGCTTCTGTTCGATGGGCATTGCTTATAAATTAATGATATTATCGACCTTCTAAATCTTGTATTGTAGACTGTAGAGTTCTTTTAAAAGATTATAGAAACTAGAAAGTCCAAAATCAGGGAAGGTGAAAGAAAAAAGTGTAAGCTTTACAATGGAGTATGTTTTAGTAATGGTCATGACTTAATTCTCACTTCTTAAAGATAGCTTCTTTGTAGCTCTGTGCGACGTTTTGGCTATCATCCAAAACATTCCCCGGATAGAGTATCTGTGACTTGTGAGGACATCATTAATCTGTGATGTTATTGTGTGTTATATTGCTTGATAATCTTCAAAACATAAATGTCTTTGAGTACCTTGTAGTTAGCGTGTTAATGATCTTGATTCGTTTATACTTGGCAGAGTAGGGAATGCCTGGAAAGAGTTAGTCAAACAATTTCGTTTCTCGCAAGCCCAGTAGATTCATTGTTGCTTCTTCTCACAGGTACAACAACGACTTTTATTTTCTCAAATCAATTTCGTAGGATCTTATGATTTATTAACTGGGAGATATCTCACGTCTTGCAGGAGAGGTGCAGAGAGAACATGCAGCTGAGCTATTAGGTGTTCGTCCTTGTGTGTTTAAGCCTCATCACTCTAGCAAACTCGGAAACGAATTTCGACTGTTTATAAGTTATGATCCAGGTACCAGATTAGGAGGCTTGGAAGAAGACAGCTAGTTGTCCATCTTTGTTGATTTACTTGTAAGTTTCTTCTCTGAAGCCTTTGACTGTTCTTTAGTAAACCAGTGATGGTTCTTTTATCCTTGTGATCACAAAAAACAATGTGATTCCATCTCTGTAAGAGACTTAAAGCCATCTCGCGCTTTCATGTCTTCCTGTTTTGTTTTTTCTTATACATCTGTTTTTTTATAATGACTAAGAGCGGCTTAACCAATCTCAGGTTTCCGGCATTTCAAGCCCATCATCCTCTTGCACTGGAGGAAGGGTTGTGGTGGGGAACGCTTATGTGTGTTGCTTCCCTCTCATCCTATCTCTCAGCTCTCTGTTCTTGGATATTTTTAATCCATGTTCTCTTTGGTGACCTCACTGTCTACAATCGTTCTCTGTTCTGTATCTTGTTGCAACCACTGAACCCCATATCTCAACCCTGAATCTCTGATATATACTTTACGTTATCAAATCTCAACATATTTACCAAAATGACTAATTGTATCATTGAATCAAATAAATTATTCAATCCGTAGCATTCCAAAACCACAACAAATGAGTAAAACCCAACTTTATAACTTGTTACGAATTTGTATCTGCGAGGAAGACATGAATAAAAAAATTATGTTTGTTCTCAGCAAAAAAAGAAAGAAAAAAACCTGGTCCGAACCGGTTCGCCAAACTTTACCAGGATCAAAGTGCTAAACCGGGCGAAGAAGTTAAGAAGATCTCGAGAAGAGTCTTTCACGGTGGGAGAGAAACGAGAGTTGAATCTTTTTCCATGGTCATTGAAATTCAAATACACGCAAGCATCAGAGAAGAGGACTAATTCGCGACTTCGAGTATGAGGCCGAACATTGTTACCGAGGTGAGATCTGCTCAATTTCCCGCTTTGCTTGCTTATTATCCTTGATCTTAATCAGAAAAATTGCTGAGGTTTTCACTTAATTTGATTACCAAGAAACTCCTAGTGAGAACGAGCTATGGCTGATAGCAGAAATCAGTACGGCTGTCTGTTAATTCGGTAGAGTTGACTAATTAGCAGTTCGATTCGGCATAACTTCAGTTTCATGGCCAATCGTTCTCTTCATGAATTCGTAATATAGGTTATAGCAGCCTCTCTTTGTGTTGTTTCATTAGTTCTTCAACTTCTGGGTATTTTAATAGAACCTCGCCATTCTGTTATACAACTGTGACTCTGGATCATACTATTGTAAATCCCCCTTGTGACCTAAGGTTTTCTATGTCCAACCAAGTAGATAATTGGCACAATGTTTATGTATTCTTTCTTTTCTCATAGGCTGGGGTACAAACTAGAGTTGGACAATGGTGGAATGCCATACCGTTCCTCACGTCATCGGTGGTGGTAGTTTGTGGAGTCATTTACCTGATATGCCTCTTAACTGGATATGACACTTTCTATGAAGTATGCTTCTTACCCTCGGCAATTATATCTCGGTTCCAAGGTATGTTCTCATATTATTGAGGCTTGCATTTCATGTTGAATGGATTGTTAACTTTGCTAATTGATATTTTTCAAACGAATTAAAATTATTCAAGTTATTGATAACTGGTTTAGGTGATTTTAATTTAGATGCTTGAGCTGTCCTGACTTTCTTTTCTCTTGTTCACTCCTTTCCCGTTATCTGTGCAGTTTATAGGTTTTATACTGCCATTATTTTCCATGGATCACTGCTTCATGTTCTGTTCAACATGATGGCATTGGTTCCTATGGGCTCTGAGCTGGAGAGAATCATGGGATCTGTCCGTTTGCTCTACCTGACAATTTTGCTGGCAACGACCAATGCCATATTGCATCTTATTATAGCATCCTTGGCCGGATATAATCCCTTCTACCAATATGATCATCTCATGAATGAATGCGCCATTGGATTTTCTGGAATCTTGTTTTCTATGATTGTCATAGAGACAAGTCTCAGTGGAGTTACCTCTAGGAGGTAAGAATTTTCAATGGCTACTTAAATAATTTAGTAAACTTTTTGGAAGATCAAAGTGCAAGTGAATATGAGCTTGTTTTTAGAATTCAGAAACATTCTCTCCGAACATTAATGCTACACATGCCTGTACATATATTAATAAGAGACGACGTTTAATGTCTTCTGAATGTGGGCTGTTTTGCCAATTCTTTGTATTCATGAGGCATCTCATATTTCTTCATTTGCTACTTTATTTCTCTGTGCAGTGTGTTTGGTCTCTTCAACGTTCCCGCTAAACTGTAAGCTCCATTGTCTTGCTTGTTGGCATCTTAATGTCCACCTGCGTTTCTTGTTGCTCATATGATGTAAAAATTTGTATTCATGTGTAGTTATCCGTGGATCTTATTAATAGTATTCCAGCTTCTCATGACAAATGTTTCACTGCTTGGCCACCTATGCGGCATCCTGTCTGGATTTTCATGTATGATTTTTGACCTTTTTCATTACCATCTGCTTTCTAAACCTGCATTTTCATGGGCAGCTAATTTGTAAGTCGCTTTGGATTTCAGATTCTTATGGCCTCTTCAATTTCTTGATGCCTGGCTCTTCATTTTTTACCACCATTGAGTCAGCCTCCTGGATGGTAAGTACTTCAGAAGATCTAGCTTCTTTATGTTTCCCATCCTTTGTTAATTGAGAAGCCATCGAAAATTAAAAACTCATGCAGCTTTATTTCAGCTATTTATTTCAAACTTTAATTGCTACAACTTTCTAATCTTGCTGTTAGTTAGATATGAGGCTGTGAGTATTGCAATGAACATGTTTCTCTCTGAATTATTCGTAACTCATCCAGATTCTATATCCTCTTCCAGTCTAGCTTCGTAAGGCGACCCAAGTTCATTATGTGTACTGGCGGGAATCCTTCCAGCTACATTCCCACTTATTCTGCACAAAACACAACGTCCAGGTGTGATTTCCTAAGAACATATGAAAAACTGAACTGTTTGCCTAGAGAATATCCTAACGATATTTTTCTTTGTGCAGTGGTTTCTCTACAGGAAATGCTTGGAGATCCTTGTCTTCATGGTTGCCACAGAGGGAAGCATCCAATCAGGTACGTCCATGCTAATCGTCAGTTTCATTTCTTTGCCTTGGTGGGTGCATTCACATCTAACCATATTACTTCACATGCAGTCTTCTGAGGACAGTAGATTTCCGGGGAGAGGTAGAACTCTTAGCACTGCCCGAGATCCAGCTGCTCCAGCTGGAGAAACAGACCCAAACCTCCATGCTAGACTGCTGGAAGATAGCAGCTCTCCAGACCGCCTTTCTGATGCAACTGTCAACACCATGGCAGATTCAAGGTATTTGATTTCTGCAATGTATGATTTATCAGCTTATTACACCATTCTTTCAACCTGGCCCTCATTGCTTACCGTGTGCAGACAAGTGCCAATAGCTAATGCAGCAGTCCTGCCTCAAACCCAGGTTAGTTTTCTTCTCTTAGATATTTTGGCTAAGACCCAGACCCAGACCCTAGTACGGGCTTCTAGAAGATTTTCTCTTATTGAGCACAGGGTCGTGTTACTGCTCCAGAAGAACAAATCCAGAAACTCGTTGCCATGGGCTTCGATAGGGTACGTTTCTTGATTCATACCACCCATAACAAAAGAAAATAGTGAAAGAAGAATGTCTTAATGTGTACGGGTTTGTTTCAGACACAAGTAGAAGTTGCGCTTGCTGCTGCCGACGATGATCTCACCGTAGCAGTGGAGATCCTAATGAGCCAACAGGTATAAAACTTTTCTGGACCAGAGTTCCATGTTTTAACACCTTTACTAACAAAGAAGCCATAGTGAACTTGCAGGCATAACACCAACAACTCGCGAGCCATTGTGAACTTGCAAGCATAACACCAACAACTATCGCAACGTCTGTTTCTCATTCCATCTGTTACTTGCATTTAGAAACTGTATAGCGTCTGTTTTCTTTAAATAGATTCCTTAACAAGACGATCAAACCGGTTTAGAATCTATACAAACAAAAGGTCGGTTTCAATTTTATATAAAACAAAATCTATACCTGTTTCAGAGTAGGTAACTTTTTTACACTGTATTAAGTTCGGATATCTTATCGTTTATTGGCGGCACATTTTTTTCCCTCTACGGAGTACAAACAGAATGAAATAGAAGCGATCATAACATGGTTTCCTTCCTCACTTGCTCTTGCCTAGAGACGGCCGCACAATGAGAATTGGACATTTTGCATGTTGGGCACAGTAGTCACTTACACTCCCTAAAAACGCCCTGCATATTCCAAACACCACAAATTAATGAATAGTCACAACCCGAAATCTCAATTTTTTTTTTGTTAGACATTGGACAAAAATGAAAGTTGCAACCTTTTGATCATGCCGAGTCCACGGCTACCAACAACAAGAAGATCAACGTGAGTTTGCTCGACCGCTTGGCATATCATCTCCTTAGGATCTCCTTCCAATATCATAGTCTCTGTCTTCACCTACAACATAATCCAAAAAAAAACTCAAAAGAGATAAAAGACAATTCTAAAACACTAGACTATGTTTGATTTTAGGAACTTAATACCAAGTTCGTTAAAATTTTAAAACACCACGATATATAAGTTGTGTAAAGATTAGGAAATGATCCTAGATGAATTAGAAACCATATAAACTCTTAAGAACCCTTCAATCCTTCATAAACCTAAACTCTTATGAAACCTTTACCGTGATAAACCTAAACTGAAAGTAAACTTCCTAGACCTTAAACTTGTGGTATTTTTGAAAACTTTCCAAAATTGTAGGAACTAAACATTTTAGGATATTTTTCACATATATAGCGCACCATTTTGCCTCGGCATATCTCCAATGCCCGTGTGAATAAGTTGGTCGTACTCTCTTCCCGTGCTTTCCTCATTGGTTCGGGCACAGAATCTGTCGCATACACCGCCGAAGCTAAGAATTTTCAAACTCATAGAATCATTTCATAAATATTATATGCATAGAAAACAAACGAAAAGAATTGAAGAGAGAGAAGCGTTTTTTTCTTCACCAGTTCCACCAGAAGGGTAGATATATTGAAGGTACGTTGGGTGAACATGAACCAGCGTAAGTAAACCGCCTTCTTGACCAGTTTCCGGTTCAGCGCTAATAACAACTCTGAGATGATCCACAGCCCATTCCAAAGCATCGAAGCTGTTTTTGCTTTCATCAATCGCAACCATCACTTTCAACTTCTTCTTGTTCTTATTTGTATCCGTCTCCGTCGTTGTTGTGGCTGCCGTGTCCTCTCCAATCGCATCAACGTACGTCTCCATTTTTTTCTCCCTAACGTTTTCTTTATTGTATGGTTATTTGTTAGGCTCTAGCCACTAAACTTTGATATATGTATAATAATAATAGATTGTTTGTTACGTAATGCTATCGAGTAGGTGGAAGATGAAGAGTGTTAACAGATGTTTGAGAGTGGATTTTGGATTGACACATCACATGTGTCATGGACACGTGTCTTTCTTTTAACATAGACAACTGTGTATTTTGAATATTCAAAAAAAGCTTTTGGTTTAGAATCGAGTTTGGTTCAATTACGATTTCGTTCTGCTCAGAAAAGATACCCAAAACGAACTGACTTCAATTCGGTTTAAATTAGATTAAATCAAAGTTTGGTTTGGTTTGGTTTGGTTTAATCTCGGGTCGATGCCTAGTGCCTTAGCAAGCTAGCAAGCATTACAGAGTCACAGAGATGATGAGGACATAGAGGATGATGGAAGTTAAAGCATAAACACTACCATACTGGATTTGGAAGCAAAATTGTTGCGATTCATATACTGCTTTACGAGCTTCACGTACCTTTTCGTGCTCTGGTAAGGAAATGGTGAAGAAATTTCAATTGGGATTTTTGGAAAATATCTCATCTTTGAAAGAGAAGTGTTGCTACTCTTGCTTCTTCACTGTCGCGGGCTGCGATTGGTAAAATGGAGAAACGATTTCAAACAATTTCATCCTTTTTTTTTTTTTTTTTTTGTGGAATTTAAGTTTTAGATGGGACTTTGTTTGTTTTTTGTACAGGCGTCTTATTGCTTATCCCAAAGGTGATAAAGCTCATTGCTTTGTTTCCTGACGATTGCAAAGAGATTCTTAGGGTAGTGATTACTACTGATTGTCCTATATATGCGTGTTGATTCCTTCTTATCATTTGATTTCTCAGAAGTAGGATATTCTAAGCTCTATGTTATCCTATGGTTTTAGGTTTATTTTCTTCTTTTTCCAAAAAGGATTATGTATTATATATAAAACATCACCAGTCATACAAACAGCATCCACAAATGGAGACCCATTGAGGAGAGGCAAGTAAAGTTACAGGGATTAAAACCCAAATAAGACACCTAATAAATAAGTGAAAGACAACGATAAGTAGAAAGATACAAGAACAAGAAAAACAAGGAGACGAAAGGAGATTCACTGCTTGCATGAAACCTGTCTTCGTTGAAGCTGAATCTTGAAAATCCAGAATTCACCCGCAAACTTAAGTTGTAAGGCTCGTCAAAAAGTATTCCACTCGAGCTAAACATCAGCATTTGTCTGCCAATACTGTCCGCTAAGAGAAGCATAAGCTTCAGTTACCCAAGAACTTCCTTCCAAAAAGATTCACATTCTTGAACTATACAGTCACACTAAAAAGTGGATCTTTATTTCTTCATAGACCTAAGAAACTAAACCAAAAAACCTGTGAAATCTCAGAGATATGATTCACGTATCCTCTGAGTTGTACCCTTGTTTGAAACATTAAGGATGATTAGGATTGGTCGGATAAAACTTGATCTCATGCTCTTGACGACGTTGCCGGATATTCCTCATCTGCTCTTGACGATTCCTTTTAACACTTTCTTTTAGAAAATTCTCCAATCTCCATCGTCCTTTTAGCTCTGGATCCTGGATCTCTATCATAGCTTGGAGAAGAGGTAGAATCAGTAGAATCTAGCCGCATTTCTCTTTTCCTTAATGAAGAAACCTTCCATCCACCTAGGGTAACTTTGAGCCACATAAGAATTCACTCTTATATCAGAAGTAACACTTGTAGCTATTTTATATGCCCCCTTGTTACACCTATTAGGTTCAAAAATAATGAACCAATTTTCCATCTCATCAGTCATAGATAACAGTGGAAAAATGTGACTTATAAGTGCTGGCCAGTCATTTGGTTTATGAAGGGCTTTGATTATCTCCATTGTAGTGGCACCAAAAGTCACTTTCTGTACATGCAAACTCTTCATACTCTCAATGGCCCATTCCCAACTCTTAATCTTAGCTTCAAACAAGGAAACTACTTGAGAGTAAGATCGACGACTATGGAGGACTACATTGCTCATAGAATCTCTAAGAACCCATGATACACCTGCGAGACGATGTAGTTTGGACCAAGAGTAACCGATATTGCATTTAAAATCACCCTGCAAAGGAGGTTCCCAGAAGTCATGTCTGATTGGAAGCGTAACCACATTTTCTCCTTTGACCTCTTGAGCCAAAATCCATTCTTGAGCATCCTCCAATGCTTTTAAAACTAAGGAATTTGATGGACAATATGAACCTTCAAAAAGAAGAGAATTCCTATTTTTCCACAAATGCCATAAAACCCAAGGGAAAACAACCTTAATATCTTCGAACCCATGTTGTTGTGATCGTAGGCTCAAGAGATAATGTAGATTCTCAAATTCAGAAGTACCAAAGCCTGAATGTGGTGATGGAATATTAGACAAAGCCCATACTTGTCTCGCAAAAGGACAGAGAAACAAGATATGATTAATTGTTTCAAGCTCAGCATCACAGAACAAACAACCATCATAATTCTTAATTCCCCTTGTTTTTAGCCTTTCTGTTACAGCTAGAGCACCTCTTAGTAATTTCCAAAGAAAGACCTGGATTTTAGGAACAGTGGGAACCTTCCAACATGCCGCCAAAATTGAGTTTCTTGAAGGACACGTAGTAGCTTCTGTAATCTGAGCTGCATAACGAAGTCTATAAGCTAACTCATATCCTGATCGAACAGAGTAAATACCATTCCTGGTTTCAGCCCAACAAAAAGAATCTGGCCTATCAACTAAAGGTCGTGATGCTTTAATGATTGTAACATCTGAATGATGGAACAAAGATCGTAATAAGCTATCATTCCACCAACCAGTTTGCGTATTGATGAGAGCATCCACTTTTAAGTCTGATATTTTGGAGGGATTGAATTCCTACGGGTCTCCTATCTCTACCATCATAGATCCACTTATCAATCCAAACCAAAGTCTCTTTTCCATTACCAATTATTCTTTTAAGTCCTTGAGTTAAAAGATTCCTACCAAACAAAATACTTCTCCAAGCATACGAGGGACGACTTCCAACAGGTGCATTTATAAATGGAGAATTCACAAAATACCTGCTTTGGAAGAATCTTGAAAAAAGACAATTGGGCTCATATAATAATCGCCAGGCTTGCTTCGCTAAAAGAGCTTGATTGAAATTTTCCAGATCTTTAAAATCAAAACCACCAAAGTTTTTTAGGCAATGTTGTTGGGTAAGCTTCATGAAGATTCTAGAAGATATCCTTAAAGGAAATAGGAATCTAATTAGGAAAAGGAAAAAGTTGTAATCCTAATCTAAAAAGGAAATTAGAATAGGAAATTCATAACTATATAATTAGAGATCATAAGAAGGATGTATGATCATAAGAGAGCGAAGAGAAAGCTTGTGTTTAGTTTTGAGAAGATTTTCTAAACATTAATAAAGGAAGGATTCTTTATACAAACTTTGAGTTTTTGATTCTTTATTTGGTATCAGAGCAAATCCTGGAGAGAAAAGGAACTCATACGAATCATGGCTGAAGTAAAATCTGAGATCAATACGCTGACTTCATCCTCCGGCGTTAAATGTCCGATGTTGAATACAACAAATTACGCTGTCTGGACATTGAGGATGAAGGCGACATTGAGAGTTCACAAAGCTTGGGTTGCAATTAATCCAGGAACAGATAATGAAGAGAAGAATGACGTTGCAACAGCCTTGTTGTACCAATCCATACCAGAGAGCCTTACCCTGCAAATCGGCGAGCAGGACTCACCAAAAGTGATATGGGAAGCAATAAAATCAAAAAATCAAGGTGTAGAACGCGTCAAGGAAGCTCGTCTCCAAACCCTAATGTCTGAATTTGATCGTCTGCAGATGAAAGATTCAGAGACCATCGATAGCTACTCAGGGAAGTTATCAGAGATAGCATCGACAGCAGCCTCGCTAGGTCAACCTATTGATGCACCAAAGTTGGTGAAAAAGTTTCTAAACAGCCTACCCGCAAACAAGTTTATACATCTCATTGCTTCTCTTGAACAAGTCTTGGACCTAAATAAAACTAGTTTCGAAGACATAACTGGGAGATTTAAAGCTTTTGAGTCTCGTGTAAACGGGCAAGCTGCTGCACAAGAAACTCAGCAAAACCTCTTGTTCTCAAATACGGAAGGAGACAACAGTAGAGGAAGAGGACGTGACAGAGGCAGAGGACGTGGTCGGGGTAACAGAGGCAGAGGACGTGGAAGAGGGAGCTCACAAGACAGAGAACAAAAGGACAGATCTAAAATTATTTGTTTCCGGTGTGAGAAACCAGGTCACTTCGCATCTGCTTGCCCGGTTAAGATTCCAAAGGACCAAGAGCTCAACAAAAACGAGACAGAAGAAGCAGATACAGCCTTGTATATGCACGAAATAGTTTACTTGAATGAAGAGAAGGTAATCCCGGAAAAGTTCGAGTCAAACAAAAGAGAAGATGGAATTTGGTATTTGGATAATGGTGCAAGCAACCATATGACAGGAGAGAAAGGATACTTTTCTGAGTTAAATGAGAACATCAAAGGAATGGTGAAGTTTGGTGATGGATCTTGTGTCAGTATTGGAGGAAAGGGATCAATTCTCTTTGAAGGAAAGAACGGTGAACAGAGACTACTAACAGACATCTACTACATCCCAATGTTGAAAAGTAACATTCTTAGCTTAGGACAAGCTACAGAATACGGTTGTGATGTGAGAATGAAGGATGATTATCTCACCTTACGTGATCCTAATGGATGTTTATTGGCAAAGGTAACACGTTCTCCAAATAGATTGTACAAGATCAGCCTAAAAATAGGCAAACCAACATGTTTACACTCAAGAATTGATGAAGAACCATGGAAGTGGCATGCGAGACTTGGCCATATCAGTTTTAAAACGCTGAACTCGATGTCTACACAAGAGATGGTACAAGGCATGCCTAAAATCACAAGTAAGAAATTGTTGTGTGAATCATGTTTGGTAGGAAAACAGACGAGACATTCGTTTCCAAATTCAACACAATATAGGTCTACACGAGCATTGGAATTACTACACGCAGATTTGTGTGGACCTATATCTCCAGCTACACTTGCTAGGAACCAATATATCTTTGTAATAGTGGATGATTACACTAGATATATGTGGACAATTTTGCTCAAAGAGAAGAGCCAAGCCTTTGAGAAGTTTCAAGCGTTTAAAGCTCTTGTCGAGAAGGAATGTGACAAGAAAATTGTAACTTTGCGCACAGACAGAGGCGGTGAGTTTACATCAAGAGATTTTCAAGATTACTGTAACACAAGTGGAATCAGAAGGCATCTTACAGCTCCCTATACTCCTCAACAAAATGGAGTAGTTGAGAGAAGAAATCGTACGTTAATGGAGATGACGCGGAGCATTCTTAAGGCAATGAATGTTCCAAATTATTTATGGGGAGAGGCTGTAAGACATTCAACATATTTGATCAATAGAGTTCCGACGCGAGCTCTAAAGAATCAAACACCGTATGAATGCCTAAGAGAAAGAAAGCCAAGTATCGAGCATCTTAGGATTTTTGGATGCATTGCTCATGCAAAGGTGGAAACAGAGCACTTGAAAAAGCTTGATGATCGCTCACAAACGCTTGTTCATCTTGGAATAGAACCAGGAACGAAGGCATACCGACTTTACAACCCAACAACGAGAAGAGTGGTTGTTAGTCGTGATGTGGTTTTCAATGAGAAGGAGTCTTGGAATTGGAAGGGAGCAGGAAACGAAGAAGATCAACCAGGAATGTTTCGATTAACATGGGGAGCAGCTGTAGACAACGGACAAGGTCCATTCACGGACAATAGCTTGCAACCTGAAGTTGATCAAGAAGAAACAGAGGAAGAAGAAGTGCAGAATCACGACAATGGTGAAACAGAGATAGCACCACTGAGAAGATCAGGTCGACAACGTAATCTTCCAGGTTATCTCGCTGATTATGTACTTCTAGCTGATCTAGAATGTGAAATACTTCTCTTGTCACTCAATGACGAGCCACTAAATTACCAAGAAGCAAAAGAATCAGTCGAATGGACAAAGGCATGTCAAGAGGAAATCGACTCGATTAACAAAAACAAAACGTGGGATCTAGGTGAGAAACCACAAGGTGTAAAAGTGATTGGTCTTAAGTGGGTTTTCAAGATCAAAAGGAACGCTGATGGAACAATTAACAAGTTCAAGGCTAGACTTGTTGCTAAAGGATATGCACAAAGAGAAGGGATTGATTTTGACGAAGTATTTGCACCAGTTGCAAGGTTAGAATCAATCAGAATGTTGATTGGATTGGCAGCTTCACATGGTTGGGAGATTCATCATCTCGATGTAAAGACCGCCTTTCTACATGGTGAACTAACGGAGGACGTTTACGTTTCACAACCTGATGGATTTGAAAAGAAGGGAGAAGAACATAAGGTTTTCAAACTCAAGAAAGCTCTTTATGGTCTACGTCAAGCTCCTCGCGCATGGAACACAAAACTTGACCAAATTCTAAAGACTTTGAAGTTTAAGAAGTGTCAAAAGGAAAGTTCCGTGTACCGCAAGGAAGAAGGAGCTAAGATTTTGATTGTAGCCGTATACGTTGATGATCTTTTTGTAACAGGAAGTACATTGGAACTCATCAAGGAGTTTAAAGCTGGAATGTCTTCAAAGTTCGAGATGTCTGACCTTGGGAAACTTACTTACTACCTTGGTATTGAAGTGAGTCAAGGAATCAACGGAATTGAAATCAAGCAAGAAGCCTATGCTCGTCGAATTCTTAAGGAAGCTGGTTTGGATGCTTGCAACCCGACACACATACCAATGGAGTTCGGTTTGCAATTGTCAAAAGGATTGGATGAACCAGAGATCGACGCTACCATGTATCGAAGAAGGATTGGATGCTTGAGATATCTCTTACACTCTCGACCGGATCTTGCATTCTCAGTGGGGATTCTGAGCAAATACATGCATGATCCAAGAGAATCACACGGCAATGCTTTGAAACAAATCCTAAGGTATCTACAAGGAACGGTAAGCTATGGAATCACATACAAGAAAGGAGCACCAGACATTGTAGGCTATAGTGATAGTAGCCACAACACAGACCCTGACGACGGTAGAAGCACCACGGGACATGTGTTTTATATCGGAGAAGCTCCCATAACTTGGTGCTCGCAAAAACAAGAAACAGTGACTTTGTCTTCATGTGAATCAGAGTTCATGGCAGCTACGGAAGCAGCTAAGCAAGCTATATGGATACAAGACTTGCTAAGTGAAATCACAGGGAAGAAGTATGAGAAGACGATGATCCGCATTGACAACAAATCGGCTATCGAGCTCACCAAGAACCCTGTTTTCCACAAAAGGAGCAAACACATCCACAAACGTTTTCACTTCATCCGTGAATGTGTAGAGAACAAATTGATTGAAGTGGAGCATGTACCCGGAGAAGAACAGCGTGCAGACATTCTTACCAAAGCCTTGGCGAAAATCAAGTTTAAGAAGATGAGAGAAATGATCGGAGTTCAAGATCTCATGAAGAACAACTTGAAGCTTAAAGGGGTGAATGTTGGGTAAGCTTCATGAAGATTCTAGAAGATATCCTTAAAGGAAATAGGAATCTAATTAGGAAAAGGAAAAAGTTGTAATCCTAATCTAAAAAGGAAATTAGAATAGGAAATTCATAACTATATAATTAGAGATCATAAGAAGGATGTATGATCATAAGAGAGCGAAGAGAAAGCTTGTGTTTAGTTTTGAGAAGATTTTCTAAACATTAATAAAGGAAGGATTCTTTATACAAACTTTGAGTTTTTGATTCTTTAAATGTCATCTTTTCAATCCCGACCCAGTGAATCTTTTTGTGATCTTCTGAGTTACTCCACCAAAAATCCATAATAGCGCTTGTCAGATTCTGAATAGTAGTCTTTGGCAGTTTGAAACAGGTCATTGCATAAACAGGGAGAGCCATGGCCACAGATTTAATAAGGACTTCCTTACCACCTTGTGATAAATTTTTTGCAAACCATCCTGTTAGTCTGTTCTTCAATCTGACTTTAATGTAGTCCAACAATTTTTTCTTAGAGCCACTAAAACACTCCGGTAAGCCTAGATAATTCCCTGTCCCACCTTCCATCTCAATCTCTGTTTTATCTTTAATCCACTTCCTTGTAGTATCATCAATTTTAGATCCAAAAGTAATGGCTGATTTCCTTTTGTTGATCTTTTGGCCAGAGATTCTCTCATATATATTTCGCTAGACAATTTAACATCTCCAAACATTGATCTTTATTGGCTTTACATAGAAAGAGACTATCGTCCGCAAACAATAAGTTGTTGATGACTGGACCTGAAGGATGAAATTGAATGCCAGATATTGTACCTTCACGTGTAGATTGATCAAAAAGATGAATCAAAGCTTCAGTGCAAAGTACAAACAGAAAAGGAGAAAGAGGATCCCCTTGACGAATGCCTCTTTCAGGTGTAATAAAACCAAAAGGTTGGCCATTGATCAGTACTGAATATGTAACAGATGTCACACATCCCATTATCCAAGAAATCCAAAGATTATTGAAACCCAGTGAATGTAGAATTTCTTTGAGAAATGACCATTCAACTCTGTCATAAGCCTTAGACATGTCAGTCTTTACTACCATCGAGGATGTAGAAAAAACAGGATGAGATTTCAAACTATGAATAGCTTCATGAGCTATCAAGACATTATCAGATATCAATCTCTCTGAAACAAAGGCAGCTTGAGTAGGAGACACAATATGAGACAGATGCTTCTTCAGCCTATTCACCAAGATCTAATTGACACAATCTTATAAAGAACAGAGCAAAGACTTACGGGTCTTAAATCAGTCATTCTTTGAGGAGGATAGACCTTAGGAATTAAACACAAATGAGTATGATTCCATTCCTCGGGAATGATCCCTGTGTCAAAAAACTTACTAACTTCAGATAACACTTGGTCCTTGATCACACTCCAATATTTTTGAAAGAAAAAGCCAGTCAATCCATCAGGTCCTGGAGCTTTATCACTGTTTATTGAGAAAGCAGCTTCTCTAATTTCTAACTCAGAAATCTTTCGAGTTAAATCTTGATTCATCGCAGTCGAAACTCTTGGCTGAAAATTAAGCAGATACTCTGATACATGGCTAGGAGAAGAAGATTTAACTAGTTCAGAGAAAAACTTGACAGCCACACTCCCTTTTTCTCTATCAGAAAACTGTTCAGTTCCAGAATCATCAATCAGAAACTGTAAAGCATCCTTTGTCCTAGCAGGTTTATTTTCTTTATGAAGTAGAATCTCTGTATTTGTTAGAGGAAATTTTTATTCAAAGTTTGGATTTTTATTGGCCGCAATTCATTTGGTGCTCTTAATGTTTAGATAGCTTGATGAGACAAAAAGATTCCCCTTTTCTGTTTTTTTTATTTTTGTTTTTGACAATCCAATGACAGAGGGGCAAAGTTATCCACCAGAAATCCTCCATGAAGTTTGAAAAGGGGTAAGAAGAACTCTTCAAAGCCCACTTCACGAACTAGAGAAAAATCTACAAAGCAAAAGTGGTCAGACCGGGATGCTCTTGCGGAGAAGGAGGAAGGCAGAGTTGTTGTCAGCTACTAGAATCTCTCTGTCTTTAGATGATCTTGTTTGCTGACTAGAGTTGTTTGGCATTCGGTGTTTTGATATCTTATTTTCTCCATTGGTTTCAAATAAGAGGTCCTCTTGTGGTTAAGTATATATATTGATTTGGATCAAACTAAAACCGACTTAATTTCGGTTTGGATTGGATTAAAATATGGTTTGGTTTATCTCGGGTCTGTGAAATATGGAAGCTTTTAACTTTACCTTCCTTATAAACCACCACAAACCCTACCACACACACTGGATTTCAAAGCATTATTTGTTTACGAACTTCCGAATTAGGGTTTACTGGCGATAACTTGTGATCATGTCATTAGATTTGAAGATGCAAGAGAAATTTACTTGGGTTTTGGAAAACTTCTCATCTTTGCAAGACGAGTGCTACTCTCCCGTCTTCGCGGTCGCCGGCTGCAATTGGTAAAGCCAGAAACGATTACAAAAATCCTTTCTTTTTTCTCTTGTGGAATTTGACTCGACTTTGCTTTTGGTACAGGCGTCTTCTTGCTTGTCCCAGAGGAGTTAGGAGGAATGATCGTTACTTTTCCGTGTATCTTGATCTTGCGCCTGAATCTTCGCCACCAGGATGGAGAAGAGAAGTGAAATTTAGCATTACTCTTGTCAATGTTTGGCCTATTGCGAACAGAGTATTAGGTTAATTGTTTTCATATATATGATCATCGCTTGGGATAGTGATTATGCTATGCGTGCTGATTCCTTCTTTATCTTTATTTTAAGCTCTATGATCTCAGTTTTATGTCCTGTCTTTTTCTCTATGTAGTATCTTATTAGTTAGATCATTGCATGAAACCTAAATGGTATATCTGTTTCTTGGGAATGACAGGAGAGCCATGCTTTTTCGATGCAAAGACTAGCAATTGGGGTTTTGAAGATTTCTTGCTCCTTGAAAAACTTTGTAATAAAGGGGAAGGATTTTTGGTGAATGACAGACTCACTATCGTCGCTGAAGTACATGTTTTACCACCTATTGTTGTGCCATTGGAACCTGTGAAGATTATTGCATCTCTGAGTAGCAACGAAATAAATCAAGCTGATAAATCTCAGGGGGACTCTCCTTGTCATCAAGTGTCCCAAACAACTGATAATGCTGCATCTCAAGAGAAGTTAGATGATATTGATGATGAGAATGATGGTGATGATGATGATGATGATGATGACGACGCCTCTGAAGAGAGTACGGATGATGATGACGGGTCTGAAGAGAGTTCCGATGATGAAGATGCATCCCAGGAGGATACAGATGATAATGATGATGGAGTTTGTGACATAAGTCTTTTGAGCCAATTGATGAATGCCTTAGAGGATGCTTCTCATACGGAAGAAAATCATGGTATAAGTTGTAATAGTGTGTTGGCTGAGACTGAGGTTTCCAATGGTGAAAATGATGATGCACCTAAAAAAGATGATGATGATGATGAGGCTTCATCTCTTGTTTTGAATGATAGTGATAGAAACGGAAGTACTATAGAACAAGTGAAAGTGACGAGGCTTCATCTCTTGTTGGAGGATGCCTCTCAGACATTTAAAAATGGTGGTACGGGGCTTAACACCGTGGCATCTGTTATGGGGACTTGTGATAATGTGCTTATGGAGATTCAACAAGTACAGGAAACAGTGGATATCAATGGATTTGAGGTTGTTTCTTCCAAGGTAAGAACGCGATTCATCTTCAATTGTTATCTGTAATATATGGTATAGAGTATGTTCTCTCTGTTTTCAAACCCCCAAAGCATGCTCTCTCTCTCTCTCTCTCATATATGTTTTCAATCGCAGGTGGAATCTGTGAGACGTATATTCGAAAGACACCCAGACATTGCTGTGGAGTTTCGTGGAAAGAACCAACATCTGAGGAACGCATGTATGAATTTTCTGCTCAGCTTAATCGAGACGATGTGCCAATCACTTGAGGAGCTCTCCAATGAAGATCTTGTGGAAGCAGACATTGCGTTGACATACTTGAGAGATGCAGGGTTTAAGGTGGATTGGTTGGAGAAGAAGCTGGACCAACTAAAGGAAAAGAAGGAGGAAGAGATGTCTGGTTTGGCCCGGCTCCATGAGATAGAGGAAAATCTAGTGATATTGAAGCAAAAGTGGTCAGACCTGGATGCTCTTGCAGAGAAGGAGAAGGCAGAGTTGTCGGCCACCAGAGCTGCCATGTCTTTCGATGATTTTGTTAACTGACTTGAGTTCTCTTTAGGCATTTGGTGTTCTGATATCTTTTTTTTTGTCCTTGGGTTTCAAATTAAGAGGAACTCTTGTAGGGTAATTGAACTTATGTCAGTATTTTGCTGCGAGATGGTCTATCAAATTTTTAGCTAACAAATTTGTTGTCTCGTTGTGTTTCTTGGCGACAAACTAAATCCCTTTCATTTGTCACAAAATAAGGAAAGAAACTAAATCGCTTTGTGCATGAAACAGAGATCTTCAAGTTCTTAGGTACTTGGAGTTTAAAGACTACGTTTCAAATTGAAAATTCCTATGTGTTTAAAGTTTTTATATTTTGTGAAGAGTATTGAACAAAGAGTGGCACTTGAAGAGTCAGATGCTTATGATTCTTGATGATAAAGTAACCTCCTTGTTTATGAAAACAGAGAAAGACACTTGAAGAGTCGCGGTCAAGCCAGTGTCTCTTACCGTTTACTTGTTTATTTCTTCTCTTCAGGCACTTCGTATCTTGATTTTGAGCAATCTTTATAGCGTCAATGGAGAAGCAAGCTCATAAGAAGTTTTATTGGATAATAAAGAACTTCTCTCCGCAATCTGAGAGGTTATATTCTGTTCCAGTCTTGATCGGGGACTGCAAATGGTAAAACTAGAACCTTTCTATCATATATTTTCACCAAATTAGATTAAGGTTATTGTTGGGGTCGGATTCCATCCTTTGGCGCCGAGCCAGACTTAGAACACCTCGGAAGTTTTACAGAGATTACCTCGGGATATCGCATCATCCACCTCGGGTTACCCACCTAATCGATTAAGGAGACCCGAGCACATCGCCTCGGGGATACCTGAACAAGACGTCTCAAGCACCCGAGTCCAATTGCCTCGGGGGAACCCGAGCCAGTTGCTTCGGGGGTACCCGAGCCCAGTCTTCTCGGAGGTACCCGAGCCTAGTCGTCTCGGAAGTACTTGAGCCCAGTCGTCTCGGAACGCCCGAGCCCAATCGCCTCGGAACGCCCGAGCCCAATCGCCTCGGAGCGCCCGAGCCCGTCGCCTCGGGGTACTCAAACAAGCCATCCTAGAGTGCCCGAGCCATTCCTTCCTGTGTGCCCGAGCCGGTTGCACAAGTTCTCCGAGGCGAAGTCTTCATCATCACCCGAGGCAAAGACTTGGTAAATATTCACCTTCAAAGTATCATTTCCAAGTAAGGTATCATTTCCAAGTAAGGTGTCATTTCCGAAGGATCATTTCCGATAGACCCGGAAATGATAGGGGAGAATCTCGAAAGATCAACTCAAATCAGGAAACCCCCGAAAAATAAGGAAACTATCCTAATCCGCGATATTCTGAGCCGACTTCAAGATAAATGGAAATCTTCCGAGAATATCGCTGGAGAGGCGGTTTATCACCCCTATATAAAGAGACTCAAGACTCAAGCAAAAGGGAGGCAATATCGCTCTAGAATTTACACTACGCAAAGCTCTCACAGTACAAACATCTTTTTCCTTTTACGATCAAACTCTTGTACGATCAAAGTCATCTTTTTCTTAATAATATCAAGAAAACCATCTTTGGTAACAATCGTTTCTGTTGTTCTTTGAGAATTCACGATTATCGTATCCCTAAAATAAAACCCTAGACAAATCTTGATTGTGTTAGTTTCGACTTCCACAGTTATATCGTCTATGGTACTCATTATTCTGTCTTTTTGTTTTGTTGTAGGCGTCTTATTGCTTATCCCAAGGGAGACTTCTGTGATTACTTTTCTCTGTTTCTAGAGCTTGTTGATTTTGAATCATTGCCTTGTGGATGGGGAAGATACGCAAAACTTCGGTTAACGTTAGTGAATCGACTTTTTCCAAATCTTTCCATAGTTAAAGGTAGTTTCTTCACCAAACTCTGCTTGATTCATTTTTTTTTTTAATTCTCCTTTGTCTTTGTCTCTAAAGAAATGGAAGTTGATATCTAATCTCTTACTCGTTGTACAGTGAGATTATGGTTCTATGTTGTGTAACGCTTGTTTGGGTTCTAGTTTCTAAGTTTGTCAAATGTGTGTTGTGTAAGTTTTGGGATTTTAGTTCAGTCTTTTATGCTCATGCAGTGTTCTTTTTGAGATTATTTAAATTTTTAGATGAAATGTTGCAGAAACAGAGCACTGTTTTGATGACAAGTGTAGCACTTTTGGTTTTCCAACTATGCTTCCCATTTACAAACTTCAAGAGGAAGATCATGGATTTCTGGTGAACGGAGAAGTCAAAATTATTGCAGAGGTAGATGTTTCTGAATCTGCTGGGACATTAAATGAATCAGAGATTTCGGAAGAATCATCTGATCTTCTGATCAAGAAAAAAGGGAATGATGGCAATGAGTCTGATGATTTGCTCAAGAAAACTTTATCAGTAAAGGAAAGCAACAATATAATTAATGGGACTAAACAGGTAAGACAATTTAGAAACTTTGTTTTACTTTGAGGGAGAGATGCCACTATTTGTTCTGTATTACTAAAGCATATTTGATTGCTAGGAATCTTTCATCACATCAGTGGAGAAGCAAGTTGGAAAGGATTTCGTGTGGATGTTAGAAAATTTTTCCTTTTTGAATTCTGAGAAATGTTATTCTGATCCATTTGTGATCCGTGGTGTCAAATGGTAAAAATGAAACTCTTCTTACAAATGTTCTTCCTCCTTTTAAAGTCAGGTGATACATTTTTACTTGCTTGGTGTTTTTTTCGGCAGGCGTCTTCTTGCTGAATGTGACCTTGTGTCTCTGTATGTGCATCTGTGCGTTGCTGATTCTCAATCATTCCCTTCTGAAGTTGTAAAAGTTCGTCTAACTATAGTAAATCAACAATTTGAAAAGCTATCAATCTTGAAAGGTGATTCTATTTACAGTGTTCACTTGTTGATTCATTTTTGTTCATGAATGATTGCAAGTTCTTCTAGTTTGTTCATTTTTGTTCTAATTGGGACTGGAGTTACTGCTCCTCTAGCATGTTTTAACTCTTAAGTTTCTTGCCAAGCTGCAGAAAAGGATGTTTTAGACTCAGGAGCTTAGTTAAGATTATATTTTAGTACCTACTCATGAGTAGAAAGTGATTTTACAGATTCAGAGCACTGCTTCGATGAGCAGTATCCTACCCTGGGATATACAATCCCTTATGAACTCCTAGTGGAAGATGGTGGATTTTTGGTGAACGGAGATCTCATGGTTGTTGCTGATGTTATTGGTGCATCAGATATATTTGAAGAATCCATTCCCCAGAGAAAGTTAGATGTCAATGGATTTCATGTTCTTCCTTCACAGGTAATCAAGATTCTCCAAGACAAAATTAGTATGTATTTAGGTTTCCAAAAACTTGTATGATATGACATCCTTTCACTTGAAGGTACCATCGGTGACGCGTATATTCGAAGTACACCCTGACATTGCAGTAGAATTCCGTGCAAAGAACCAACATCTGAGGACAACATTCATGAATTTCCTGCACAGCTTAATCGAGACGCTGTACCAGCCACTTGAGTGGCTTTCCAATGAAGATCTGGTGGAAGCAGACATTGCAGTGACATACTTGGAAGATGTGGGATTTAAGGTGGATTGGTTGGAGAAGAAACTGAACCAACTAAAGGAAAAAAAAAGAGAGAGAACAGTCTTGTGAGGCCAGAGTGCAAGAAATAGAGGCACAGCTTCATGACTTGAAGCACAAGTTTGAGACGGAGAAAACAGAGTTGTTGGCCACTAGAGCTCCTATGTCTTTCCATGATATTGTCTGATCACTTTAGTTCTTGGGCATCCTTGGTGCTTTGATTGGTTTAATAATAAGAGTCTTCTTGGTGCTCTGATGTATATTTGATATTCGTATGTATATTTTATCACTTTTTTCTGAAAACTGTATTTTGCTACCAAATTTGTTATCTAAGTTTATCTAAGTTTCAGCTACCAAATTTGTTAGATCTTTTGGGGGAGTTCCTCACATGGATATGAGTCTTGATGAAAAAGTAACCTCTCTAAGTCTGAAACAGTGACTTGAACTGAAGTCATTGCTTTGACGTAGACTCCTTTAACATAAATTGGCATTTTCCAACATTTAATTGGTAGTTTTGGCTTATTATCAAGTCACGATAAGTATAGCCGTTTTTTTCTCTGTTTTAGAAGCATCTCTATTGGTTTATCTTCTTCAAATACTGCGCTTACCTAGACTCCTTTAATACTCATCTGTCGAACAATATACTTATGGCAGAGTATCAAGTCACGAGGGACCAAAGACTGTTTTCATTCGCGCACATCATTCGAGAACCATGCATATTTTCGTAATATATGTATGCGTTGCAGGTAGAATTATCTCAAAAGACAGAACTCCCTCACCGACTTTGTAAGGTCAGCATAGCTTCTTCTTTTTTGCCTCGTTGCTTTTTGCAACACTGAATGTTTATCTTCTTTCTGCACCTGCAATATTTCTATCATACTAGTGTCAATGAAATCACAGAGTAATCACTACAAAAAAAGCTCACATTGATAGCACTGTTTTATAGCACGATTTTCGAAATTGCTATCGAAGATAAAGTTGTAATTTGGTTTTGATATTATAGCAGTGCATAAATGCTAAGATATAGTTTTAGTAAGCGGAAAACTTTTTTCACTTACTCCGCCAATTACTTAGCCAATTTTTCACTTTTTCGAACTCTTTTCTTATTTTCTCCTTTTTCTTTTGTTCTATCTCTTTTCATTTCAACACTTGCTCGAAAACCCTCAAGCTTAATAATTCTGCCCTAAAATCTCTTATACACACTAACTCCATCATGTAGCCACAAATTAAACCCTCAAGCTTAACACTTCTGCCCTAAATTCATAGCCGCTAGCTGTGTAACTTACCGTCGGCCCTAATTTCAAATCTATTTTCTGGATAGAACTCCGATTGAAGGCATGTGTATCTTACTCAATTGATTTATTTCTTCTATTGTACTTATTTCTTTTGATTCGGTGTCGTGACAGTTCTATAAAGTTTCGATTTTGGTTTAACGGTGGGGAACGGAGATCTGTTAGGAGACAAGGTTTGATAGAATCGGCGAGGTTTCTGAGTTGTGCGAGTAGCGGACGTGTGATGAGGGAGCCATCTATGCTTGTGAGGGAGGCTGCGGCGGAGCAGCTCGAGGAGAGGCAGAGCGATTGGGCTTATTTTAAGCCTAGACATTCACGGTCTTTGTCGGCGACTTTACAGCCTAGACATTCACGGTCTTTGTTGCAAACATCGTCTTTCTTCTCATTTGATTCATTGCCGCTATTAAATTCAGCCGCCGCTTTTGGTGTTGATGGAGGAGAAGTTCCGTTTTGGTGTCGATTGAGGTTTCAGATTGGTCTAATTTGGTGAAGGAATAACCGAGAGAAGGCTTTGTACAATTGAGATGGAATCAAAACGATTGGTTTGGCGCAATTCCAGGAGCGTTGAAGGAGCTGCAAGTGAGTTCATTTTGAATTTTCAATCCTATTCTTGTTTAATATGTAGAAATTTGATTTGGTGATTCTCATAACAAGTGTTTTTATGTCAACGAGAATGTTAATGTAAGTGACTTGGATTTGGTTCAATTTTCACTAAGGAATCACGTTGGAGGGTAAGAGATGGAGATTTAATTTGGGGATTTAAAGGATTGAAGATGGAGAAGGCGAAGGATTTTGTGTTGATTTTTGAAATTTACATGCAGATGGTAGAACGATGCCACAAAGTTCTTGTTCGAAAGGCGCTGGAAGTGATTACAAGTTTATAGATGGATGGAATTTGTATGTCTTGATTTCACGATATCTTTCAAATTGTTTCTAATCGTGCCTGTTATTTGGTATTATGGATTGCAGATACTATAACTCACTTCCACCAATAACCAAGGTTTTACATGTTTCAGTTGATTGATAATGTGCATGTTGGTCTAAACGATTCTCTTTTACTTTGCATTCTTCTGTTGGATTGTGGCTTATGTGTTTTGTTTTCCTTGTTGTTCATTTTTTTTCCAGACCTTCATAAAAGGGATTTGACTGAATGGGAGGAAATTCAATGAAGATGTTGCAAATTACGTGTATGTTTGATTTTTGCAATCATATTGTTGAAAGTTTTCTTTGTTTTTATATCGTGTAAAGAGTTTATGCATATTGTGATAATTAGATATAAGTTAATAGATCTCAGTTTGTTTTTTTTAATTGGTTATATGGCTGGCCTGCAACTGCTCATTGGGCTGTTTCAAAATAGACAAAGGTAAGTTTGTTTTCTTTCTTTTGACTTTGTAATTGAATTCGATGAGTGTCTCTACTTTTCCTATTTTTCTTCAACATCATGACCCTTGACTGACTAAATATTTTTCCATGGAGCTGAGTGTTGATAATCGATTTGTGTATTTGCAGGAGTTAAAGTGAAGCCAAGAAAGTCGTTTACTCTTAAGGCTACTAAAGCAACATGAATAAGAAGACGTCACCTGTCCCATCTTAATATACATGGGTAAGTTTGTTACTTCTAAATTAGTACTTGTAGTTCTTTTTGACTTGACTGATCTTTGGCTTATGCGACATTGGGGCATGAAATTAAATCTAGGGTAGTCAGACAAAAAATATCGTCTTAGGTCACCACAACAATCACTCTTATGTACTAGTATGTGAATTATCTAAACCAAGTTGACATAACATCTTCTACCTAATTTTCTTATCTGACAATATTTCTCACTTTTTATGTCAAATTATATGCAGCCAATGCAAGAAGATGAGCAAGCTTGGATGGGTTATATCTCAAGAAGTTAGTTTATCCTTATGATGTTAGTTTTATTTTGGTTAGACTTAGGTATACTTTCGATGTTAATTAGTATAATGATTGGTATGATGTTATGTAAACATTGTTCAAAATTTATGAAATATTAAAGTTTTTCTATCCAATTAAATAAATTCTAAAAACAGGATTCAAATATAAGAATTATATAAATCAAATTGTAAGAAAAAATTGGAAAAATTCATAAATTGTTATGAACAACTAAATAATGGCATTAAATTATTGCTATGAAAAAGTAAATAATAACACTAATAAAGTGCTATTGTATATGAAGATACTATAGCAGACAAAATTAATGCTATCGTAGGTGGGGCATCTACCATAGCTGCCGAGATCATAGCAGTTGTAATTTCGCTATGTATTACCTACGATAGCAGTTTTTCCCCGCTATCAATATACGTTTTTCTTGTAGTGAATTCAACTTCTGTACTTCCTGATTACATTTAGACTAGTGCTGCATTGTTGGAGTACAGTGTTTGTGCCTCTCTCTCTCTCTCTCTCTCTCTCTCTCTCTCTCTCTCTCTCTCTCTCTCTCTCTCTCTCTCTCTCTCTCTCTCTCTCATATACTTATAAAATAATTACTAAACCCTAAGTCTTGTTACTTGTGCAATACTCATAAGATACAAGAGAATATATGTATAAATATAGATATAGGATATTTCTATATATAACTAGATATCCTAATACGTAGTAGATTCTAATTTAATTCTGATGTTGCTCGATACAGAGTTTGATTGGCATATCACTTTGGATATGTGTGTGTGTTATAATCAGTCAAAGAGACTTCTTTTCTTCAGGTCTTGTAATTTGATTTGGAGTAAGCTTTTTGTATATTGATCGATGGCAAAGCAAGGTTATAAGAGGTTCGCTTGGGTGATAAAGGACTTCTACTCTTTGCAATGTGAGAAGTGTTACTCTGTTCCATTCCTTATTGGTGACTGCAAATGGTAAGCTATTTTCAAGCCTTTTGTTTAGATATAGGATCTATCATCCATGGTTATTGGTGACTTGTTTTCTTTTGCTTTTTTCAGGCGTCTTTGTGCTTATCCCAAGGGAAGAAACGTTAATTACTTGTCTCTGTTTCTGGATGTTGTTGATTCTGAATCATTGCCTTCTGGATGGAGCAGATACGTCAAAATTCGTCTAACCGTGGTAAAACAGGTTTCGGAAGAGCACTCAGTAATAAAAGGTGATTCTTAACTTGAGTCTGCTAGCTAACTGGTTGATTTAAAAAAAATCTCAATGACCCTTGTCAGATTAAGTGGTGTAACCATTTTAGATAGATGCATCCTTACATACATTTTTTTAAATCTGAAAGAGGTTTTGTTATGAACCTAGTTAATATTTATGATGTTTTGTAAAAAAAAAATTGTGTTGAATTCTATAATGGTATTTCAGTGATGTGAGAGATTTAGTTCAGTAAATATTTTTGCCAAGTAATGAACACTAATGTTAAGTAGTACTTTGTTCGATCAGAAACGCATCGCTGGTTTGATGAGAAGCATTTGGGCTGGGGTTTTCCAGCTATGCTTGACCTCACCAAACTCCATGACGAGATGGATAGGTTTCTCGTAAATGGAGAACTCGTGATTGTTGCAGATGTTCAAGTTCTTGAAGTTGTTGGCACTGTAGATGAATCGGCGGAAAGTGAAGAGGCATCTGAACCTGTAAGCAAGATGAAGGTAGATGATGGTGCAAAGTCTATTGATTTGCTCAGCCAGACTCAACAAGTGAAGGAAAGCATTGATGTCAATGGGTTTCAAGTTCATCCTTCACAGGTAAGAATGGTGGAAACTTCTTGTTACTTCACAAGAGCGAGATCATATCTTTTTTTGTTCCCAGATCTCCAAAGATTGCTCTCCGAATGCTTTATACTTCCTTTGTTTTTCACTCTCAGGTGGAATCCGTGAGATGTATTTTTGAAAAACACCCAGACATTGCAATAGATTTCCAAGTAAAGAACCAACATCTGAGGAAAACATTCATGAATTTCCTGGTTAACGTAATCGAGACGCTGTGCCAATCTCTTCAGGAGCTCTCCAAAGAAGATCTTTTGGAGGCAGACATTGCACTGACATACGTGAAAGATGCAGGATTTAAGGTGGATTGGTTGGAGAAGAAGCTGGAGGAAGTAAAAGAAAAGAAGGGGAAAGAACTGTCCGGTTTGCTCCAGCTCCAAGAAATGGAGGATAATTTACTGAAACTGAAGGAAAAATGTTCAGACCTGGATGCTCTAGTGGATAAGAAGAAGGCAGAGTTGTCGGTTACCAGAAGTCCGCTCTCATTCGATGATGTTGTTTGATCATTTCAATTTTTATGCTATTGGTGTTCTGATATCTTAATTTCTCCTCCCTTGTTTTAGAAATAAGTTTACTGAACTTGTGTGAGTTTGTGACAGCTTTGGTCTATTGAAATTTCGGCTACCAAATATGTCGTATCACTCAGTTTAAGTGCCTTGGAACATTTATCTTGGAAGGTTCTTAGGCTCTTGGAGTTCATTAACTAATGGACATAATGTTAGTTAATACTTAATACGCAATGGAGGGAGACTCTGTTTTTGAATATTCAAAAGTTAAAAGGCTTTTTGGTTTAGCATTGAGTTTGGTTCAAATACTGGTTTAGAATCGAATTTATTGTGGATTCTGAATACAGTATATCGTGGCTCTTGGTTCGGGAGTTTGATTCAGATTTTAAATTTGGACGATTTACTTCGAAATATAAAAAGAAAAGGAGAGTTGGCACATTAAATGAATAAGCAATATCTGAAGAGGCATCTGAACTTGTGACCAAGAAAACTAAGAAATCGTTAAAATTTGTGTTACTTTACAGTAGAAACACGATTAAAATGAGTAACCCTAAAAACAATTAGTATGTACCATTTTAATCGTGTTTCTACTGTAAAGTAACACAAATTTTAACGATTTCTTAGTTTTCTTACCTGTTTGACATTGTTTCTTTCCTTTATTGGTGAAGTTTTCTTAAGCAAATCATTAGCTAGAGTTACTTGTAGTCTGTTTATCAAGTCTCCAAAGACTGATGTTTCCACAATTCCACTTGCAGGTAGAAAATTCTGTGAAATGCAGTCCAACGAACAAACGTCTGTGGATAGCTTTTCTGGTTATCTTCTTACTAATCGGAGCTCTCGCATGAGGAAATTCTTGGCTGCAAAAATGAAAATTTATATTTTAGAGAAGAGGTGATCAGACGTGGAACCTCTCATTTGGTGAAGCCGTTATATAATGCTCGTTGATTATTATTAGGCCTTTTGGTATTTTGCCGTTTATTTGCTCTGTCTTGTTGTTTTAAGTCTTCTTTGTAAGGTGTGAAACCAACTCATGGTTTAGTTTAATTAGTTTCGGTTTAATTTGGTTGAGACCGGTTTGCTTTAATTTTGTCTGGGTCGGATTACGGTTCTTTGACTTGTTTTGAAAGTTTTCCTTAAAACCCTAAACACTACGACTGATCAATTTGGGTATCAATATCATCAGATTCAGTTTCTAGGGTTTAGTTAGTTCTTTCCTTGTTCTCTCACACACAGTTCCATTGCGAATCCTCTTTTAATGTGCGAGCCAGTGGAGAAGCGATTTCTATGGGTTTTGAAAAAGTTCTCAACTTTGAAAGACGAGTGTTACCTCTCTCGCCCTTTCGTGTTCTCCGGCTGGAACTGGTAATTGAGAGAAACGATTATCAAAGATTTCTAACCAATTTCCTCCATTCTATTTTGGATTTTGGGAATTGATCTTTTGGTGTGGTTCCTTTGCAGGCGTATTATTGCGTTTCCCAACAACAAGGGACACTTGTCTCTGTATATAGGTCTCCTAAATCCTGAATCTTTGTCATCAATTTGGACAAGAAAAGTGAAGTTCCGTCTCACTGTAGTGAATAAGATTTCGAAAGATGATACCAAAGTATTAGGTTAGTCTCTTCATATAGGGCCTCATCATTCTCTTATGCCTCTCTGTGTGTTTTCTTACAATTCTTTTATGGTTAAGATCACTCGATGAGACAACATTTTAATCTCTCTTATTTCTGATGGACATAACAGATGGGCAAAAACTTTTCACTGCACGTAACCACAGATGGGGTTTTAGCAAGTTCTTGCGCTGTCATAAACTTAGAGATGATGGATTTTTGGTGGGTGACAAACTCATTATTGTTGCTGATGTACATGCTTTACCAACATTTAGTACCCCAGAGGAGTTTGAGAAGTTTTTGGAATCTCTGAGACTCATGAGAGTCTCTTTTAACAGATCTAAGAGAGACTCTTCCTGTCAAGTGGTGCAAAAAACTGAGAATACTGCATCTCAAGAGATTTTGGATGATGATGACGCATCTGAAGATGGTGATGATGATGATGGTGCATCTGAAGATGATGATAATATCTCCTCCGAAGAGGATTCAGATGATGGTGGCTCATCTGAAGAGGGTTCAGATGATGATGATGATGCATCTGAAGAGGGTTCAGATGATGATGATGATGCATCATCTACAATTTCTGATGATGAAGGTAGGGGAAAAAGTCCCTTGAACCAGTTAAATGATTTGAAGGGCGAATCTCTTAAAGTAGGGAATCTTGGTATGAGGTGTAACAATGTGGCATCTAAGACTGAGGTTTCCAATGTGGATAATGATGATGCACCTCAAGGGGCTTCCCATGATGATGCATTTGAAGATGGTCAGGGTGATGATGATGATGCTTCATCTCTTCTTTCGAGTGTTAATGATAAAGATGTAAGTTCTATAAACAAACTGAAGTCCATGGAGGATGCTTCGAAGACAGTAGAAAATGGTGATACAGGGTGTACCAATGTGGCATCTGCTACGGAGGCTTCTAATGATCTGCTCAAGGAGATTCAACCAGTAAAGGAAACCATGGACGTTAATGGTTTTCACGTTTTTCCTTCACATGTAAGAATGAATCCATCTTCTCTTCTTTTTAGTCTGAAACTGGGAACCTCCATTTCTCATGTAGTTCAGGTTTTAGTCTCACAATCTTGTTCCAATATAGTTTACCTTGTTTTCACTTGCAGGTAGAATCGGTGAGCCATATCTTTAAAAGACACCCGGACATAGCATTAGGCTTCCGTCCTAAGAACCAACAGATCAGAAAAGCTTACATGAATGAACTCCTTAGCGTCATCGATATGCTGTGCCAGCCACCGGAAAAGCTCTCCGAGGATGATCTGAGGAATGCTGATGAGACACTTGTTGATCTGATTGATGCCGGCTTTAAGTTGGATTGGCTGAAGACAAAGCTGGATGATATCTCTGAAAAGAAGAAGATAGAGCAGGGTAGTGGTGCCCGGCTACAAACAATGGAGGAAGAGCTGCAGAAGCTGAAACAGATGTTCTTGGATCTTGAAACTCAGCTGCAAATGGAAAAGGCAGAGGCTTCGGCCGCGAGAGCTCCTCTCTCGTTCAACGATGTTGTTTGCTGATTTGCTAGGAGTACTTAGATAAATCATTGTCTTTTGATGACTCATGACAATTCTTTTGTAAGTCGGAGGTAGTTACATTAACCTGAGAGGTAATTTTTAAAAATCATTTGAATTATATCTGGAGCTGAATTTAGGTTCTTCGGGCTAAAAATGCCTTTCAGTCACCAGAGTTCGAGATGGAGAAGGCAGAGTTTTCAGCCACCAGAGTTCCTCTCCTTCGATAATATTGTTTGATCACCTGAAATTCTTTGGCGTTCTTGATGTTCTGATTTCTTCATCTCTGTTTTAGTTTTGAATTTGAAGAGATATAGTTTTCTTGTAAGATAGATAAATTAACTTTTATGCAGGTTAGAAGTTGTCGTTTTTTTTGTTTGTGAAATAGGTATTTTGCGGCCGATGATTAATTAAAACTTGAGCAACCAAATTTTCTTTGTATCTGAAACAAATCTTCTTTTGGAGAGTTCTCAAATGGATATGAATCTTGACAATAAAGAGAGTGGCACTTGAAGGGTCCGTGCCTAAACAGCTGCCTTGAGGGAGACTCCTTCAATGCACATTGGTAAATCCATTCACTACAAGAAAAATTTACATTCTTAGCGCGGAAAAAATGCTATCATAGGTAATACATAGCGAAATAACAACTGCTATGATCTCGGCAGCTATGGTAGATGTCCCACCTACGATAGCATTAATTTTGTCTGCTATAGTATGTTCATATACAATAGCACTTTGTTAGTGTTATTATTTACGTTTTCATAGCAATAATTTATTGCCATTATTTAGTGGTTCATAGCAATTTATGAATTTTTTCAATTTTTTTTGATAATTCAAATTGGGTGCTATAATAGATCACTATACAATAGCAAATATTTGTTGCGTTAATTCATGTTTTCATAGTGCCATCTTTAAAAATATAACATGCTATCATATGTAATATATACTTATATATATATATATAACCTGTAAATTTAAAATGAAACCATTTATAACATCTCAAAAACATTCCAACATACTTAAAACACTTCCGCATCATACCAAACACAATTCCGAATCCAACATACCAAAAACAATTCCAAATCCAACATACCAAACATTAAACATTCTGAATCCAAAATACATAAAGACTAGTCTTAACCTAAATTAAGCTAGCTGGACCAAAGTTGCTTCATCCCCTGCAATTAATAATGGACATTGTCTTATATTAGTTTTGCACCTGAAAAACCAAAAACACAATTATCAAAATAAAAAATACTTACCTCAGTTGGACGATAGTCAATACATGACCAAGTTATCAGTTGGCCATGCGATAAATGAACCAAGTGCATCTTTCATATACTCAATCTCATATGATGTCCTCCAAACCGCTGCATCATCTACCTGGACTATATCTACCAAAACTTGCGCAGCATTAAGACCCAAAGGAGCACAGTGTACACGTCTCTCTGGATCAGTTGAAATCACCCGTCCTTCAGCAACAACTTGCTTCCTTTCTTTAATATCCAGTAACATACACTTCTGATTTTCCTGTATAGCTCCTTTTTTCCGCTGACAAGTTGACCATATTAACCAATTACTACAGTAAAATGAGACAGAACCATAATCAACTTTAGAACATATAAAATAAGTTACCGGAGATCTTCGAAGAGGCCGGGACGGTGCAGCTGTTTGAGTTTCCACTGCATTAGCTTTTGGAACTGTTGTTGGAGACTTCTCACATGATGCTGAGATTGGTTGCATATGCGACTTAGAACCTGTTGCTGCGGATTTTTTACTTGCTGATGCTGATCTTCCATGAGCTGGTTGCGATTTAGAACCTGTTGCTGTGGATTTTTGACTTGATGATGCTGATTTTCCATGAGCTGTTTGAGTAGATGCATAATTCTGAATAGGAGATAACCGGCCTGTTCCATCTGGGTTGTTTTCGAAGACAACTTTGTTGAAAGGCCATGCTACAAAGGACATTAAACAGTCTTCTATGTATGTAACATCCATTGTAGGCCTCCATATGAATGTATTGGCTTCATGTACCACATCAACAAACACTTTTACAGCCTTTGGTCCGAGTGAAAGTCCATTCACCAAAGCTTTACGATCTTGCGTGGTCCAACGGCCTTCAGCAACAACTACATCATCGTTAGACAGATCAAGTAGTTTGCATTTGTTCAAAGAATTGGCTCGTGTGCCCTGTTAAACGCATAAAACAATGTCAGAATTTTAAATCATCAACAATCTGTATAAGCTTATTAATTAATGAACAAGTTAGAAACTTTACTAGTGGTGCCATGTCTTCTTCCTGAACCCCCTGTTCTAGACTAACACACTTCGTGGCAGGCCATGCAATCATATGCCCAACAGATTCTTCAATTGTTGACATTCCCATAGTATTTCTCCAAAGGAATGCTTCTGGTACCGTGGCAGTCTCAACCAAAACTTTATAATCTAAAGGACCTAAACGTGTCCCATTCACAACATCCTCTGGATCAGTAGATATAATACGTCCCTCAGCAACATTCGCATCATCACCAGCCCAGTCAATCAAAATACACTTTGGTTGTGCTTTTTTGTTAACACTCTATGCAGATTTAGAGTAGAAAAAAACAAGTCAGACTTTATAGTTATAAAGAAATCAATTTCATGGATTATTAATCACTTACCCCTGCAGCAGATCTAGAGTTTTCACCAACTTCAGTTTCTTGTCCCTGTGACATGCCAGAAAAAATATTAACTTTTAATTTATGTTACAACCCAACAGCTTAATGTACAAAAAATACAAAAGTGCATTACCTGGTTCTGCAGTTTACCAAGTTTATTTTCTAGCTCATTAACCTTGTCCTGGAGATGAATTTGTTTCTTTTCCATTTCAACCATACACTTGTGATTAACTTCGAAACAAGCTAATTTCGTCTTAGTCATATTTCTCCCCATTGCCCTCATTCGACCGGGATTATCAGGTCCTAATAGTTCGACAAGTGTATCTTGTCCTTCATTTGTTTCAACAGAATTAACAAGTTCAGCTGCCTTTTTCTGCAAATTTAGTTACATATCAAAAACAATTCCAAAAATCTAAATCTATACTGAAAACCAAATTCACGATGTACATAACTTATAACTTACAATTTTTTCAGCTGCATCAGTATTCACTGGTGTCCCATCCTTTCTAGTACGCGATCTCACCCACACATCAGTTCTTGTCACATCAGAAGGATCTGATTTCTCTCGTCTCTCTTCTTTCTAAACAAATAAAAAAAATAGATCATTCAAAATACTTGTTAAACTGATGAGAATTAATAATCCAAAGCATTTGGCGTACCAAGTCTTCAGCTAGTCTAACCATTCCTTTGCGACTACAAGTGTGTGGAATTTGTAGGCTCTTCCTTTTCTTATAGCTATCACTCACAACCTAACACATGATTATAGATATGTCATATTATTCATAAACAAACATAAAGCTTACTTACTTCAGAAAATAATACCTTAAACTCAGGACTAGTTTTGAGCTTGACAAATTTACGCCAAGCAGCTTCAGTAACATTCTTAGGTCGCAGATCCATCCTTTCTTTCAAAGTCGTAGCTTCATTAACTTCCCTAACCACTCGTGACTTGTGTGACCTCCACAAATTTCCCATCTGTTCAATCAATGCTTTCTTTTGGTAATCTTCTTCTACTTCAAACCTTGACTGCAATCAATCAAGGTTTTAAGAAAAAAACATTTCAACCTGGAAAGATTAAGTAAATAGATGTCAAATTACAGAAAAGTTTACCTTGACAGACATCCAGAGCATTGTCTTCATATCCTGAGGGACTTTTGGCCAACTTTCAATGGATACAGGAACGTGTTCTCGCACAATTATACCAAGATACGTTGACAACTTAACAGACCCATGACCATAATGTTCTCCCATGAAAGTGAAGTTAACCTTTAATCTGCTATTTGGATTCCTGGCGATGTCTCTCAATCTTGTTGGTCCTCGCTTTCTCTTACCTGTAGGTTTAGCTACATGATCGTGCTCGTCAGTCCCATCATTAACTCCTGGCTGATCTTCTACAGGCTGCTCTTCTAAAGGATGCTGAGCCTGCTCTTCTGAAGGCTGAGCTTCTACAGGCTGCTCTTCTGAAGGATGCTGATCCTGCTCTTCTAAAGGCTGAGCTTCTACAGGCTGCTCTTCTGAAGGATGCTGATCCTGCTCTTCTAAAGGCTGAACTCCTTCTAGACGCTGGTTGTGTTGTAAGTTATGATCAGGTTGTGGCGGGTTTATTGTACCCAAGAATTCTGGCTCTTCAGAATCTTTCTTCTTTTTTCTCCCTCCACGGTTTGTTACTTTCTTTGGTCCCATGTCAACTCACCTGAAATAAATGAAAGACAATAGGGTTAATTAAACAATTACGAAGCAGCTGTCATCAGATATATAGCAAATGGAAACACAAATACAAATCAAACAATTACCAAGCAGTCAACAGACGTAGCAAATAAAACAAGAATGTGAATGCCAAACAAACACAACTAAAAATAAAATAATTACCAAGTAGTCATCAGACATAGCAAATAAAGCAACAACAATGTAAATGACAAACAGACTTCATTTCAGACAAATATGCCTTCACAATCAGTTCGGGCATTTTCAGATTCATCCATGTGAACATCCATGTCCACATTTGCTGGTAATGGTCCAATGTCTGCAATTCCATCACCCAAATCTTTATTATATCTTCTTGAAGGAACTTGCATAACAACATGCCAACTTGATTCTGCGTCTTCCCTTAAGTAAAACACCTGCTTTGCTTGCGATGCTAATATATATGGATCTTTTAAAAAAGAGACTTGACTATGATTCATGTTAACTAGTGTGAAACCATCTTCTATCTTAGCTCCATTACCCATTACTGCCCAGTGACACCGGAAGAGAGGAACATAAAAAACATTATAATCTAATAGTATGATGTCTATCACTCTGCCGTAGTAAGATACCAAATCAACCACTTGTGAAGTATCTTTCGCACTAGCCCTACAAACTGCTGTTGCCTCATAGAAAACCCCACTATTCTGATTTTTCCTATCAACTAAACTTGTATGAAACCGTTGACCATTCACTATGTAACCTGTATATGACCGTGCCATATAACGTGGACCGTAAGCCAACCATTTTAAAACTTCTCCATGTCTGTCTGAATCAATTGGTATCTACGAGAAATAAAATATAACAAATCAGACACATACACATAAAAACATGAAATAACAACAGAAAATAGTAGATTTGATGTAACTTGCCTGCTGTTTTAACCAAGATGCAAAATTCTCAGAATGCATAGCCCATAAAACTGATGCATCACGTCGGCATCTTCCATTGGTGTCTTGTAGATGCTGAAGGTGCTCACTTGTACAATATTAATAATAAGAAGCTTAATCAGATACTTTATCATAAAACTGTAAATAATAATAGAACAAGAACTGTATAGAACTTACTCGATATAAGGTTCGACGACAGCCATATTTTGGATGACAGCAAGATGAGCTATTTTCTTATCCATTTCTGAGAGAGTTATGGAAGTGGCTGCGGATATAGGACGACCCTCTAGTATAGAACTATTCTCATAGTCAGTGTTTCTATCTAGTTTTTCATGTACGTTTGTAGACTTCTTTAAGAATTCACTACAAAACTGGACGCATTCTTCAGCCAGATAACACTCAGCAATACACCCCTCTGGTCTTGCAGGATTTCTCACAAAGTCTTTCAATTGCTAGCCTAGGACCTTTAGGTAACAAACCTTTAAGTGCAACTGGAAGGAGTTGTTGCATTAATACGTGGTAGTCATGTGATTTCAGACCTGTCACTTTACATTCATCTACAGATACGCCTCTTGCTATGTTTGAGCAGTATCCATCTGGTCCTTTGAAATCAACAAGACGACTACATAAAATTTTTTTCTCTTTCTTCGATAGAGACCAAGGAGCTGCAGGTAGATATGTTCTTTTCCCTTGAATCCTAGGGTGCAAATCCTTTCTAATACCAAGATACTCCAGATCTTTACGGGCATTTAGACCATCCTTTGATTTCTTACAATGTAACACAGTAGAAAGAATACTTGCAGCCACATTCCTTTCTACATGCATAACATCTAAGTTATGCCTCACAGGAAGATCCTATAAAATACATAGAAGAAATACAATAATTAACTCTAACGTTAAACAAAGTTTAATGAATAAAATTTGAAAATTAAATAATATCGAAGTTTAAACATACCTCCCAATACGGTAACTTGAAAAATATAGACCTTTTCTTCCATCTTGATAACTCATCCTCATCTACATTTACTTCATCTTCTTCATCATCTTCCGACTCACTTGATAACTCCTCGTCATCAGACTCCATACCATTAGACTCAGTCTTTTTTCTCTTGCGTCCAGATCGTTTCAGATTTCCAAAGTCATTTTTGAAATTTTTCAGGTTTTGAGAAATTTCTTTTCCAGTCAATATTCTTCCCTTTATCCCTGGTTCAGTTTTTCCATCAAACCATGACTTCTTTAATCTGAAACTATGCGTTGCTGGCAGTCTCTTCCGATGGCACATATACACATGTTTTCGGCTGAACTTCAACCACAAACTGTCTGTATTTTTGCCACATAATGGACATGCCATCTGACCCTTTACTTTGCAGCCTGCAAGATTCCCATAAGCCGGGAAGTCACTAATCGTCCAAAGCAGCATTGCCTTAAGATTAAAAGTTGATTTACTAAATGCATCATATGTCGTCTCTCCATTGTTCCACAGATGAATTAGATCATCTATGAGCGGCTCTAAGTATACATCAATGCTGTTACCAGGCTGTTGTGGTCCAGGTATCAACAATGTAAGCATGATGTTCTCCTTCTTCATGCATAAGTCTGGTGGCAAATTATAGTTTACTAGCAAAACAGGCCAGCAACTATAGTTGTTGTTCTTCATGTCGAATGGATTAAATCCATCCGTTGAAAGACCAAGCCGCACATTTCTTTCTTCAGCTGCAAAGGAAGGATATTTCGCATTCATCTGAGCCCATGTTACTGAATCCACAGGGTGGCGGAGTTTTCCATCGTTGCTCTCGTTACTATGATGCCACCTCAAGTCCTTAGCCATCTCCTCAGATCTAAACATTCTTTTCAGCCGTGGGATTATTGGAAAGTAGCGTAACACTTTCTGTGGAACACCTTTCTTTACTTCACCATTAACCGTGTTCGTCTTCCATCTAGAAGCTTTGCATTTAGGACAATTCTCGAGATCCTTGTACTTCTTTCTGAATAAGCAGCAATCATTAACACAAGCATCAATCTTCTGGTAGCCCATATCAAATGACTTAAAAAATTTCTTCACATCATATAGTGATGTATGTAGCACATTGTCCTCTGGTAGCATCCCCGATAGTGTCTCCAAAAGATCATTGAAACTCTTGTCAGACCACCCATTTTGTGTCTTAAGTCTGAATAGGGACACAATTGCCGAGAGTTTACTGTGATTCACACAACTTGGATATAAGGGTGATGCAGCATCTGCAAGCTTTGCAAAGAAGTCATCTTCTTTCTTGTTCTCACAATCTGCGGTCTCATCAGGTTCATCATCTCCAACAAAGTCGTCATCCATGAACTCAGCAGCTTGATATAACCCATATATCTCATCCATTTGACTGAATTTACTGTCACCTTCAACCCCAGAATTTAACTCTCCATGATGATACCAATCAGACCGCCGCTTATAATCCTCATCCATACCTCTTCTAACAAGATGGTCAACTACAACACTTCCTATGTGACGATCTATATTACGACAGTCGATGCAAGGACATACAATCATATCACCATCTACCAAAGCCGCAGACACAACTCTTACAAAATCTGAAGCCCCTCTTTGATAAGCTGGATCAGCTCTTCATTTAAGAATGAAGAGAAAAAAAATAAAAAAGAAAGAAATAAAAAAAATCTACAAACCCCTATTGAAAACTTAACATCTATATAATTAAATTTAATACCTGCAAAGATGCACCCAATCTTTGTCCAGCATTATATGATATAAGCTTAATTTAAAACCTTTAGTATCCTTAACATCATATAAGAACAGAGTTATTGAAAAAATCAGACACATCAAAAAATAACTTTGTACTTTAAAACAATTCAGACACAAATATACCTACGTTCTTTTAGAGCTAGAGAGAAACAACCATATCACATATATTAAAACAATATAAAAAAACTCAAAACAAAACAGTATGTTTGAAACAACCTAACAGCATTAACAACAAACCAACCAGACAAAAATAAACAAACAAAAGAGACAAAAAGAAAGAAGCTACTAACCTGTCCTGTCAATGGAGATAAATAAAATCTTTAAACTTCCATCAATGCACTCAGCAACACTTGCAAAACATAATTGGAGAAAGAGTATAAGTTTTAAAAGTCATATTACAGTTTGATCTTAAAACGATTTATATAGTCAAAGTAATGAAACTGCAGTACAAAGACTCATCATAAGAGACAAAGAAAGAAGCTATTAACCTGTCCTGTGATTAGAGATAAAGAAAACCTTCAAAATTCCTTTAGTGCACTCAGCAACACTTGCAAAACATAATTAGAGAAAGAGTTTAAGTTTTAAAAGTCATTAAAAACGATTTATATAGTCAAAGTAATGAAACTGCAGTACAAAGACTCATCATAAGAGACAAAGAAAGAAGCTATTAACCTGTCCTGTGATTAGAGATAAAGAAAACCTTCAAAATTCCTTTAGTGCACTCAGCAACACTTGCAAAACATAATTAGAGAAAGAGTTTAAGTTTTAAAAGTCATAAAAACGAGTTATATATTCAGAGTAATGAAACTGCAATACAAATAATCATCATAAGAGACAAAGATAGAAGCTCTTAACCTGTACTGTGATTGGAGATAAAGAACAGCTTCAAAATTCCTTTATTGCACTGATCAACACCTGCAAAACATAAGTAGAGAAAGAGTATAAGATATTACTGTTTGATCTCATATAAAAACGATATATATATATATTCAAACTTTCATATACAAAACCAAAGTAATGAAATATCCAAGATACACAACCAAACTATAATCATCAAAACATGTTCTTAACTTATATACACAACCTATATGTAAAATGGTGGAGAAGCTTTGCTCGGATACAGAAAATAAAACTCATATCTCAAACAGACTCATAGCGTGTTTTACGAGCTTTAACAAGAAACTCAATTGGATTTGGTATGTCAATCAACCAGAGTCTGGCCTCAAAAGAAAACAATTTTCAATCACTCTTGTATCTCTTAATACTGACCAAGAATGTGTATTTCGACTAAACTAAAAAGTAAACCTTAAATTATACAGATTGAACAACTGGAGAAGGAAATAAGGGAAGTAAAGCAAGTTCTTTCTGACAAAAAAGAACAAGAAACAGCAATGCTTGTTTGAACGGATCTTAAACAAATGTTCTAAAATCAGATACATAACCAAAATTTTGTTCTTTCATTGCAAATGTTAACATACTAAGCTAAAACAAAATCGTAGAGACTTATAATGACCAAATCAAAACACATAAACAGATCTGAGCAAACACATAAACACATAAACAGACTTGAGCTAAACATGTTTGAGCAAACACATAAACACATAAACAAATCTCTTGCATGTCATAAAAAAACCCGTTTATTGTTCCAATTTCATCAGGAAATCGAAACACATAAACAGATTTGAGCTCCAATTGAAGATTTAAGGGTTTCGACAACTGGGTAAAGTGAAAGAGAGAGAGAGTCGGATAAAATCACCTTCAATTGGATCAGCTCTTCTGAGATTAGATCCGGCGGTGTTTCAGAAAGCGGCGACGGCGAGAGATTCCGCCGGAATTGGCGACGGCCGGCGATAGATTTGGAGATTTGAAGGTTTAAGGGTTTCGTCTCTCTAAGTGTTAAGAGAAGAAGAGAGTCGCGACAAAGTGTTAAGAGAAGAAGAAAGTTTTTGCGTTTTAGTAAATTTGGCTAAGTGTTTGGCGGTATAAGTGATTTTACTTCCCGCTTATTGAAACTCTATTATAGCGTTTATCAAATGCTATCATATGGTAAGCAAATTACAAACTCATCTTAGATAGCAAATGTGAAAATCGTGCTATTATTAGCTGCTATGAATGTACAGTTTTTTTGTAGTGATTATTTAATACGTAATTATGGCAGAGTATCAAGTTACGATGAGCAAAGGCTGTTTACATTCGCACACCTTCTTTCCATTAATCTTTTTTTTTTTGGTATCAACCATTAATCTTCATATATATATATATATATATATATATATATATATATATATATATATATATCTTGCCTTTAGAAGAAACTCACGAATTAGGTAGATAGAACTCCCTAGCTGGCTTGGTATGTATAGTCTCTTTTTTTCCCCGTTTCTTTTTGCATCTTTGTTCGTTTGATTTCAACAGTGTTCCTTTAGTCTTTGATCTCGGGGACCTTATCAGATTTCTGAGCATGGTAACTAGATATATATACACTATTTGGTAATTTTAAAACAAGTACTGATTTCTGGTTTCCTTTCTACATTCTGCAGTTTGAACGGGAGAGGTTCCTACTTTTTCGATGGGGAACAGCGTTGTGAGGATGGTCATGGAAATAAAGAAGATTTATAATCGCTATGCAGATAAAGAGGATTTGGTGCAGCATGATGACGTTTATTCAGAGGACTGGAGTGATTACTACGAATATGATAATGATTGGGATCATCATGATTATTCTTATGCAGATAACGACATGAGTGATTGTTATGCGTATGAAGAGGAGTCGGAGCCAGAGTTTGATTATGGAGATGATTCTCCTTTTGAGGGTATCTCTGCATCGTTAGTATATGGCTAGAGTTGAGAGAACAACAACTTAAAGCTCAAATTTTTAGTTTAAAGTGCTGATAGTCTGATGTATTTGAGTTTATGTCGTACTTGTTATAATAATCGTTGCATTAAGACTTAATTTTGTTACTTTCCGAGTTTAGTCTAAATTTCCCTTCCGTTTATGAAAATCCTTTGGTGTAAGTGTTGCAGTCTTTTATTTCTTGTACTTTGTTGGTTCTCTCCGGTGTGGTTATTAGTAAAAAGTTAAAAACCTTGTTTTATGGTTGGCATTTATGAAGTTGAATTTAATGCCACTATTTTCCTAAATCTCTCCTAAATTTAATTTGCAATCTGTTATTCCTAATTTATTTATATTTTCTTAACTTGTTATTTGATCATATTAAATTTATAAAGGTTTTAGTGAATCATTTTAAATTAGTTTAGATACGCTATTTTTTTTCATAATTATCAATATCATGTACATATGGTTTCCATAAATCATACTTTTTCTTTTTTAACATCTCAAAATCATACTTTTCTATATTTCTTTTCCATTTTTTTAGGGATTAAACAGGATACTTCTGGAGGACAAGATTTCCCAATTTTTGAAGAGGTAATTTTTGCTGATCTTTGTATGTGATTATTCTTAGTTTATACGTAATCTAAAATAATTTGCTATGCAGAAGCAAAATTTATAGACTGCTTGTATTATAGAAACCCTTTTTTCGATTGGTCAATTCTGTTTTTGTTAGTGAAAAATACAAATAGAAAAGGTTAATTAAGGAGAAGAAGTAAGAATCGAGCAAAAGAGTTAGCCCTAGGACCGAGAAGCAAAAGCGACTCGCATCCCTCGTGTAAAGGCTTTAGTGTAGTTCGAACTTATAAAGGCTTTGATCACATATTGGAATCTTAATTTCTATTTGTTTTTGCGACTCTAGATTATTGTTTGATTCTCCAACTAAAAAAAAATAGGGTGTCGGGTTTTAGGGTTTATCTGATCTCCATGTTCTTGCTAGTTTGATTGCAGAGGAAGCTTCATCAAGTATCAATGGGGAAGAAATTTAACAAGAAGATCACTTGGACGATTAAAGATTTCTCCTCTTTACCAGCTGACATTATTTACTCTGATCCTTTTGTCGTCGATGGCTGCAATTGGTAAGAAGATTTAGGTTTAACCGTTTAAGGGGATATTCTTCTCCGTTTTGCTGATTCTTTTATATTATTTGTGTTTCATGCAGGTGTCTAAGTGCTTATCCTAAGGGATATAACTTTATTGGTTACTTGTCTCTGTATCTGGAAGTCGCCGATAATGGAGCATTGCCTTTTGGATGGAGAAGACATGCACGATATACCCTAACTATAGTAAATCAAAACTCGGAAAAAAGCTTCCAACAAAATGGTGATTATATCTCCCCACTGTGCTTTGCAAGAGCGTTTGTCTCCATATTTTATTTTAATGACAGTATTATAAACACAAGATTACCAGTTGGACTGTTACATTAATGCCACATGAGCATAGTTCAAATAGTGTGAATATAAAAGATGTAAATGAACTGATTATGATGTATTGTGATTTTGTAGAAGCAAAAGAGTGGTTTGACGACTCGACCCGATGGGGTTGTCCATCCATAATTCCCCTAAATGAAATTAATGCCAAAGATAGTGGATTTCTCGTAAACGGGGAACTCAAAATTGTTGCCGAGGTAGATATCCTTGAAGTTATTGGAGACGTAGATGTATCAGAAGGTATTTCAACAGTGAAAGAAACCATAGATGTTAATGGCTTTCAACTTCTTCCTTCCCAGGTAAAAAAGAATTGATGTTAATGGTTATATTATATGGTGCTTTTGAGGTGTCTACCAAAACTGTCTCTGAATACGAGATCGAATTTATTCTTGTGTTTTCATTTGGCAGGCAAAATGTGTTAGCCATATGTTTGAAAGACACCCAGCGATTGCATCTGAATTCCGCCCAAAGAATCCAAGTCTTAGGACTGGGTACATGAGTTTGCTACTCAGTCTGATTGAGACTTTATCCCAGTCACCTCAAGAACTTTCCAAGGATGACTTGTGTGACATATATATTGCACTTGGATATATGACAGATGCAGGGTTTAAGTTGGATTGGTTGGAGAAGAAACTTTATGAGGTGGCACAAAAGAAGGAGGATGATGAAGCTGGTGAGACTCGGCTACGAGAACTGGAGGAAGAGTTGAAGGACATGAAGCTCAAGTGTTCAAAAATGGAAGCTCTAGTGGAGGAAGAGAAAGCCAAGGTGTCGGCTGCAAAAGCTCCTCTCTCATTCGATGATGTTGTTTAATGTTCTTGTGTTTTTAGGACACTTGGAGGTTGGTTCTGCTTGGTGTGCCGGTCTGGTCGTTTATAGCATTTGGTTTCGTAATGAAAGTCCTCTTAAAACTTAGGGAAGATAAAAGAGACTCATGTCTTGGAAATTTTCCGCAATGTTGTCGAGACGAATCTCTAGGTTTCTTCTTGCTGTGTCTTGGCTTAGAAGTGATGACTCTTCTTTAAACTTTGGAAAATGAATTATCGTATGTCTAATTTTCCTCATGTAGTCTTTTGTAATGGAGTGAGTCCATTGGCTTTTGGTAAGAAATAGTCTTAAACTAAGTTACTTGATGAAAAAGTAATTTCTCTGTATCTGAACAGAGTGTGGTAAACAGGACAAATCCTTTGGTCAGACGATTCCCTGAACTCTGTGACATAAGAAGCTCACCATCTTCTTCTTGTAGGAGACAATACCACATGCTCATCATCCTCCAGAGACATTGATTGAAGTGCTATTTGCTCAGATTTTAGATCCATAACAAGCAGATAGATTGATCAATATGCACTAACGATCTTGAATGCAACGAACCACACAAATAAAACAGATTGTGCGGATATTAAAGAAATCTCCAACACACTGCTGAAAAGATCTTAGGAATTGATGAATATCCATTCAAATTGTTTCATATCTTCCAATTGATTTCGAAAGAGTCCGGCGAAACAATAAGAAGGTCTGCATGACTCTAACGTGATGAATATGATCAAAGATACTAAAGCAGCAAAAGAAGGCAAAGCTCTCAACGATTTCTTCACCATGTTTTCAAATGATCCAAATCGAGCATGTTATGGACCAAAACATGTGGAAGTTGCTCATGAACGAATGTCAATCCAAACACTTCTTATTACAGATGGGCTATTCAGGAACTCTGACGTAAAAACAAGGAAGAAGTATGTGGACTTTGTGGAGTCGGTGAAAAAAGATTCAGAAGGAGAGGTTTTAATATTTTCGTCCATGCATGCTTCAGGGGAACAACTGGCACAGCATACTGGAATTGCAGCTCGTCTCAGGTTCCCTTTACCAGATCTAGAAGATATTGAGATGTAACATATATATCTTCTTAAAAAATCTTATAGGTCTCATTTTCACTTCTGCTAGCTATAAGTTTTAGTTACTGGTTTTGTAATAAAGAGTATGACTTAAAAAAAATCTGTTTCAAGATTATATAAAAAGCGTCAGTTTAAATCTTCATTGACTTTAGAGTAATCCATTGTCTGGAAACTCTATTTTAGAGGGATACATTGGAGCAAAATTTCCTCTAATATAGAGGTTAGCATTGGAGATGGTCTAATACTTTAAAAATCTGTATCCTTTACTAAAAAATAAAAAATAAATCTTCATAGAGATCAACATAATGAGAAAAAGAAATTAGCAAAACCCCTTTTGAAAACGTTTGGCATCCCTGTTTCTCTATTTTCAATGCAAAAGGACCTAACCAAGTCTATTCACCTAAAAAAAAGGAAACAGAATCTCAAGCCTAAGTCTAACCAAACCAGGGTTTCTAGTTTCTTTCCTTATTGGAATTGGATTTCTCTTCTTTTGATCCAAAACATGTAATTTTCTTAGGAATCTCGTTTGTGAACTATTCGATCCAAGTAATTTGTTTTTTGAATTGGGTTCGTAGCTCTGACAAACTTGGAAAAAGTTGGTAAGAGTTCTGACTTCTGAGTCGCTCTCTCTCCTTTTTAACTCGCCTCTCAAGGGTAATCGCTTGGTTAACTAGTTTTAAGTAGTTTAGCCTACTGGCTGGAACTTCATATGGCTTTGCGTTCATAGTAAAATCTTTGTTAAAATAGAGAGTGTGTTTGGTTGGTAGCTAGGTATATGAATTTGGTTTAATTCTCTTCATGTTCTTGTAGTTTCATCGCGAGTAATGGAGAAGGAAGTTGACAAGAAATTTGTCTGACTGATAGATAATCTCAGCGTTTTTAGTCCTAAGCAGAGTCATTCTGATCCATTTCTGATTGCTGGCAGTAGATGGTAAAAACTGAACCAACTTTTGTTCTAAAAGTACTTTTCATTTAATTATGTTGTGGTGATTTGATGATTTTTTTTTCCTATGTAGGCGTCTTCTTGCCCTACCCAAGGGAAATACTTTTGAGTTCTTCTATCAGTATATGGGAGTTGCTGATTCTTGCCAATCACTGACTTCTACATGGAGAAGACATGTAAAACTTCGCTTAACTATAGTAAATGGAATTTCTCATAAACGCTCCATTGTGACAGGTGATTCTTCTATGTGTTATACATTTTGCAAAATAAGTGACTGATTTAGATTAGTTATTTAGTTTTAACGTTTCTTGCTAAGCTGTGATATTGATGTTTAATACTTGTCGTGATGATACAGATTCAGACCTCTACTTTGATGAGAATCTTCCCGCTTGTAGTTATCCAACAGTGCCACTCCCTTTCAACCTTCTTGCAAGAGATGCCGGGTTTCTGGTTTGCCGAGAAATAACAATTGTTATTGAGGTTGTTGCTCTTGAAGTTATTGACACATCAGATAATGATGGTGCCAAGTCTAATGATGTCAATGGATTTCAAGTTCTTCCTTCACAGGTAAGAAAGTGCTCAACTAGCTAGAGTATAGTTCTTAGGGGAGAGGTTGTGGTTTTCTGTTTTGCAATAATCTCTGATTTACAAGTCTTTGAGTTTCTGGATTTAAGTGGCAGAGTACTAAACTAGTATGTTTCTCTGTATAGTATGATATCTTTTTTTCTTCTTTCACAGGTAGAATCTGTGAAGCCCAAACATTGCATAAAAGACCGTTCAATGAACCCATGTCTGAGGACAACATACATGAATTTACTCCTCGGAATAATTGAGACGTTGTGCCAATTGCCTGGGGAGCTCTCTGATAGTGATCTGAATGAAGCATCCGTTGCAGTTTTATACGTGGCACAAGGTGGCTTTAAAGTAGATTGGTTGGAGAAGAAGGTCAAGGAAGTAAAGGAAAAGAAGAAGAATGTGGATACTGGTAAGGCTCGGCTGCAACAAATGGAGCAAGATTTGCAGAATCTCAATCAGAAACGCTTAGACCTGAAAGATCTTCTAGACAAGGAGAAAGCAAATGACTTGGCCGCTAATGCTCCTCTCTCGTTCAATGATGTTCTTAAGAAGTTTTAGACAAGGTTTTGAAAAACTGCCCTCTGATAAGGCTGAGATTTTGTCTGCCCAAAGATCCTCTATGATGTTGTCTTGACTTCTTTCTTTAGGCATTTGTGCTAAAGCATTATGAGCTTGAAGTTTTTTTTTTTTTCTTACTAAAACCTTAAAATTTAGGAAAGTTTAAGATGTCTATTATAGATCAATAAAGTAATCCCTTGAAATATATGCTATGAGATATATGCAAATCCCTTGAAGCTAAACTGTATCAAGTAACTACCCTTGATCACATCCAAACTAATATATACATATCTTATCCCGAATAGTAAATGTGTTTAAAATCTAAATTTTTGCATAATTAAGGAAAATTTGGAAACTGAGTGACAAGAGAAACAGAGTATCCCTGGTAAATCACAATGATTGGGGAAACTATTGATTATTTATAATATTGCATTAACTTATATACACCAATAGTTACACTAGTTTTCAATTCATGTTTCCTAAGCCATATAAAAGTGATTTACTTTCCTATGCGAAATGGATTTGCATTCATGTCTCTCTCTTTCTCTCCAAGATGTTTTGAAGTAGTACTTCATTGTATTATTGTAAGAGTTCAGAGTCTGAACCGTTTTTTCCCTTAGTCTCTGTTGTCTTAAAACAACCATTTTCATTTCCTCTTCTCAAGGTAACTAGTTTAAGCGTTTGGTTCGACCTGGACGTCTTTATAGTGGAATCTAAGATTACTAGCTTTGAGGTTATAGTGTCAGTTAGAGTCCATAGTGGAATTTTAGATTTTGGTTTTGATTTTGTTACTCGAGATGTGTTTCCACTGGTATATACCGTGAATTTGGACGTGACATTGTTTTTAAAAGTAGTTTGGTTGCGAGGAGTCTTTAATGGGGAGTGAAGAAGTTGATAACAAGTTCACTTGGGTGATTAAGAATTTCTCCTCTTTGCAATATGAGAAAATCTATTCTGATCCATTTGTGATTGGTGGCTGCAAATGGTACGTAAGAAACTAAAAAAAAATTTCTAACTGTATTGGTCCAATTTAGGTTTACAAGGAGGACATCCACTTTTTTTTGTTTGCAGGCATCTTCTGGCCTATCCCAAGGGAAATAAATTTAATAATTGTTTGTCTCTGTATCTGGTGGTTGATGATTCTAGAGCATTGCCTTGTGGATAGAGAAGATATGCACAATTCTCCTTAACTTTAATAAATCAACTTACGGAAAAACTCTCCCAACGAGGAGGTAACTCTTAATTTATACACTCGGCAACTTTATGAGATAAGGATATTTTATGACTTTACTTGTCATGCACTCATGTGACTTTGTGCTGCTGCAAGTTTCTTGTTATGCATTGTGCAGTTTTATTGCTTTTTTTTTTTACTAGAGTTCTATATCTTTTGTGAATAGAGAAACAAAATTGGTTTAATCAGAGAAATCTTGGCTCGGGTTTTACATCTCTGATCCCTCTTTCCAACCTTCATGCCAAAAATGCTGGGTATCTTGTGAACGGAGAAGTCAAGATTGTTGTGGAGATCAATGATCTTGAAGTTATTGGCAAATTAGATGTATCAGAAGAATCTGAAGAGGCAAACCAACCTCTGAAAAAGATAAAGCTAGATGATAATGATGCAGTGTCTATTGATTCGCTCAACGAGACTTCACCAGTTAAGGAAAGCATTGATGTCAATGGGTTTCAAGTTCTTCCTTCACAGGTAAGAAACTCAAGATTAGATTATGTCTCTAAAAACTTCTATGACATGGTTTATGCATCTTTAAATTACACTCGCAGGTAGAATCTGTGAAGTGTATATTTGAAAGACATCCAGACTTTGCATCAAACTTCCGTCCAAAGAATCGGCACTTGAAGTCAACATACATGAATGTCCTCTTAGGACTAATTAAGACGTTGTGCCAGTTACCTGAGGAGCTCTCGGATGATGATCTTGACGAAGCATCCGTTGCAGTGTCATACGTGGAAAATGGAGGGTTTAAGTTGGATTGGTTGGAGAAGATGCCCGCAGAAGTTAAGGAAAAGAAGAAAAAAGTAGAGACCGGTAAGGCTCGACTGCAAGAAACGGAGGAAGAGTTGCAGAAATTAAATAAGAAATGCTTAGAGCTGAAAGCTTTTCTGGAGAAAGAGAATGCAGATGTGTCAGAGGCCAATGTTCCTCTGTCGTTCGATGATGTTGTTTGATGTTATTGTGTCACAGAATCTTTAGTTCGATTATATACTTGGTGTTCTTGCTGTGTCATGGCTCTGAATTTTAATCTTCTTGAAAGTTTGGAAGTACGTTTAATGGAATCCTTTTGTTTCAGTGCATGAACAAATGGGTTTAAACTTTATATATAAGTTTCTTGATGACAAAGTAATTGCTCTGTATCCTAACATTGTGTGATGAATAAGACCAACCCTTTTTTTGGAAAATTGGAATTGAAATTTAATATATGTTATGATATGTTTTCAGGTCTCCAGATTAAAACTGCTTGAGGATTTTGTTGCTAGAGATCCTCTCTCGTTTGATGTCTTAACTCTTAAGCACTTAGGAGTTCACTGAGTGCGGTTGAAGAATCTCTCATCACATGGATTATACAAATAAGAATCTTGATGAAATTTTTTTTGTAAAATCTTAGTATGAACACTTAAACAGATCGAGTAGCAAAAAAAATAAAAATAAAAGAATATCGAGTGGGCACTAGATGAGTCACACGGCCAATAGAGTGGCTCGAGGACTTAATTAACTCCACTAAGTCACAAAAGCGCAATTTACCAAATTACCAAAAGAAAAAAAAAGAGTCGCGATTTACCAAAAAGAAGGAAAAAAGTTAAAAAAAAAAAAAAAAAAAAAAAAAAAAAAAAAAAAAAACTCCTTGAAGTCACAAAGGAGTCTCATCTAAACCTTTTACGGAGAAAAAAGGAGTGAGTCAAGGCTCTTTGATTTAATCCTATACGGTAAGAAATCGTTTTAGAGCGGCATTTAAAATTGTCAAGATTTCGATTCCATATTGAAAGCTTAATTTCAATTGTGGTTACGCTGCTTGAGATTGTTGATTGATTATCAAATTAATTTCTAGGTTTTTTTTTTTTTAATATTCAAGAAAAAAACTATTCTAGGGTTTTTCTTCTCTTCAGGTTATATGGTAGTTTGGTTGCAGAATAATCTTCGTTAAGATCAATGGAGAATAAACTTGCTAAGAAGATCACGTGGACAATTAAGAATTTCTCATCTTTGAAATCGGAAAAGTTTTACTCTGATCCATTCACCGTTGGTGGATGTAAATGGTAAGTTTTTCAAGTGTTTTCCTCCATCTAGATTTAGGTGATTATCCTCCACAATTTTGCTGATTCTTTCATTTGAGTATTTTTTTTTTTTTTTACAGGCGTTTTTTTGTCTATCCCAAGGGAAATAATGTTGATTATTTGTTTCTGTATTTGGAAGTCGCTGATTATGAGTCATTGTCACCTGGATGGAGAAGACACGCTCGATATCTCCTAAATGTAGTAAATCAAAATTCGGTAAAGCGTTCCAAACAAAATGGTGCTTATTTCTTCCCACTGCTCTTTTCTCCAAAAATCATTTTAATGGCAAACACATTGTAGTTACGAATCTTTAAGTCGTGAATCTTATTTTGTTTTGCTACATTTTATATCTGATGTTTTATGAGGCTCGTTTTGGGGACTGGAGTTGAATGTTACTCATGGGTTGTGTTATAGTATTAGTTTTCACGTTTTTTCCAAAGTTGTGAGCATTGTTGTTCAGTCCAAAGAAACATAGTTCATTTAATGCTTTGTTTGCATGTAAATGAACTGATTATATAAATTCTATTTGTGATTTTACAGAAGAACAAAAGTGGTTTGATGCCCGTTCTCCTCGCTGGGGTCGTCTATCCATGTTTCCCCTAAATGAAATCTGTGCTAAAGATAGCGGATTTCTGGTAAATGGAGAACTCAAAATTGTTGCCGAGATAGAGGTTCTTGAAGTTATTGGGAAACTTGATGAATCGGAGGAAACTTCTACAATAATGGAAACCATAGATTTTAATGGCTTTGAACTTCTTCCCTCACAGGTAAAAATTAAGAATGCCACAAACTTTTTGTGTAGGATAATCAACAACAAGAGACAACGTGATGTGTTCAATATTTATGGTGCTTTTGTGTTAATGTTCTCTGAATATGGATTCTACTTTATAACTCTCAGGTGGAATTTGTGAGGAATATGTTTGAAAAACACCCTGAGATTGCATCTGAATTCCGTTTAAAGAATCCAAATCTTAAGTCAGGATACATGAGCTTGCTACTCAGTCTCATTGAGACTCTGCGCCAGTCGCCTCAGGAGCTCAACAAGGTTGATCTAGCTGAGGCATATGTTGCACTCAGATCCATGACTGATGCTGGATTTAAGGTTGATTGGTTGGAGAAGAAACTTTTTGAGATGTCAGAAAAGAAGAAGAAAGAGGAGGCTGGTGAAACTCGGATGCAGGAAATTAATGAAGAGCTGAAAAGTTTGAATCAGAAATGCTTAGACCTTGAAGCTCAGCTGGAGAAGGAGAAAGCAGAGGTTTTCGCTGCAAAAGCTCCTCTATCATTCAATGATGTTTTTTAATATTTTTGAGTTCATAGGCATTTAGAGTTTTTCTTCTCCTTGGTCTGTTCGTTTTGTGATATTGTTTAGATAACTTAACAACTGCTACGTTATTTCACCTTTCATTGGTGATTAACAGTTTCTATTCTGCTAGTATTGTTTCATCAAATTTCATTTTTACAAATTGTTAATAGCTTAGTGTTATGGTGATAAAATAAAAATGATAGCAGCTTTGTCTAAAAAGAGTACCAACATAAGGCAAAATACATGAGATAAAAAAGGGAAAGAAATTGATAAGTAGCTGACATGAGACGGTCTGCAGAATCTGGTCGAGATAGAAAGAGGGAGAAGAAGAATCTCATTAAGATGGAAAGAAGGAGAAAGAAGAATCGATCAAAGATAGAATCCAGGTTGCCCATGCTCCAAGTAACCCTAAGAGGAGCCGCAAGTGATTCTTATCCCTCGTGTACGTAATCTAAACAATTGACATTTCTTTATACTTAATTAAGGTTTCAAAACCATATATATAGGAATCTTAGTTTCAATTTGGATATGCTGCTTGAGATTTTAGGTTGGATTCTAGGGTTTTTCTTCTCTTCATGATCTCTTAGTTTCTTTGCAGAGGTATCTTTATCAAGATCAATGGAGAAGCAATTTGATAAGAAGATCACTTGGACGATTAAAAATTTCCCCTCTTTACCAGCTGACCTTATTTATTCTGATCATTTTGTCGTTGGTGGCTGCAAATGGTAAGAACTATTCTAATGTTTTTTCGTATATTTTGGGTTTGAGTGATAATATTGTCCTTTGTTTTCTTTGGTTTTTGTTCAGGAATCTACGGGCCTATCCCAAGGGATATAATAATGCTAATTATTTGTCCTTGTTTCTGGGTGTTGCTGTTCCTACTTCTCTGCCTTCTGGATGGAGAAGACACACTAAATTTCGTCTAACTCTAGTAAATCAATCATCAGATAAACTCTCTCAGTCAAAACGTACAGGTAAAGTACTTATTACCACTGATAGCTTTGCAAGAGTTGCTCTCTAATTATTTTCATTGACGCTATCATGAACCCAAAATAGTCAGTCAGATAGGAAGTACCGAGTTGATCATTCTCATCTTCTTATAAAACGGAAGAAAGAGTTTTTGCCAAGTTGTGAGCATTGTTGTCCAATCCACAGGTGCATAGTTCTTTTACTGCTTTGTTCAATATAAAATGAACTAAATAGATGAATTCTTTTTTTTTTTTTTTTTTTTTTTGTGATTTTACAGAACTAGAACAGTGGTTTGATGAGAAGACTACCAACTGGGGTCTTCCATCCATGTGTCCCCTAAATGAAATTCATGCCAAAGATAGCGGATTTCTCTTAAACGGGGAACTTAAAATAGTTGTCGAGATAAAAGTTCTTGAAACTATTGGCAAATTAGATATAACAGAGGAAACTTCAACAGTCACAGAATCCGTGGATGTTAATGGCTTTCAACTCCTTCCTTCACAGGTAATGGATAACATGATTTGTTCTATGATATGGTGCTTTTGTGATGTCTCTTTGAACTTCTCTCTGAATATGCATTCTACTTCACTAACCTTTCTTCAATGACAGGCAAAATCTGTGAGCCGTATGTTTGAAAAACACCCTGAGATGGCATCTGATTTACGTCCAAAGAACCCAAATCTCAGGTCAGGTTACATGAGTCTGCTACTCAGTCTGATTGAGACTATGAGCCAGTTACCTCGGGAAATGTCCAAGGAGGATCTGTTGGATGCTTATGCTGCACTGGGATCCATGAGAGATGCTGGATTTAAACTGGATTGGTTGGAGAAGAAACTTTATGATGTGTCAGAAAAGAAGGAGAATGAGGAGGCTAGTGAGACTGGGCTGCAAGAAATGGAGGAAGAGTTGAAGGACATGAAGCATAAGTGTTTAGAAATGGAAGCTCTGGTAGAGAAGGAGAAGGCAAAAGTGTCGACTGCAAAAGCTTCTATCTCATTCGATGATATTGTTTAATGTTTCTTGTGTTTTAAGGCAAGTGGAGTTTGGTTCTACTTGGTGTTGTGGGCTGTCCTTGCTAATTATTCCTCTTAAAACTTAGGAAGATAACAGAGACCCTGTCTTTGTAAATATCCGATCCACAATGTTGTAAAATGTAACTCTCTCGATTTCTGTAAAGGATTGATCATATATAGAGTATAGAATCGATATTTACTCAAAACAAATTCCACAGGATGACTTGCATATCGAGTGAGCTGATGTATAATTCAAGTAACGAGGAAGTTGTAGGTGACTTTTATACCAAAGAAAAATGTGTATGAGATCTTATCACAGGAATGATTCAGTTTTAGGGTTTGACCTAGTTTCTGTCAATTTTCCCCAATGCCCTGATGATAAAGTAATGTCTTTGTGTGCGACGACCATAGTTTTTTTTGTTTTTCCTGATAGAGGGTAAATTTTTATTTTGGTCAACCATAAAGCCATAAAGGGTAATTTATGAACTTAGTTGGTCACACGAAGAGTCGCTACCAAACAAGCGTCTCAACTCAATTGATGTACGCAGTTTAATATCTATCGCTGGTTACCAGTGTTACTTTTATTCAGAGTACTTATGCCAAAGAGTATCAAGTCACGATGAGTCAAGGTTCGTAATTATGTTAGTAAGAATGCCAAAATTTTCTTTATATATGTGTTGATCATCTGGCTTCTTCTTTGCTTCATCATATACTAAAGTTTGAAAGCTGACGAATTTTCATCGTATAAATGTCGAAGAAAGAAAATAATTATGTGCTTAGCAAAGACGAAGATTTGAAGCTGTTTGAAGATTCGTTGTCGGAAGATGAAGAAACTGTTGAAGTCAATGGGTTTGAGGTCCTTGTTTCACAAGTAAGTAAGGCATTGTTCAATTCTCTTCTCTTACCGTACATGAGAATTAAATGTGATAGTATTTGTTCATATTCTCTAATATTATTGAAGATACTTCGATTTGACCTTCTCGGTTCACATCTCTCAGGTTCTCAGGAAAAACAAGTGAAGGAAATGTTTAAAAAAACATCCAGATCTCACTTCAAATTTCAATTATAAGAATCAACAGCTCAAGAATGCTTTTATTGATGTCCTCCTCAACCTAATCGAGACACTGTGCCAGTCAACAACAGAGCTTTCCTTAGAAGACCTAAACAAAGAAGAGAGTACCCTTTTTGATCTTACTAGAGCAGGCTTGGAAGTGGGTTGGTTGCGTCAGAAGTGGGACGTAGCTTACTTGAAGAAGGAGAAACAGAGAGTTACTGGGGCCCGGATCAGAGAACTCGAGGAACAAGTCAGGAAGCGAAAGCTGTCTTTGTCCGATTTGGAATCCGACCTTAAGAATGAGAAAGCTGCGGCTTTGGTTGCTAAATCTCGAACTGGATTCAGAGATATTGTGTGAATGAAGTCACTAGTGTTTTATTTCACCTTTCCTTTATTCAGCAATTTCAATCTTTCTTTTTTTTGATAAAAAGCAATTTCAATCTTGGTTACTTGTGATTCAAGTATCAAATAAGTTATACGGTTTGCTTTGTTCTATTTTTGAATATGCTTATTTTCTTTGAATGGTTTAATTATTTTAATCGATTATTAATACTAGTTGTGTGTTTATATACAAAATAACAAAATTAAAATTAAATGAAGTAAATTGCAGAAAATGAAGAGAGAGAGAGAGAGAGAGAGAGAGAGAGAGAGAGAGAGAGAGAGAGAGAGAGAAGAAGAAAAGAGAAAGAAAGTGAGAGGAGGAAAAAGTTAGTTGAGAAGAGAGTCTGAAGAATCTGGCTACGATAAGTAAGTGGAGAACAATAATCTGATTGAGATAAAAAGGAAGAGAAAGAAGAATCCATCTAAAGATAGAATCCGGAATGTGCATGCACCAAGTTACCCTAGGAGGAGTGAAAGCGATTCACATCCGATCCTTAAATAAATATTTTAGGGTGGCTTCCGAACTCATAAAGGCTTCGATTCTGTTGTGGAATCTTTATATATATTTGGCTATGCGGCTCGAGAATCTTCTTTTGCATTTCCTAGTGTAAATTGTAGAGGATCGGAATCTTCATCAAGAAGATCAATGGGGAATTAATCTGAAAAGAAGATCACCTGGGTAATAAAGAATTTCTCCTCTTTGCAATCTGAGAAAATTTATTCTGATAAATTTGTTGTCGGTAGCTGCAAATGGTAAGATATTTCAAGTGTTTGATGACTTTTGTCCATATAGATTTAGGTGACATCCTCCACAATTACCTGCATCAAGAATTTAAAGGACCAAAAAGTGAGTGATATGGCAAGTAATAACCAAGAGGCTAAATTCCAAATTAGTGAAAAACAACATTAATTAGCTTCAGGACAGACATGTAAACAAAACACTAGGCTAAACAAGACAGTAGTAGTATGTGATCAATTTGCTTAAGGACAGAGAGTGAGATACCAATTTATGATCGAGATTGAAATCAAACCCTAGATTTGTAGAAGAAAAAAAGATAAAATACCAACGGAAGAGAGGAAACTAGTGTGTGCGTCTGTGCTATTAAAGCCCCGTTGCAAACAAAACAATATAATAATCCTGCTGCATAAATAGAGCCCAAACAGAAACTTTAATTGAAGATGAACAGTTGATGAAACCAATTCCCAAAAAAATCAGAATCAAATCTCAAAAACAATTTTAAGTAGGAAAATCTCTTACCACAGCTCTCTGGTTTTAGAATTAACATTAAAGGATCCGGGAGAATCTTCGTCCTTGGCTCCTTGCTTGCTTGAACCAGAGACCCAGATAAACACTCAAAAATCAGATAAACGGAATCACACAACAATGAAAAGAGAATCGATGAACCCTAGAAGACCCAAACTTATATGAAGGCGGAGTGAGATAGATAGAGAGATAAAAGTGAAAGAGAGAGAGAGAGAGACAGAGAACGATTAGACGTAACCTGATCGTAGATCCATGGCTCTCTCAGGTGTAAGAGACTGTGTTCAAGTTTACTCAGAAGATAATTTGGTTGCACATTCAAATGTTGGTTTATGGGGTAAGAATATAAATACCTGCTATGAAGAACATGCTTAATTCTTTTAATTCTCATAATAATTTCCCTTGTAGATGTTCTGAAAACTTGGATAAGAATATAAGATGGTTTCTGTGATATATGAAAACTTGAAGATACCAACTAGTTTTGACAAGTGGTTCTTGTTATGTTTCAAGCTTTTTTCTTTTTCTTTATTGTATCTTCTTCTTTTTTATCAACCCTTTATTGTATCTTCTTGAACATTCTTTTGCTAGCTTCTATATATCTCTTGCCAAACTCTATGGTGTTCCTTTTCCACAAAGCTTATAAGCTAGAGTGACTTGATAAGCTTACAAACTCTATGGTGTTCCTTTAACCGTTCTCGACATTGCTGTTTACGAATATTAATTAACCCGTAATTATGTAAAAGAGTATCAAGTCACGATGAGTCAAGGTTGCTTCCATTTGCTCATGTTATTAAGGACATTTTCTTAATTTTTGTTGTAAAGGTTAATCCTCAACTTTTTGATCTTCTGACTTCTTCTCTTCTTCATCATTTACTAAAGTTTGAAAGTTATTGAGAGATATTCATCGTGTAAATGTTGAAGAAAGGAAAGCGTTATGTGCTTAGTGATCTTAGTGACGACAGTGATTCATGGTCGGATTACTCGTTGGATGACTCGGATTCTTCGGCGGACGATGATGAAACAGTTAAAGTCAATGGGTTTCATGTTCGCGTTTCTCAAGTAAGCTCAAATAATAACTTTCTGATCTCTAATAGAACATGAGAACTAAATGTGATCATCATCTTTGTTTCCTATCGTTCAATAAATAGAATATAACTCGATTTGACCTTTTTGTTTTTACATCTTTCTGGTTCACAGGTAAACAGGGTTAAGGACATGTTTATAAAACATCCAAATCTCACTTCAAAAATCAATTTAAAGAACAAACAGCTTAAAAGTGCTTACATGGATGTCCTTCTCGACCTAATCGAGACACTGTGCCAGTCAACAAAAGAGCTGTCCATGAAAGACCTAAACAAAGCAGACAATACGCTTTTTGATCTTACTAGAGCAGGCTTGAAAGTGGGTTGGTTGCGTCAGAAGTTGGATGAGGCTTACTTGAAGAAGGAGAAACAGAGATTTAGTGGTGCCAGGATCAGAGAACTCGAGGAACAGGTCAAGAAGCGAAAGCTGACTTTGTCTAGTTTGGAATCCACACTTAAGAAAGAGAAAGCTGCGGCTTTGGCTTCTAAAAACCGAACCCGTTTCGGCGATGTTCTTTGAATGAATGGAGTCTTTAGTCTTTTAATTTTTTCTTTCCTTGTCTCAGCAGATTCCTATCCGTTGGAGACTTTTTTAGTTTCCTATCTTCGTTACTTGTGAGTCAAGTATCAAATAAATTGAGGTTTTGCATTTTTTCATTTTTTTTTTTTTTTAACGTCTCGATTTTTTTATTGCAAATTATGAGAACTGTTACATAGACGATTCTACAACGGACAATTCCTTCCGACCCTTATTAGATCCACGACAGACGACACCTTCTTCACCTTCTTCTTCATACTCACCTCCTTCACCTCCTTCTTTATGCTCTTGATGGACACTTCCCTCTCTGCGTAGAATCCTGGCGAACGGCTATAATTGTACATCGCTGGAGATCTCCTGCACACTTGCCTCCAATAATCTGCAAATTTATTAATAAATCGCAGTATCTGGGACTCGAACCCCAGACCTCTGGGTGTAGAAACATTAATTAACCCTTGTTCATCCAATGGGCCAAGGGGCTTCCACCATTTTTTCATTATATATGCGTACTTTATTAATTAATCAAAGATTTGATTTAACGGACCTATCTAGGCCTAGGCATAATACCCGAACCCGAAGAACCGAACCGAACCAAACCCGATCCGAAAAACCCGACCCGAATCCGAACCCGAAGTTTTAAAATACGCGAACGGGTTCTAAACTTCACAACCCGAAAACCCAAACCCGAACCCGATCCGAACCCCAACCCGAACAAGTACCCGAACATATCCAAAATATAAGTAAATAGTTATAATATATTAGTAATATTTATACTTGTAATAACATAAGTGCCTAAATTATTCGGATGTTAAGATATTTCGGGTGGTTTAGCTACTTTGGGCTAGATTCGGGTATAAAATATTTGGGTTTTATAGATTTTTTGAGTATTTTTCAATACTTTGCATAGAATTAGATACAAAATTTCTAATATTTGGATACTTTGGGTAAACCCGAATCCGAACCCGAAATACCCGATCCGAACCTGACCCGAACCCGATGTTTTAAAATACCCGAACGGGTCTTAGTTTTCTAAACCTGAAAAACCCGATCCGAATATCCGAACGCCCAGGCCTAGACCTATCTGTGTAATTTTTTGGGATGCTTAGGGCTTGATTGGTTCTCCCGCTAGCACCCTCCTAGCGGTTGCTAGCGGTCGGTTGCGGTTGTTAGCGGTTGAAACCAATCATAGAAACTGCTCCGTCCCGCTTCGAACCGCTCGAAATCGCTGAATTTCAAAAGCTCCTTCCCGCAAGCGTTTGCGGTTGCGGGCGGTAGCGGTTGGATTAAAAAAAAAAAAAAAAAAAAAAAAAAAAAAAAAAAAAAAAAAATCAAACATTTACTTATAATTATTATAATATATATTAATCCTATATATATATCTTTCATCTTTGTATCACGTTCTCATCAGAAACCCTAATAATATTCTAAAACTCTATTCTCTCAATGTCTTCCACCCAAACTGATGAAAATCAATAACCAAATGTAAGTATCATATATCCTTTTATTCTTTCATCACCTCATGTGTAACTTTTTAAATATTTTTCATGGCATTGTTTTTTTTATTTTCATTACGTATTGCTTTGCTTTTTGATTAAATATATGTTTCGATTTGTTTTCTCGAATAGAAACTCACTTGCTTTTTGATTGAATTCAACGTTATTTACAGTTTTTCCCATTACTTAATGCAATTTTTTATGTTAAACCAGATGCATAAAGTACTATCTTGTTACAAAATTTCTTTATTTTTGAATAATTATTTAGTACTTTATCTATGGTTTTAATTATTAAGCATGTTCAAATTTTTCTAATATTATCATAATAATATATTGGTGTTTTTATTTCTTTTTTTTTTTGTATTATTTTTTTATTTATTTTGTTCATTCTTTTATTTAACTGCTATCGCACCCGCTGGTTTACCAGTCATAAAACTCCCGCAAACGCTCCTATTTTCAAACGCTAAACCAGTCGTTCAAAACGTTTGATAACGCTTAAAGCCGCAACCGCCCGCTTCCGCAAACTCCCGCAACTGCAACCGCTGCGTTTAAACCAGTCAGGCCCTTAGTCCTCATCTTAAAATGATCCTCCAGATAATATTAGGTACAAAAGTATAAGCTAAAATATATTTTACTTTTAACCTATATATGCACCAACAGTAACCCTAGCGACTCGCTAACAAACTTTCAAGAGGTAACTCCTTTAGTATTTGATGTTCTTCCTAGACTTTGTTCGATTCCATGGTGGTTTTGATATGTATGCTTTGGGTTTCGTTGATCGAGATTGTTATTACTTGTTAGTTGATTGTTAGATTTACAAATTTGGGTGTGTTTTTGTGCGCCACTCAGGTTCTAGGGCTTTTTCTCTCTTCACTCCGTCTTCTTGTAGTTAGATCCCGGGGAAATCATACACGAATTCGGGAAGCCCTCATTCTCTTTGTCTTCGTTCAACATCGAAGCATAATCTTCAACTAAGTATTGAACTCTTTAGTCTAGAGTGTGGCAACTATTTAAAAAAAAAAAAACTGTGTTTGAATGTCAAAAGTGAATATTAGTGTTTTTTGGTCTTATTTTGTATCTCGAGAGTGTGTTTCATTGGGGTTAATTGGTTTTATGAATTTCTGTGTGTGACATTCAGTTAAAAGAGGTTTTCTCTTTCTCCAGGTTTATGTTAGTTTGATTGCAAATAATCTTTTATCAAAATCCAATGGCCAAGGGAGTTGATAAGAAGTTTTGTTGGGAGATAAAGGATTTCTCCTCTTTGAACTCTGAGAGATGTAATTCTGTTCCAGTCGTGATTGGTGACTACAAATGGTAAAAAAAAAAAAGTTACTCGTTTCCAAGTTTGCTAGTCGACTTAAGTGATATCGAGTTTGATAATTCCTTTTCTGTGGGTTTTCTTGCAGGCGTCTTGTTGCCTTTCCTAAGGGATATAAAGCAGATTACTTTTCTTTGTATTTAGAAGTTGCTGATTTTCAATCATTGCCTTGTGGATGGAGAAGATACGTCAAATTTAGCGCAAGTATAGTAAATCAGCTTTCGCAAGAACTCTCTGTACAACAAGGTGATTCTTACTTAAGTCTTCTCATCACTAGTTGATTCACTTTTCTTTTAATGTCATTTTCAGTATGTTTGTGTGTATAGTGAGTTGTTTAAATCTTACTCTTACGGCGCATATAGTTCATGCAGTGCTTTATTTGTGGTTGATTACCTAATGAGTGGGAAATGTTACAGAAACACACCGCTGGTTTGATCAGAATGCTCGCGGATGGGGTTTTGAAAACATGCTTCCACTTACCGAACTTAATGCCAAAGATGGTGGATTTTTGGTAAATGGACAAGTCATGATTGTTGCTGAAGTAGAATTTCATGAAGTTATTGGCACACTAGATGAATCAAAGAATATTATTCTGTCTAATGATTTACTCAACAAGAGTCGAGAAGTGGCTCAACAAGTGAAGGAAAGCATTGATGTTAATGGGTTTCAAGTTCTTCCTTCACAGGTAAAGAAACTTAAAAATGGCCTCCACATCTCCAAAGAATGATCTCTCTGATATGTTTTTTGTACATTTGTATTTACACTTGCAGGTAGAATCTGTGAGCCGTATTTTTGAAAAGCACCCAGAGATTGCAGTAGGGTTCCAAGTAAAGAACCAACATCTGAGGAAAACATTCATGAATTTCCTGGTCAACGTAATTGAGACGCTGTGTCAATCTCTTCAGGAGCTCTCAAATGAAGATCTTGTGGAAGTAGACATTGCACTGACATATTTGAAAGATGCGGGATTTAAGGTGGATTGGTTGGAGAAGAAGCTGGACCAAGTGAAAGAAAAGAAGGAGAAAGAACAATCTGGTTTGGTCATACTCCAAGGAATTGAGAAGCAGCTTCATGACTTGATGCACAAGTGTGAGAAGAAGAAGTCAGAGGTTTTGTCCATTGGAGCTCCTCTAAAGTTCGATGATGTTGTTTGATCACACTTCACTTTTATTACGCATTTTTTGGTGTTCTTAAACCGGTGTCACCGTAACCCGGCAATCTGTTTTTATTTCTTTAGACTCACATATATAAACAGGCTAAACTCAATAAAATCTGCCGGTTTGGTTCATTGAAAAAAACCGGTTCAGGCTAAAATAAACCTTCTCTTTGGTTAAGTATCCCCTTTCAAAGTCTGGTTAGGTGAAATTCTGGTTAAGAATCGAGTTTGGTTCAGTATAAGTTTTGGTTTGGTTTGAGATCTTATATGGTTATTTTGGTTAAGCATGATTTACTTAACAAAACTGCTAGCAACAAATTTTCTTTTGATTCGAAGATAATTTGCATATGAATGATTCCGTTTTAGGGTTTTTCTTTGACAAAAAAAAAGTGTTTTTTTTGCCTTGTTTCTGTAATTTTTTTTTCTCCTGATCTCAACACACGAAGAGTCGCTACCAAACAAGCGGCTCAACTTGATGATGCAATTTAATATCCATCTATTCGCTGGTTACCAATATTGATTTATTCGTAATTATCCCAAAAGAATATCAAGTCACGATGAGTTTCTTAAAACATGTTACTACTAATTAAGAATGCCTGCATTTTCTTTATATATGTATCTGTTGTGGCGAAGTTTAAACACTGATTCTCTGATTTATCCAACTCTGCAGTTTCTAGGCTGAGAGATTCCCATCGAATAAATGTTGAGAGAAAATAGTTGCGAGGTTAGCGATAGTGAAGATGGTGATTTTTCTCCAAATCAAGATTCTTCGTCAGAAGATGAAGAAACTGTTGAAGTCAATGGGTTTCAGGTTCTTCCTTCACAAGTAAGCACGAAATTATTCAACTCTCTGTTCTCAATTTTTAAGATAATTCGATTTGACCTTTTGTGGTTTACATTTTTCTGGTTATTCACAGGAAACTTTGGTCAGTGAAATGTTTAAAAAGCATCCAGATCTCACTTCAAACTTTGATTTAAAGAATCAACAACTTAAGAATGCTTACATGGATGTCCTCCTCGACCTAAATGAGACATTATCCCAGTCGACAAAAAAGCTTTCCTTGGTAGACCTAGACAAAGCAGAGAGTACGCTTTTTGATCTTACTAGAGCAGGCTTGAAAGTGTGTTGGTTGCGTCAGAAGTTGGATGAAGCTTACGTGAAGAAGGAGAAACAGAGAGTTAGTGGTGCGCGGATCAGAGAACTCGAGGAACAGGTCAAGAAGCGAAAGCTTACTTTGTCCGATTTGGAAACCGACCTTAAGAAAGAGAAAGCTGCGGCTTTGAACTTTTCTTTTGAATAAAGGAAGTCTTTAGTCTTTATTTTAGTTTCGGCAATTTCCTTTCCGTTGCAGACTTTTTAGGTTTTATCTTGGATACTTGTGAATCAAGTATCAAATAAGTTGAAGGGTTTAACTTGTTTTATTTTGAATATGCGTATTTTATATGAATGATCTAAGCATCTTAATTACTTAATCGATATTTATTTGTTTTGAATATGGTCTTTATTTATTTGTTTAGATCTATTTATTTATTTATTGGATCTATTTATTTATTTTGAATATGGTCTTTATTTTAAAAAGCTAAAAGTATATATACTTCCAACCGTAAACCCTAGCGACTCGCCAACAAACTTTCAAGAGGTAGAGATCCACTACGGATCAGCATATTTCTCTAGTAGCGATTACAACAGAGATATCGTCCAATATCTCTCTCTTACTCTCTCTGTGGCTAGCGATTTCTAAATCTACTTCTCTAAAACCCTAAACCCTACTAGACTCGGATTCAAAGCACCTTCGTGTGTGAATCTATCACCGGAGACTGCGATTGATATATTGGATTACGAACTTGCTTATCCGATTCAGTTTCTATGGTTTTCTTTTGTCATCCGCCGTTTCCAAACGTTTCAACAAGAATAATGAGCAAGCAAAAGGAGACAAGATTCAGTTGGGTTTTGAAAAATTTCTGTTCTTTGCAACATAACAATTGCTACTCTCGCACCTTCGCAGCAGCTGACTGCAATTGGTAAATAAAGAAACGATTACAAACACTTTCGTCTTTTTTTTTTTTTTTGGTAAAAGATTGGATTTTGTTTTTATTTTGTGCAGGCGTCTTCTTGCTTGTTACAATAAAGATAGGAATGGTTACTTGTCCTTGTATCTAGAACTTGCGGATCCTGCATCTTTGCCATTAGGATGGAGAAGACAAGTGAAATTTCGTCTTACTCTTGTGAATAAGCTTCACAAACAATCCACCAGAGTATTAGGTGATTAATTTTTTAACTTATACGCTCCTTGTTTCAGTTTTTGTGGCCTGAAAGGAGAATATATGTCTCTGTTTTAATCTCTTATGGTTAGGATCACTTGATGTGACTTAACATTTTTTTTCCAATTATGTTTGTGGATATATATATCGCAGAAGGGCAACGCTGGTTTGATGCAAATAATTATGGTTCGGGCTTTAATGAGTTTTTGCCCCTTTATAAACTTCATGCTAGAGGTAATGGATTCCTCGTGAGAAACAAACTCATTATTGTCGCTGAGGTACAGATTCTTCCAGCTATTGGTGTACCAAAGGATACTGTGAAGATAACAGAACCTCTCAGCTGCAGAGAAGGAAATCAAGCTACTGATGCATCTGAAGAGGATTTGGATGATGATGATGAATCTGAAGAGGGTTTAGATGATGATGATGAATCTGAAGAAGATTTGGATGATGATGATGATGCATCTCAAGAAGATTCGGATGATGATGATGATGATGCATCATCTCCTGTTTCTGATGATGGAGGTCAGGAAATATGTCCCTTGAACCAACTGAATGCCTGGAATAAAGCTTCTCGTTCAGTAGGAAACCGTGGTATGAATTGTAACAATGTGGTAGTTTCCGATGCGGATACTGATGATGCCGCGAAAGAAGATCTGTTTGACGATGGTACAGTTGAAGAGGATCCGGATGATGATGCTTCATCTCTCCACCAATTGAAGTCCATGGTGGACACCTCGAAGACAGTACAAAATGGTGGTACAGGGTGTAACAATAAGGCACCTATTTTTGATACGTGGATTAATGATTTTCTAAAAGAGATTCTACCAGCAAAGGAAACCATGGATGTCAATGGTTTTCAGGTTCTTACTTCACAGGTAAGAACACAATCTAACCCTTTTTCTAAAGAAAACTTATCATAAGTAATCTCAAAATCTTGGTTCCCATTTCGTTTATGTTGTTCTTTCTTGCAGGTACAATCAGTGAGGCAGATCTTCAAAAGACACCCAGACACAGCAATAGGTTTCCGTCCAAAGAACCAACAGATCAGGAAAGCATACATGGATGCACTTCTTAGGCTCATTGAGACACTGTGCCAGTCTCCAGAGAAGCTCTCTGATGATGATCTGAGTAATGCTGACGAGACACTTGATGATCTGATTGATGTTGGCTTTAAACTGGATTGGCTGAAGACGAAGCTGAATGAGGTCTCTGAAAAGAAGAAGATGGGGCAGAGTAGTGTGGCTCGGCTAGGAACAATGGAGGAAGAGTTGCAGAAGCTGAAGCACATGGTCTTGGATTTTGAAGCTCAGCTGCAGAAGGAAAAGGCCAAGGTATTGGCTGCGAGAGCTCCTTTTTCGTTCAAAGATGTTGTTTACTGATTTTGCATGATCCTTATCTAGGTGCTAATTAGTAGTGGAACTGAAACAGCTTAACGATGAAACCTGAATGTTTGGCAATATTTTCCTATCATTTTTTGCATATCATACAGAGATATCCAAATGCTTAAACGTTGGAATCGGTATTTAGTTGCCAAGTCAAACTCTGTCTACATAATGAAGAACAAACCATTAGACGCTATTTATCGTATGTAACTAATACTGAAAAACATAGGTCCAAATTTTTTCTATCACCGTACTATTTATAATTAATAAAAGTTTAAACTCAGTCAAATCTTTAAATTTTGACTTTTTCATCGGCCTTTCACTAGCCGCATATACCAAGTCACATCTCCTAACTCTTCTCCCGTGTCCGTTACAGAACCCAAAAACATTTCTTTTAAAGCAACCGAATTTTTGGAATGTTACAAAAAAAAAGTCGTTTTGACATAAGCATTTCATCTAGTAACTAATATAAAGCCAAATCAGCTATTAAGCATTCTTCTGCGTAAAAAACAATGTCTTCATCCTCCGTATCAAAACGCATCGTTTTGGTCCTTAACTTGGCCGTGGTAGCCACACAAGTCCTCCCTATACGCAGCGTCTCGTCCATGAACAAGACTAACGCGTATCTATACCACAAATGCTCTGAAATTGAAGGGAAATACAAGCCGAAGAGCCCGTACGAAGAAAACCTTAACTTTATCATCAATGACATGTATAAAGACACTTTTGTAAGAGGTTTCGTCTACGCCTATCATGGTGACGATCCCAATACCGTCTATATCTTGCTCCAATGCCGGGGTGACTCCTACGGCCCAAAGTGTGGCTCCTGCCTCACTACCGCCTCCTCGGAGGTAACGTTACACACACGTCAATATTTTGGTTTTCAAAAATAACACCAAATCTTTAGTGCATGTACAAAATCTATATATCATACGTAAATTATTGTGTGCGAGTGTAAAGTTTGTTTTTATTTGCTATGAATATGAATATGACAGCTACGTAGAAGATGTCCGATGAACAAGGCGGGAATAGTATGGTTTGACAAATGTCTTCTCAAGTTTTCTCCAACCGCTTTCTTCGAGAAGATCGATGACAAGAACAAGTTCTATATGTACAGCACAAAGAAAGTAAGCGATCCGGCGTCGTTCAATGCGAAGACAAAGGCTCTACTAACTGAGCTGACCACGAAAGCTACTCGTAGATCAGATAAGTTATTGTTGTACGAGACGGGGGAGATGAAACTTGGGAAGATGAAGCTGTACGGAATGGTGCAGTGTACACGGGACCTATGGTTTACGGTTTGTAAGACGTGTTTGGATAAGATTATTGGGGAGCTTCCTAAATGTTGTGATGGTAAAGAAGGAGGGAGAGTTGTGAGTGGGAGTTGTAACTTTAGGTATGAGATTTACCCTTTTCTTGACACTGTTCGATGAGATCTCCAAATTTTGTTTGTTTGTCAACCGGAAAGCTCCATATATAGTATAAAAAGGGGTTGATTGGTGACCATATCAGTAAACAGCAGGAAGTTCAATAAATGAAAATATAGGGCTGTAAATGGGCAAAAATACTTACACAACACATAAATTTGAAGACTTACTCACATTTATGGACAACCTTTTTGAATACTTACGCAACAAATCTATTTGTGTTCGATTTCAGAAAATATAGAGTAAAAAATACAAATCGAATTTCTCTTTCTCAAAAGTTGAATTCCAAGAAATTATAAATGCATTTGAATTCGGTTATGTTTGATTTTGTGTATATTCTTATATCGTGTGTAGGCTCATGTTGTGTAGAGTTTATTGGGGTTAGTTGATTACTCTCCTCTAGGTTCCTTTAAGCATTAGGTTTCTTGCTGTAAAAGTAATGTCTTTAAGTGTGACACACGGCAAAAAAAGTGGCTCTATTGGATGTACAACATTAATATCGATTGGTTGTTTAATTTTACCATTTATAAATTTGCAATTTATGACAAGAGTGCATTTTCTTAATATCACTATCTTAACTCCACAAATATAAATATCCTCTCTGGTCAATATTCCTAGCTACAACAACACTGAAGTTTAATTAATCCCCAGCTATTCAGTTTTGAAATTGAGATATATTCGCTTCGTAATCAATGGTGAGGAAGACAGAGAGTAGTGAATCTAGCGATGATGAACAGAGATACTCGTCTTCATCTGAAGAATGGTCGGAGGACTCCTCAGAAGATGTTAATGAAATTGTTGAAGTCAATGGGTTTCAAATTCTTGATTCGCAGGTAATAAAGCATGACATTGTACAAATAAAACTCTTATTTCAATTTGAGTGTAGGAAAAGGTTTTGACCTTTCTTGTTTCACAGGTAAGCCAAGTGAATGCAATCTTTGAAAAACATCCAGACATTGCATCAGATTTCAGTTTAAAGAACCAACAGCTCAAAAATGCTTACATGGGTGTTCTTCTCGACCTAATCATGACACTGTGCCAATCGCCTAAGGAGCTCACGATGAACGATCTAAACAAAGCAGACCGCACGATTTTGGATCTGACAAAAGCTGGCTTGAGGTTGCATTGGTTGCGTCAGAAACTGGACGAAGCTTTCTTGAAGAAGGAGAAAAAAAGAGCCATTGGGGCACGGATCAGAGAACTTGAGGAACAAGTCAAGAAATGAAAGCTGAATTTATCGGATTTAGAATCTGATCTAAAGAAACAGAAAGCTGCGGCTTTGGCTGCTGAAACTCCGTTTGATTTCAGCGATGTTGTTTGATATCACTAATTGATGGATTTGTGTGAAGTATTCCTCTGTTTCTTGTTCTGTTTTAACTTTCCTTATCACTAATTGATGGTTTTATGTGAAGTATTCCTCTGTTTCTTGTTCTGTTTTAACTTTCCTTATCACTAATTGATGGTTGGCTACGTCTAAATCAAGTATCAAATATATAACATTTTTTACATAACAAATCAGAAACAGAGTATTTGAGCCAAATAAACTTAATAAGAAGAAACAGAGTGATTGGAAAGTCAATACATGCTTTAATTTGGCATACGTTACTGCTATGTAAAAATAAGCTTATTGTTAATCTATACAAAAATCAAGGTCTTTTCATTTAACTAAAAAGTTTCGTTCTATTTTTAAGGGTTTGAGAATTTTTTTAATTTTTTTTTTGTTAAAGGGGTTTTAGGATTTATTCCAACTTATACGCTAAGAAAATCTATAGATGAATGTAGTTTGTTCGAAAATTTCTCAATTCTATCTAACAATATCTGTTACCAAAAAAAAAAGCTAGATATATTTTCCTTTATATATGATTTTACGTTAGGTTACGCTTAAAAAGTTTGTTTTCATAGCTTCTTCGTCTCCGTTCCTTTTCTACAAAATCCTTTAGTCTATTCCAATTCATATCGTGGTAACTGTTAAAAGAATTGTGCTCGATTTTCAAAATTTCTTGGGAGTGGAATCTTAGTTTGTAATTTTTTCTTCTATTTTATACCTCGAACGTGATTAGGGTTTTACAAAATTTGAGTTTTAAAAGTGTTTTGTCTTCTTGCGAACGAGGAATCTTCATGACATCAATAATGAACCCATGTGATAAGAAGTTTGTTTGGGTTATAAAGAATTTTTCCTCTTTACAATTACAAGATTGTTATGTTTCTGTTCCAGTTCTGATCCGTGACGTCAAATGGTAAAAATACAATATCTTTTTCTTTCCAATGTCTCGTCGAAGATTGTTAACATCTATATAAAGTTTTGGTGATTCTTTTCTTTTGGGTTGTTTATTTTCTTTTTAATTCTGGCAGGCGTCTTTTTGCCTATCCGGAGGAAAATAATGGTGATCACTTGTCTCTGTATCTGGAAGTTGATTTCGAATCAATGCCTTGTGGATGGAGACAATATACACAATTTCGTTTTACGGTAGTTAATCAAATTTCAGAGCATTTATCCGTAAAGAGAGGTAAATATTTCTAGCTTTTGATTAGTTTTATGCATGGTAGAAACAGCGGAAACACGTTTTTAAATTGAATAAGTGAATACTTTTCATCACTAATGTCATTTTGATAGTAGCAATTTGATGTTCCAATCCACAGGCAAGATTTTAGTTGATGTAGTAGTGCTTTAACTATTCTATGTTGATTAACCAATTAATGGAGTGGAAATGCTGCAGAAGGACGAAAGTGGTTTGATAAGAAAGCTCCGGAATGGGGTTGGGAAGACATGATTTCTCTAACAAAGCTTAATGATATAAATAGTGGGTTCTTGGTGAACGGAGAGCTCATGATTGTTGCTGAAGTAGAAACTTTTGAAGCTATTAGCACATCACAAGTTGCAGGGACTAGTGTTGATAGTGAATGGACACTTCTTGACTATTACGCTTCATCTGAAGAGGACAAGGATGATGTAACTGTTGTAATCAAGGGCTTTCATGTTCTTGATTCGCAAGTAATAAAGCTTGACAATGATTTCAACTCTTGTTTCAATATTTTGGACAAGCTGATATGATCTTTGTTTACACTGTCTTCACAGGTTTATCAAGTGAAGGAAACCTTTGAGAAACATCCAGATCTCGCATCGAATTTGATTTTAAAGAATCAAAATCTCAAGAATATTTACATGGGTTTTCTTCTTGACTTAATCAAGACATTGAGCAAGTCACCTAAGGAACTCACTGAGGACGACTTAAACTTCGCTGACAGTACGCTTTCTGATCTGACAAAAGCAGGCTTCATGTTGGATTGGTTGCGTCAGAAGTTGGATAGGGCTTTGGAGAAACAAATAGCTTGTGACGCAGGCTAATGTACTTGTAAGATTAAAAGTCTTAGGTCGGAATTTCTTTGCTTTTAAAATTCTCAATGTGGAAGGTAGCTATTACATCACTATTTATTCATCGCAATTTATAGCTGCACATACATTGTTGTTGAGCTTTTTAATGAACAAACCAAGTCCATAGTACAACACACTTGGCGTCTCTAAGTGGAGTATCATTGCGCTTTGCTTTTGCATTGTGCTTTCCATGGTCACACCCTTGGTTACGCTAGGTGGAAGAAGCTGATATATTGGCTCATAATCACTCTCTCTTGGATTTTTATCTTTTTGACGACAGTAAAAAATAAACACACATGAAAAAGTGATAATGTAGTTTTAATTAATCTTTTTTATAAAGAGTATAGTATATGCGAATACAATAACTCACATACGTACATAATCGTAGATATATCTCAACTCCAAATTTTAAAAAAAAATACCACTTAAAATTTTAAACACATTATCCTTTCTCAATTAGGGAAAAAAAATTCCTTTCGCAAATAGGAAAAAAAAACCTTGATTAAAACCGGTGACCTTAAAGAACCGAATAAAATATAACCATCATCCATCAACAGTAGACGCAACCTCAATTTCCTCCTTCGCACGATCGTCCACGCATCTTCCGTATAGATAAAGCTTCTTCGTCTCAGTGCGGTGTGATTAGGGTTTTGAATTTGAGTCTTTCAAAAGGGTTTTCTTCTTTTATTGTATCTAGTAGAGTCTTCAATGGCAAATCAAGGTGGTTTAAAGAAGTTTGGTTGGGTGATAAAAGACTAGCGACGTCATTGGTGTTGCTCTGTTCCAATCCTAATCGGTGACTCTTATTGGTACGTAAAATCATAGTTTCCTTTTGTTATTTTTCATATATATATCAAATCATGAATGATCCATATACCGTATTTGGTTATTCTTTCTTTCTTTCTTTCTTGCAGGCGTCTTGTTGCTCATCCCAATGGAAACCCTACTGGTTACTTTTCTCTGTTTCTGGAAGTTAATTTGGAACTATTTCCTTCTGGCTGGAGAAGATACGTGGATTATCAATTCACTATAGTCAATCATATTTCTGGGAACCATTCCTTCAATAAAAGTAAAATCATATGCACTATGGTTGTGAATTGTGATCATGATCACTGGCTATGTCAAATTCATAGTTACGAACTAACATATTCTTGTTATATATATTGAAATATTGTTACAGAAGGATGGGGCTGGTTTGATGAGAACACAAAAGTTTGCGGTTTTAGAGACATGATTCCCGTATTCAACCTTAATAACATTCGTGGTGGATTCTTGTTGAATGGGGAGCTCACGATTATTGCTGAAGTTGAAGTTCATGAAATTATTGACACGTTAAATGCATCACAAGTTGAAGAGTACTTTAGTGATGATTCCTCTGAAGATTTTCAGAACAAAGATAATGTAAATATCGAAGTAAACGGCTTTCAGGTTCTTGATTCGCAGGTAATAAAACTCTTGTTTCAATATTTGAGATAAACTCGATTTGACATTTTTTTTTTTTTTCATCATCACAGGTTGATCAGGTGAATGTAATCTTTGAGAAACATCCAGATCTCACGTCGAATTTCAATTTAAAGAATCAACATATCAAGAATGCTTACATGCATGCTCTTCTTGACCTAATCAAGACACTGTCCAAATCTACTAAGGACCTCACCGTGGAAGACATGAACAAAGCAGACAATACGCTTACTGATCTGGTAAAAGCAGGCTTGAACTTGGATTGGTTGCGTCATAAGTTGGATCAGGCTTTGGAAAAGCAGATAGATTACGACACACGGATCAGAGAACTCGAGAAACAGGTCAAGAAGCGAAAGTTGGCATTGACAGAACTTGAAGCCGACCTGGAGAAAGAGAAAGCTGCAGCTTCAGCTTCATTGATGTTGTTTGATTGAAATTTTAAGATGAAGTTGTGCTTCTTTATTTGAGTTTTCTCCATTATTTAATGAGGAATAGTGTTTCCTACTTCTAGTCTTTCTATTTCAGCTTTCCTTATTTTAATAACTTCCTTTTAGGTATAGATAAAAAAACATGTACATATCCTATTTTTAACTTGAGAAAATTAAGAGATTTGAGTTTCTTGGTGAATAAGTAAGAGTCAAGAAACAAGTGAAGCCTCCTCTGTTTCTGTTCATTTTCTGCTAAGTAATTAATTCATCCTCAACTACGTATTGGTCTCTGATAGCAAATTCGTCTTAATCCGCCTGCGGTTTTGAATATGAAATTTTTTATCAAATTTTGAATACGAATTTTTTCATCAAATATTCATTCAATGTGGAAGAAAGCAGAGAGAAAGTTGTCATGATGAAATATTCATTCAATGTGGAGTCCTAAAAGGAACCTTTCGTTCCAAGAAAGGATATTAGGCTCTCCTAATTGAGACTTTATATTAGAATTCATAGTTTAATATTATCTATAGACCAACATTGAGTGGTCAAAATTCATTTGTAAAACTTCCATAGGCATTAATTAAATATCTTATTTAAAATTTTAAGTCTATGGCAAGTGCTATAAGTTGATTTTGACTTAATAATGACATTTGCTTCTAGTAGCAGGAGTTAGTCGAGTTCTACTTATACCAAGTTTTCATTGTATCCTTCTTTGTCATAATTCCGATGTGGGATTTTTAGCAAGCTTTATTGATGCCGTTTCTAACTTCTCTCAGATACACACCGCGTGCCGTTTAGTGCTTCGCTGGTTGAACAACGTGTCGGTATAACAAAACGTGAACGCTTAAAGATTTTTAGACTGGGCCGGCCTCTTTGGCCCAACACTATGACTTGGAATAAAATGAAACCATCAGTCCAGTCCAGTCCAGTCAGTTCAGTCGGTGCTATCCCAGTGTTCGTTTCGTCGTATCAAAGAAGTTTCCTTTAGAGATTTTTATCTAACGCTTTGCGACCGATTCAGTTTCTGAAGGAATCTGTCTTCGTCTACGCGTTTCTCTAAAAAGGTGAAATTTTTAACAACTGATCTTTATGATTTCGTAATCTCCTGCTCGTTACGTTGATCATGGTAAGCTGTTAAAATTGATGTTTAAGAGTGTCGTCGTACAAATTGATGTTTTAGAGTGTCGTCGTACAAAGTGTTAGAGTCTCTATTAGGGTTTTGTTGCTCGAAATTGTTGCGTGATTCCTCGATTTTTTACAAATCAATCCTAGGGTTTTCACTTCTGGTAGCTTGATTGCAGAGAACAATGGGGAAAGAAGTTGATAACAAGTTCACTTGGGTGATTAAGAATTTCTCCTCTCAGCAATCCACAAAAATTTATTCGGATGAATTCTTCGTCGATGGCTGCAAATGGTAAGAAGTGAAATTGTTTTCTAATGATTTCATCTGTTTAGGTTTTTATTTTCGTGAAATAGAGGATTGACTAAATTTTCTTCAAGGCGTCTTCTGGCCTTTCCTAAAGGAAATGGTGTTGAGAAGTTGTCACTGTATCTGGCCGTTGCTGGTGGTGAATTTTTACCTGATGGATGGAGAAGACACGCAGATATCCACTTAAGTGTAGTGAATCAACTCTCTGAAGAACTCTCTCTAACTAGAGGTGATTGTTTTTCTAGACACTGCTCGTTACTTGATATGCGTTGGAGAATCATTGCAACTGTTTTTTTTCTCAAAATTCTTATATGTTGTATGAGTTGGGTTGGTTTAAGACTAGTTTCAAAGTTTCGTGGCAAGTTTAGAGGCTTTATTTTATGTGAAGTGAAGTCAATGATGAAATGGAATTTATTTCGTTGTTGTTTCAGAAACAGAACATTTGTTTGATGCGAGTACTTGCGACTGGGGTTTTGCATCAATGTTTTCCCTTAAAAAACTTCATGACAAAGATGGTGGTTTCCTGGTTAATGGAGAGCTCAAGATTATTGTCGAGGTATCTGTTCTTGAAGTTATTGGCAAATTAGACGTACCAGAGGAATGTGAAGAGACAACCAAATCTCTAAGCAAGGTTGACGATAATGACGTACCAGAGGAATCTGAAGAGACGACCGAAGCTCTAAGCAAGGTAGTTGAAAATGATGGTGCAGAGTCTAATGATTCGCTCAAGGAAGCTTCATCAGTAAAGGAAAGCATGGATGTCAATGGCTTTCGAGTTCTTCCTTCACAGGTATGAAATCAAGAATGGTGTAGTAATTTCTTAAAAATTCTAACCGACATATGTTCTATTTATGCTTCTCTGTTTTGTGAATTGTTTCTGAAGTAGCAGAAAGCACACTTGTATATTCAGTGAAAACAAGAAATGAAACTGTAAAAGTTTCTTGATACATGTATGATGTATGTATGAGTTGCAGAATATGAGGGAAACTGGAATACTACCCCCTCAATATATTTTTTTCTACTTAATTCATCTTTCTATCACTTTCAGGTGGAAACTGTGAGCTGTATATTTGAAAGACACCCCGACATAGCATCAGAGTTCAGTCCAAAGAATCAGCATCTGAGGTCAGCTTACATGAACGTCCTTCTCAGCCTAATCAAGACTATGTGCCAGTCGACTCAGGAACTTTCCAAGGATGATCTGTCAGACGCAGATGCTGCTCTTGCATACTTGACAGATGCAGGGTTGAATCTAAATTGGTTGGAGGAGAAACTGGAAGAGGTGTCAGAAAAGAAGGAGAACGAGGAAGCTGGTGAGACTCGGGTGCATGAAATAGAGGAAGAGTTGAAGGAGTTGAAGTTGAAGTGCTCAAACCTGGAAGCTCAGCTGGGGAAGGAGAAAGCAAATGTGTCTGTGGCCAGAGCTCCTTTCTCGTTCGATGATGTTGTTTAATGGCTTCAGTATTCAGATTCCTTCTTATAGTTCTGTTTGGTGTGTTAGTCGTCTTGAAACTCTGCAAGATAAGTGGCTTAGGTTGGATGTTTCCGCATTTTGTGGTTCTTGACTCGTTAGGTTTCTTTAATCCAATGTGTTTCTTGTAAAGAAGTAGGTGTGTTTCTTTATCATTGAATTTGACTATTTCTAAATATGAAATATGTAAAATCACCTAAATCTAATCGAATATGTGCCTATCTAAATATATGTAAAATTACCATTAACAAATCTTTGGGGTTAAAAGTATCAAAATATATACTATATGAGGACAATACCTAGACAAATCTCGGTCACTAGATGCAGGGTTTAAGATGGATTGGTTGGAGAAGAAATTGGAGGAAGTAAAGGAAAAGAAGAAGAAAGTGGTGGTTTGTTTGGCTCGGCGGCAAGAAATGGAAGAATTGCTTAAGCCAGTGAAGGAAAAGTGCTTAGACCAGGAAGCTCAGATTGATAAGGAGAAGGCAGAGTTGTTGGCTGCAAGAGCTCCTTTCTCGTTTGATCACTTGAATTTTTAAGTTGACTTGGAGTTTTAGTTTTGATTATTGGTGTTTAATTAGGTCTGTTCGTTTGCGATTTGGTTTCGAAGTTAGAGTCCTCTTTTTGGTTCTGCTCATTTGTGTTTTGATTTGAAAAGGAGAGTCCTCTTTCTTAAAAAATTTCGGAAGGTGACCAAAACTTTTAAAGAAATGTTTAGTAGGTGAGGATTCTCTAGGTGTTTTCTTTAAATCATTGAACTTCTTGATGAAAAACTTATATCCTAACAGAATGAACTTGTGTCCGAACAGAATAATGGCACATGAAAGAGTCGTAACCAAACAGAAGTAGCAATGACGCCTTTAATATCCATCGGTATTAAGTGTTCTTCTTATAGTTTTTCCCTCGGACTATGCGAACAAAGGGCCTGATTTGTCTAGGTGTCTGAGAAACAGAGTGGCACACAAAGATTTATGACATTGTATCAAGACAAGCTGAGCAAAAACTGTAACGATTTCGTGCAATTTACAAAGACACAGAACTTCCTCGTGGCTCTGTGATTTCAACTTCTTTGTCTCTTATTGCAAGTTAATTTCCAAACCATGTACTTCCTGCGCTTCCTTTGTTTCCTTGTTTCTGAAGTTTTGTTGCGTGAAGCTCTGATCTTATCAATGTCGGAAAAAAACAGAGAGTAACTTATTGTGGTCTGTTTATGGGATTATACGTATGAAGAGGTGTGTGAAGGTAATGCAAACGAGGACTACAAATTTTGGAAAAAAAACAAAAGATAATTTGATTATTAGACCAGATAATTAAATGAAAATTAAAAAATTATCCAACCAAAAAAAAATCAAACAATTAATAGCTAAACCAAACCTATTAATACGTGGATTAATAGACTGAGCTTGTGTTTAGAAAAGCCTGTGCAAAGATAAAACCGGAGCAAAAGCCTTCGCGTTCAAATTTAGATGTGCATTTAGGCTAAATCTGCACTTTTGTACTCTAAGGAAGGGGTAAACACTTATCCGTTGTTCGCGTGCTGTTCGAACTTTTGAAGGCTTCATTTTGATAGTAGAATCGTAATCTCTGTTTAGGTTTCGTAGCTCGAGATTGTTTGACTTACTAATTTGAGGTTCATATATGTTCTGGTAGCTTGATTGCCAAGACTCTTCATCTAGATCAATGGGGAAGCAAGTTAATAACACGTTCACTTGGGTGATTAAGAATGTCTCCACTCTGCAAGGTCAGGAAGTTCGTTCTGAAATTTTCGTTGTTGGTGGCTGCAAATGGTAAGAAGAAGAGAATCTGTTTTCTTCTATTTATGTGAAGTTGATGTTCTTGCTGATTCTTTTCTTTTTTGGCTTGTAGGCGTCTTATTGCCTATCCAGAAGTTAACAATGTTGATGGTTACTTGTCTTTGTCTGTGTATCTGGACGTTCCTGATTGTTGTGAGTCTTTGCCTTCTGGATGGAAAAGGCATGCAAAATTTTCCCTAACTATAGTAAATCAAATTTCAGAAGAACTCTCCCAACTGCAAGGTTATTATTTCCTCTAGCTGCATGTAAATAAAGTTTGATACTTTAATATTCAAATTGTATGTTGTGCAATGCAATTGTTTGGACTCTAGAGTTTGGGTGGTTTATGCTGATTCTTTTCCATATATATGAATATATCAAATCATGAATATATATATATATATATATATATATATATATATATATATATCAAATCATGAATGATCCATATATTATATATACCGTATTTGGTTATTCTTTATTTCTTTCTTGCAGGCGTCTTGTTGCTCATCCCAATGGAAACCCTATTGGTTACTTTTCTCTGTTTCTGGAAGTTAATTTGGAACTATTTCCTTGTGGCTGGAGAAGATACGTGGAATATCACTTCACTATAGTCAATCATATTTCTGAGAAATATTCCGTACATAAGTAAAATCATATGCACTATTTGGTTGTGAATTGTGATCATGATCACTGGCTAAGTCAAATTCATAGTTAAGAAGTAACATATTCTTGTTATATGTTGAAATATTGTTACAGAAGGATGGCGCTGGTTTGATGAGAACACAAAGATTTGCGGTTTTAGAGACATGATTCCCGTAGTCAACCTTCATAACATAAATGGTGGGTTCTTGTTGAATGGGGAGCTCACGATTATTGCTGAAGTTGAAGTTCATGAAATTATTGACACGTTAAATGCATCACAAGTTGAAGAGTACTTTAGTGATGATTCCTCTGAAGATTTTCAGAACAAAGATAATGTAAATATCGAAGTAAACGGCTTTCAGGTTCTTGATTCGCAGGTAATAAAACTCTTGTTTCAATATTTGAGATAAACTCGATTTGACATTTTTTCTTCTTCTTCGTCATCATAGGTTGATCAGGTGAATGCAATCTTTGAGAAACATCCAGATCTCACGTCGAATTTCAATTTAAAGAATCAACATATCAAGAATGCTTACATGCATGCTCTTCTTGACCTAATCAAGACACTCTGCAAATCTCCTAAGGACCTCACCGTAGAAGACATGAACAAAGCAGACAATACGCTTACTGATCTGGTAAAAGCAGGCTTGAACTTGGATTGGTTGAGTCATAAGTTGGATCAGGCTTTGGAAAAGCAGATAGATTACGACACACGGATCAGAGAACTCGAGAAACAGGTCAAGAAGCGAAAGCTGGCAGTGACAGAACTTGAAGCCGACCTGGAGAAAGAGAAAGCTGCAGCTTCGGCTTCATTGATATTGTTTGACTAAGATTTTAAGATGAAGTTGTGCTTCTTAATATGAGTCTTCTCCACTATTTAATCAGAAATAGTGTTTTCTACTTCTAGTCTTTTTATTTCAGTTTTCCTCATTTTAATAACTTCCTTTTTAGGTAGAGTTAAGAAACATGTACATACATATCCTATTTTTAACTTGAGAAAATTAAGAGATTTGAGTTTCTTGGTGAATAAGTAAGATCAAGAAACAAGTGACGCCTCCTCTGACGCAACCAATCCAAGTTCAAGCCTGCTTTTATCACCCTAATTCCTAAGTAATTAATTCATCCTCAACTACGTATTGGTCTCTGCTAATTCGTCTTAATCCGCCTGCGGTTTTCAATATGGAAGAATAACAGAGTAAGTGATGATGATGAAACTGTTAAGAGATTATCCAAAAGGACTAATCAAAAGTTCTAATATAATTGTGGAGTCCTAAAAGGTATCAGTGAGAACTCGACCGTTGCAAACCAAGAAACATTCAAGACACAAAACGACGCAGTTTTAACAAAGAAGGAAACTGGGCCACTGGAAATGAAGCCCAAGCCCAATACGCAGCCTTTGAATATTGATCATCAGCAACGGTCATATCCACCTGTGAACAGAGACAAAACTGCAGTCATCGCTCAGCCAAACAAAGCAAAAGCAGGACGTACGGATTCAACGGATTTGATACCTTTGGAGAACAAATTTGAATGCCTTGGATCCGGTGACGACTGTCAAGACTGACAGCTGTCAGCATTAGGGTTTAGACTGCATCACCTTGTATTCATTATAAAAAGGACACTGTGATGTAATGAAAACTTAAGAGGAAATATATGAAAGAGAAGTTCTCAACCGCCTCTATCTATCATTTCTAATTCTGTTCAAAAGGAACCTTTCATTCCAAGAAAGGATATTATGTTTTCCGAATTGAGACTTTATATTAAGATTCATAGCTTAATTTCTATAGACCAACATTTAGTGGTCAAAATTTTATTGTAGAACTTCCATGGACTATTAATAATTTCAAATATTTTATTTAAAAGTTTTTAAGTCTATGGCAAGTTCTACAAGCTGATTTTGACTAAATGATGACATAGATTAGTCCGAGTTTATTGGCAAAAAAAAAAAAGATTAGTCCGAGTTTTGATTGTATCCTTCTTTGGCATATATACCGATGTAGGATTTTTAGCAAGCTTGGTGCCGTTTCTAACTCCTCTCAAATACACACAGTGTGCCGTTTAGTGCTCCGCTTGTTGAACAACGTGTCGGTATAACAAAACGCTAAAAGAGTTTTTTAGATTTTTTTACTGGGCCGGCCTCTTCGGCCCAACTCTATGACATGTACCATTAGTCAAGTCAGGTCAGTGTTCGTCGTATCAAAGAAGTTTCCTTCAGAGCTTTTTTCTTAAGGAATCTCTGTCTTCGTCTGAGAAGGTAAAATCTCTAACCGCTGATCTTTCTCCTCTTTGATTCCTTATACCCTGTTCTGTGGAAGTCGAAACTAACACAATCAAGATTTGTCTAGGGTTTTATTTTAGGGATACGATAATCGTGAATCCTCAAAGAACAACAGAAACGATTGATACCAAAGATGGTGTTCTTGATATTATTAATGAAAAGACGATTTTGATCGTACAAGAGTTTGATCATAAAAGAAAAAGTGTTTGTGCTGTGAGAGCTTTGCGTAGTGTAATTTCTAGAGCGATCTTGCCTCCCCTTTTGCTTGAGCCTTGAGTCTCTTTATATAGGGATGATAAACCGCCTCTCCAGCGATATTCTCGGAAGATTTCCATTTATCTTGAAGTCGGCCAGAATATCGCGGATTAGGACAATTTCCTTATTCTTCGGAGTTTTCCGGAAAATTTCCTGATTTGAGTTGATCCTTCGCGATTCTTCCTTATCATTTCCGAGTTTATCGGAAATGATCCTTCTTTTTCGGAAATGATAACTTGCTTGGAAATGATAACTTTAGAGGAGAATATTTACTAAGTCTTTGCTTCGGGCGATGACGAAGACTTCGCCTCGGAGAACTTGTGCAACCGGCTCGGGGACAAGAGAGGCGTGACCTAGGCTCCCGAGGGAAGGCGGCTCGGGTTCACAGAAAGATCCAGCTCGGGGGGTCTCGACACAAAACGGCTCGGTTTCACGAAGTGAACCGGCTCGGTCACTTGAGGGGAGCCGGCTCGGGTTCACAAGCCTGCTGACAGATCCCGAGCAGACTATGGGTGTTCCCCGAGGTGATCGATGCGATGACCCGAGGCGAGTGGCAATCTGACCCGAGGTGAATGACAGTCCGACCCGAGGTGAATGGCAGTTTGTCCCGAGGCGAATGACAGTTTCCACCGAGGTGTCTTCAGAAGTTCCCTGAGGCGTTCGAAGTTCGGCTCGGTGCTATGGGATGAAATCCGACCCCAACAGTTAGCCCCCCAGCTCGTTGGTTCGAAGAGCGACCGATGAGCTTCACGACTGTTAATCCGAGCCGTTTTAAACCTTGTTCCGAGCCCATCCTTTGAAAATTTCGCGAAGCGTCATTCGGTAATTAGCGTTCTTGACGATTCAAATCTCTTTGACGCTTCATCTTCTCCTAACGCGTGTGACGGTTGAGATTCTACCTCGAGAAGTGGAAGAGTCTTCTGCTGATTCCCGAGACCCGTGCGGATGTGAAGCAATTTAGTGTTGGTCACGCGCTCCCGACGCGCCTGAGATTTGGGCGGATGCGAAACATTATTTAACTGGCATGTACCCGACGCGCCGAAGCAACCTATAAATATCCGACTCTTGCTTCATCTTCTCATTTCGCAATCTGCAAGGAAAATTTCTAAGGTTCGCTTCTTTTCTCTCTGATCTTGATCTCTTTAATTTCCTCTGGCTTTGCTTTATTTTCCGTTATCCCTCCGCCGTGCCAGATCTTAGATTTGGTTTTTCCGATTTCGAATCTTGTTTTTCCGGTTCTTTTTAATTCACCCGAGCCGAAGATGTCACTCTCCGATTCGAGTGATTTGTCCCGAGGCAGAAACATTCCTGTTCACGAAAGGAAGATGGTCTGGAGCAGTCCCTCGGAAGGAGCCGAGGCCAGTTTCACGAATTGCTCCGAGCGGAACTGCGATAGTGAATCGATGTCGTCACCTATGGACCAAGATCCGAGCCGATTCATGGCTCGGGAAGATACAATAGCGAATGTGGCTCGGGATGAGGACCTTCCTGATGACCCCGAGGCGACTTTAATTACGGGGAGAGCGCATCCACCGTCTAAGGACGAAGCTGGGGGCTCCTGTAGGCCAAAGGCGCCCGAGCCGTCTTCGCTCCCTGTAAAGGCCGAGGCGATTTCCTATGATTCCGATGCAGAGGCGAGAATGCTTCAGGCCAGGATGCAGGCGGCTAAGGCTTTGCAGCTGAAGACGAAGCGAGCCAGAAAAGTAAAAAGGCCCGATCCCCCTGGTTCTACGCTATCCACTGAGGACTCTCTCAGAGAATTGAGAGCTCGGTTTGGTTTCAGCGAAGGAGTCACGATGAGGCTTCCGACTCCGAGTGAACGAGCCGATAATCCTCCCGAGGGGTTCTTCACGCTGTACGAGGGATTTTTCAGTTTTTGTTTCCTCTGGTTCCCTCTCCCGAGGCTGATCGTTGAGTATTTGTGGTCATACAAGATTGCGTTGGCCCAGATCTCAACCCGCGGACTGCGGCATCTAATCGGGATTTTAGTTAGGAGTTTCGAGGCGGATAAAGTTTTATCCCTTGGGCATCTAAGGAATTTCCTGGAGGTTCGTCGTAGCCCGGGTCCTTTGGAAAGGTACTACATCTCGCCGAGCAAGAATAAAAAGATCATTGGCGGGTTCCCGAGCAAGGACGAGAAATACACCGATCATTTCTTCTTCGTCGCGATTGACGAGGACTCCGTCCCCGAGGGGTGCCTTGATAAAATTGTTGCGAAATGGGGCACAATCGGTAGTTTACCCGAAGCGTTTTTTTTTTTTTTTTTTTTTTTTTTTTTTTTTTTTTTTATTTTGCGATTTGATCGATTTATTCTAACCGGTTTCGTTTTCGCTTCCAGATCGTAACCCGGCGTTCCTCGAGCTTATCCCCGAAGACCTTCTAGAAATTCACGAGGAGTTAGCTTCGCGGAAGTGCAACTGGACCAAACATTTCACGCTTAAAAGAGTTGAGAAAGCGTTGAGATTACTCCGAGGCGTGTCCTGTTCGTCCTCGTCATCTTCTTCGGATCACAGACTAAGCGGCTACATGGAGATGCAAAAGGCGAAAATGACACTAAGGGAGAAAAAGGCTGCCGAGAGGGAAGCGGCCGAGCAGAAAAGAGCTCTCGAGGCGGCCTTCAGACCTTTGAGCGAGGGGTCCAGAGGGCCCGAGGCGTCCGATCTTCCGGAGGCAGCTGGCAGGCCCGAAGCGGTTAAGAGCCCCGAACGATCTGGGGTTGAACGAGCGGTTGCTTCGGTTCCTCCCGAAGCGGTCGACGATGTCCCAGCTGGGGACCGTGGAGTTCAGGCTCCCGAGGTCGAACACACCGAGGTGGTGGTTGGCTTGGCTGCTGGTAGACAGGCCAAGTCTAAAGGAAAGCGTCCTCGGGGCGAACATTCTGCCGATAGGAGGAAAAGGTCGAAGAGCGACCATGGCAGCTCTCGACCGATCTACAAGGACAAGATGGCTTCGGCCAATCTTGTTGCTTCGTGCGCGTGGCCGTTGCTGACGTCCCCTGAGAATCTGGCCGAGGCGGAGAGATACGCCGAGACTTCGGCTAACTTTCTGAAGGTAATGATTTTTTGTTGAGCCTCTTGTTTTGATTTCTCTTCCGTTCCTAACTTGTTATTTTATCCCCAGGCTTTCTCCTCAATGAACACGCTGGTTCGTTCTTACGAATCGGCGAACCGTCAGCATGAAGTTGCCAACGAGCGGCTTGAAATAGCCCGTGCGGAGTCGGAGAGGAGAATAGCCGAGGCGACTTCGGCGAGAGAAAATGCGGAGGCCCTTGTCGCAGCTGAACAAGAGGCGAGGCGGAAAGAGGCCAAGGAGAACGCTCGAATTCGGCAAAAAGCCGAAGCAGAGGTCGAGCGCCTCAAACGCCTGCTCGCCGAGGAGAAATCTCTTCGGGAGGTCGAGGTAGCTCGAGCCAGGAAAGCTGCGAAAAGGGCGGTTACTGAGGAGTTTGCCAAGCAGATCGGGACGATCGAGGCGAAACTGGAACAGTTTGACCAAGTTGCCGATCGTTATATGTACTTCTCCCAGGCCAAAGCAAACGCCGAGCTGATCGCCGAGCTCGAAGGGGGAAAGTCGATCGAGGATGAGAAGAAGGAGGTAGAGGCATGGAAAGAAGAGTTCGGGGATGCCGAAGCGGAGTATTCTCGGCTTGCGGTTGAACTGCTCAGAACTTTGAAGGTTCCTCCGGTTTTACCCGACTCCGCTCATGATAGCCTCGGAAATAGGTCGGTGGAAGGCGACGTGATCGAGATCGGAGTTACCGATCAAGCAGGAACGTTCCTGGATCCTGCGGCGACGCATGCCGAAGAGCGAGACGAATAAGCCCGAGGCGTCTCTAAAACTCCTTTTTCTTCTGTTTTGTTGTTTGTGAAACTTACGCCTGGATGGCTTTATCCATCTAAATGCATATTTCTTGAATTCGATACCAGTGTTGAGTAATTGGGTTCATGACATGCCTGTCGAGCCGTTTTTAACTTCCCAATAGTATTAACTTCCGAACCGAATTATACACCAATGTCAACGTAATTGGATTTTGGTAAAGGAGTTTCGGCTCCGATGTCAACGTAATTAGGAATAGTGAACCAGTGTTAAGATAACTGGGTTTTTGTAAGTGTGACCACAAAAAGTTAATTTCTCCCGAACCATTTCAACTTCCGAACTGAAAAGTGAAAAAGATCGTTTACCAGTGTTAAGGTAACTGGGCTTTGGTTATATGTGACTAATCTTTATCGGTTGAGACCCGAGCTGATATAGTCGATGCCAGTGCTTAGAAGCGAACTGGGGTACCAGTGTCGAAGTCAACTGGGTTTTCTGAAGACAATTTCTTTATGGCAAGATATCTCCGACCGAATCGTCTCGACTGTTTATATAGCGCGCTGTAACCAAGGAGGTGAAAAGAGCTTTTTTCCGTCCGAGGACATGGCCATCGTCCGAACGAACTTTCAGCTTTATAGGTCGATAAGACGACCGTTAAAATATCCGAGGTGGATAAGATTGACAATCTGAAGAGTAAAAACTTAGAGAATTTGAAAAATTTAGTGGGAGTATATATGCATACGGACCCACTCCCCCCTTTTTTAATTAGGGGGGGTAGCTGAACTCGTCCGAGGACGAGCTGCCTACGGACCCTTTTCAGGGATCAAGCCACCCCGTAGTTCAAGTACATGCGTACCTTAGGTTTTTAGCGGTAATATTTCCTTAGATGCATTGCGTTCCAGGATCTAGGTACCGCTTTGCCGTTCATGTTGATGAGTTCGTAGACGCCGGGACGGAC